TGAGTCAGCGTGCATTAACAGAGTCGCAACTTTCAAAAGCTAACATCACCGAAGGTTGTCTGATAGGTGGGATGTTGCACTATAATCGACGGAAGCCGACCCAACGGCTTGCCATCAACAAGCAAACACCCATCAACTAAGTTAAAGTGCACAGCTTGCGGTGATTGAGAACAGGAAGGCGCAGTCTGCGTCACAAGCCAACGAGAACTCGGAGCTGGCAGGGCCCTCCAAGGAGTTCTTGGTCTGTAGCTGCCCCATATTTCTTCCACCGCACAATCAAGACCCTCCCTGTGAATCTCTACAAATTGACGAACAGAAGCTTCTAGTGCGTGACAGCATCTCTTGTCCCGCTCTAGCAGTAGCCTGGAATGTTGCGACAGATTGCCCAGTTGGCTTGGAGTATTGTCGTAAATCATGACCGCACAGTACGCAAATATCTTGATATCGTCATTTGATGTTAAGAGCAGCGAAGGATCTCCGTCGACATCAAAGGTGCTCCGACAGGTGGCGGCCATATCACGAAGACGTGCTTGCAAATCCCGACTGGCCTTCTCATCGTCGCTGGCTTCCATTTTCCGTGAAAGCTGCCTAAGCAACGTAAAGGTCGCTGTTCGTATCCTCCGAAGCAACAAATATCCTCGACTTTTGATACTCCCTTCCTGTGTCGAGGACAAGATACGGCACACAATCATGATGATAGTGCTTATCGTGATACCTTCCAACCAATTTTCTTCGACGCTTGCCATCAAAGATTCCAGCTCTCCGAGCAGTGCGCTAAGGAAGGGTGTACTGTTCAGCTCCTCGTGCCACGGAAGGCCCTCGTCAGATGAACGTGGGCCAACCTGTGAAACGGCTTGGGCTAATAACAGATGGACTTCCTCGCATCGAAAATTGAGTGTCCTCGCACGGAGTTCGCGTAACACATTCATCCATTGCAGTAGCGGTCCACTTCTTAAGGTTCCGAAAGCGATAAATTCGTGAATGGTCATATCATTGTGACAATCCGCCTGGTTGGCGATGACCTCGTTTGAGGTATGTGATGTTCCTGCAAGGTATTGTTGCGAAACATAGTACGGTCCCTTGGGAAGAAGGAAAGTGCACAGTTTGTTGGAATCCCAGTGCAGCAGGGAGCCGGCTATCCATGCTTGTGTGGTGATATCAAAAGGCTGAAATACGAGACCGTTGTTCACACAAACACAGTCGGCAACCGTGGGAACATTTTGGTAATGGTAATGGCACGTAATGAAGGGTTTAGCATCTGACGCCAAAGTCAGCCTTTGCCTTGGATGGCATTTGCGGTATTGCCGCAAGGCGCCATAATTCGGCAGCGTGATGAAGGGAGGAGTGGACAAAATCTGTTCTGGAGTGCAGATGTCGACGAGTATATGAAATGTCATAGATCTCCACATGTCGAACGCGATGGGGCATGCTAGCTCGAACACAACGACGATTGCCTCTTTTTCGTACCGCGGTAACGGCCACTCGTGAACTGTAATGGTCATGGATCGCATCTGCTCCTCCAGGGAACATTTAGAACACCACCGAACGTGGTACTCATAACCCCAGGAGTTGACACGGTATTCATGTGATAAGCTTGCTGCGCTTGTCTGGAGGGAAGCGTACCTCTCGTTGAGGGTCCGAAGCTCGACCAACTTCTTCTCCCGCTCTTCCCGAGCATCCGCCTCGATTTTCAGCTTCAAACTCTGCAACATGGATGACTGGTAAAAATACTGCACTGCGAACGATTTGTCATCGTTGGTGGACGAGAACACCGACAGATGGTCGGAAACCTGGCAATGGCGCATTTCTAAGTAGGCGCGCAACTGCTTCAAACGATCAAGGGCTGAAGGTTTTCGGATCAGGAGATTCTTCCAAAGGGTCGATGGGACTTCGGGGGGATATTTTGCCAAGAGTGGGATTTGTTTAACAACGACCTTATCCATGGCTACCCAGAGCTCGAAAAGAGTGAGAAGCATCATTGACATATTCTCCGGGTTTCCATCGTAAGCTTCCAGCGCTCGGGAGGAGTATGCAGAGGCACACGCCTCAATCGAGATGCATGCGGATCGATGCTCTGCAATGAAACGCGCGCTACCCAGTCATCGATCCCTGATCTAACAAGCGTCTCGAAGTCTATCAGGGAAAGGGATGGTTCTGCAGCATGAGCAGCTATCAGGAAGCTAGCGTCAGCGTCAAGGAAATCATCGATTGTCCCGCGTGCGCGGTGGCTGAGGTTGAACGGGGTTGATGGGTCAGACGAATGCTGGTTCAGCAAAGCTTGGCGTATATACTCTCGACTGGTGTTCAAGGAAAGCTGAGTATCCTGCAAGATCGAGAGGGTCTTGGGAGCCCAAGGAGGTGAAGTCTGCTGCACGTCCTGAACAGATCCCCATCTTTCCTCTAAGACACTCTTAACGTCACCCGTGACCTTAACGACCATCTGTGATAACTCCGGAGAAGCAGAAGTTCCAAGTTTGAAAAGACGGCGTGCAATCTTTGCTGACATAAAGTGTAGGATGTCGTTCGACAAGTTGTGGTCGATGGCGAGGGTCGTGACCCTAGCCATCAAGAACAACATGAATGATTTATATGATGTTCGTCCGAGAGCGTTGCGTTCCAGAGTCGTCTGTAAAGCAACGCGAATAACAAGCCAAAGCGGAGACCGCCTCCACGGCAATTTCGCGTTGTTCCACAGCACATCATCTCCGATGCGCTTGCGGATGCGAGGAACATCAGCGATACTCCCGAGGCCACGAAGTATACCGGTCAGGAGTTCTGTGATATACCGGGGATGAGTCGTATCCCTCTCTTCAGGAATAGTGGAATCAGCTTTTGTGCGCGTTGCTGCCGCATCAAGGACGTCATGATCCATGCAAACGAGAAAATTCGCCAGCTCCGCAGAAAAGGTAGCGTCATTGACAATCGTGTTTGGAACCGCAATAGCAGGTCCAGGATACGAACAGATCAGCTTTCCCTTTGCGCCCATCACTGCGGCGGGGTCAGGAGAGATCTCGAACGATTCGAATATAGTCTCAGATTCAAGTTTTCTCATGACCACTGCAGCATTTTGCGCGCGAATCATAAATACCAGGACATCTTAAAATGATACTCAGCACATGGGGAAAAGTGCAAATAAGATGAAAATAACAGACCTTCGTCGTCCATGGCATTGATCTGAGATTCAACTTCCTTTAAGGACATAATGCTGAATCTGATTGAATCTCGGAGGTTCTGAAGCATTTTAAAGCTGCTCGCCCAAAGCTGATGCTTATCGGACGGCAGATCGTTGTTGAAGGCTTGAGCAGCATCTAATACCGCCTGAGATAGGGCCAAGTCGTTCTCAAGGGTATGGTCGCTTGCTTGCGGCAATTTGAGGGGACAGAAAACATGATTGATGATATATTCCAGACCAGATTGGTCCGTTGAAAGCTCAGACATGTTGTTAGGGTAAAAGAAGAGTGCAGTGACGGTGGAATTCACCCAGGCTAATAAGGCTCCCTTAAGCGCTTGTCCCCCCAAAGTCGGAGAAGCACCAACATGCTACCGGAGGTGTGTCATTGATATGATAATTGAAGCTGTACACGGGCATCCGCTTGAAGAACGACTCAGATCTCAAACAAGATCATGCCTGCAGGCACGAAGGTTTAATGTACCGTGGAAAGTAACATACTGTGAAATCTGCTGATCAAAGTGCGTCAACTTCTGTATGATTTGCACTCACTAGTTTTGAATATTCAGCCTCAACATTCCTCAATCAGCCCTCCATCCTAGCGACATACTCCATATCATCGGCACAGACCTTCCTCCAAACCTCTCCACTGCGCCTCTCATATCTTCACGAACCATGACAGGCTGCGAGATTAAATTCATCAAGCGTCACCTTCGGTCTAGACCGACCCTAATGTGACAAGGATGCCTCGTTGCTGCCTCGACACCGTCCAAATATCGTAGGTGTCCTTCTGCACCAGATCTTGCACATACGTCGGTGTGGCACCTTCTGATCTGTTACGAGAGCACGCAACACATTAGCGAAAGCCCTGTTTCTCCGCATAAGATCCTATTTTGAGTGATGCGCTGATCACTGTGTAGAACGATAACACAGGTATAAGGTAGTCTCTGGGGTCATCTGAAGAGATAAGGACAGCCATACACGTTACTATTGTGTCCGTTGGGTATACACTGTTCAAATGACAGTACGTATAGTTACCCTGGACCAACGTACACACTTGGGATGTTGGATCCGTAGGGCGGGAAATGAAACCTTGAGTGCGAATACCGAGCGATTCGGAATTCTGAATATAACATTCGTTAAAAGTATGTATCATGAACTACTGACTCGAAGACACAGACCAGAGAAGTCTCTGACACGGGGCATATGCCATCCTCGCAAGTCCGAGAAAGTGATATTTAGATCAATTCAATTCATTACTGATGTGCGTTGCTGCAGCTGATCATTGACATAATTGACCGATGCTGAGCGCACACTCATGTGAAATCCAAATCATCCATGCACTTACCACGCTACCCCTGCTCACGCGCCATCCGGCGAGATCATTGCTAAAGCACACGCCGCCGGGTGAAGTAAAGTTCATCAATGATATCAGTGTTCGTGTTTCCGCTGCGACGTGGCACAGATGTAGGTCATCAGGACATACGAGAATTGTGCCCTTGAGCCTGATGGAGGACAACGTCAGCAATCTCAGATGAAGTTCACGCCTGGAGGCACGCTAGACGATTTTGATTCACCTTGAAACAGAGCCTGATAGAAGTCGTGCCTTCTGTATTAGGCAGAGCCTCCACAGCTGCTAGACTGTGTGCGTCCGAGGCGAGGCCTAGGCACTACTTCTGAGGTGCAGCGTGTTGAATGAAGAAGTTGAATCTGGTTGTCCTGCGCAGTACTTTGCGTAGTGACGAGCATCAGCGTGAGTCTGGAAGTAGAAGAGCCGACTTGGCCGATGATAAATTTGATTTTCGCACGACTCCGTTCAACAAACGATCAAGTAAACCTTATCGCTTGGCCACTGGCAAGGGTTGGCCCATCGGTCTACTGATATCCAGATTGCACGACAGTTTCGTCTTTGATTCTGCACTGATTGCTTCTCGTCCGACGCATTGAGTATATCGGCTGGCAGAGGGACGATTGAGCTCAGTGAGCTGGCCTTACATCAGTTCCTCTCGCCAGCCGATATGCGTAGCGCGTTGGTGTCGCACGCCGCACTTCTCCTATAGACATGGCCGCCATGTCATGGAGATGATAGCAGGCTCTGCCATCGCACGTAGCAGCGAATGGCAAATTGCTTCAAAACTGATCTAGACACTTGAGGATATAGGCGCTAGCATCGATGATCGCAAACAAGAGACTCCAATCTTCTTCAAGTGCTCGTTGTCCAACCTACAACACCGCTGCTGGCATAGTGGGTAGCAAAATCATTGCGTTGGTATATACATCTAAGTTCTTCTGACCTCCTAATCTTCCTCGATACCCTCCTCTTCCTCCGCAATAAGTCTCTCTGCCTCAAGGGCAGCCATACATCCACTCCCCGCACTAGTAATAGCTTGTCTGTACCTCTTATCCTGCACATCACCAGCAGCGAACACGCCCTTGACACTTGTCTGCGTCGTTCCAGGGACAGTGATGATATAACCATCGGGGTCTGTTTGTAGCTGTGAACGCACTAGGGCCGTAGCTGGCTCATGTCCAATTGCATAGAACAGTCCGCGCACGGGGAGATCGCGCTCTTCGCCTGTCGTTACGTTTTTAATGCGGAGGTTCTTGAGGAGGTCGCCGTCGCCTTGACATTCGGTTGCGACGGTGTTCCAGAGGATGCTCTGTGCAAGCGTGTGAGTTGTAGTAAGTGGTGGGTATGAGGATAGAGGGAACGTACGATCTTGGGGTTATTCATGAGGCGCTTGGCCATAATTTTAGAAGCGCGGAGTTCGCTACGGCGGACCAGGACGTAGACGTGAGAGCCGTACTTTGTCAAATCTATTACAATGTAGTGATTGGCCTTTGGTATGACAACGAGAGGAAAGTTGGGAGATCTTACACGTAGCTTCTTCCGCTGCAGAGTCACCACCACCGATAACAGCTAATGGTTGATTCCTGAATATAGGGACGGCACCATCGCAAACTGCACATGCGCTGATGCCACTTTGCCAGTATGTAACCTCGCCTTTGAGTCCTAGCCTCTTCGCGCTCGCACCAGTCGCTATGATAATCGTATCAGCAGTTTCTGGTTCCTCGTATTCCTGACTCTCTCGCCAGTAGCGAAATGGGCGCGCAGAGAGATCGATCTTGGAAACGGTCTCTGTAATGATCTGGGTGCCGAAGCGAATAGACTGCTCGCGGAATTTGTCCATAAGCTCAGGGCCCAGGATGCCGGACGGAAAGCCGGGGTAATTCTCGACTGTGGTGAGAGAAGAGATATAGAAAAGACACGGGTGGAATAAGGCGTGTACGTACCATCTGTGGTCGTCGTAAGCTGACCACCGGCAGCGAAACCATTTGCCATGAAGCCCTCGAAGAGGACAGGGTTGAGGTTCGCGCGCGCGAGATAAACGGCGGCGGTGTGACCTGCAGGACCTGAACCGATGATGACCTGCGCATGGGTGAGCGCTGGGGAATGATGGAACCGAAATGAATGATACGGACGACTTTTGAATGCATTGTCGTGCTCTTTGGAACTTTACCGTTTGTGAGCGGTGCCATTTTTGAGTACGTGCGATCTGGAAGGGAAGCAGATGCGGCTGCGAGAGGAATCGCCCGTAGGCCTTTCAGAAAGCGAAATCGAGAAGACAGCGTGTTATAAGTACAAGCTAAGAATTCGGTCGTGCGAAATTACTAATCTAATCTGATCCCAGGGCCGGAGCCCGAAACCAAGTATTAAAGTCGCGACCGAGGGTTGGTTCTGCACTGTTCCTCTCGTCAAATTCAAACCATTCAAACTCACTATCGAATTTAATGTATATCAGTAGGATACGAGCAATTAATGGTGCCAGCGCACTCGGGCTAATGCGCAAAGAAATCGCTTAACCTGAATGGTCTTGCCAGCGGTCAACTTGACTTAATTCAACCCACTCAAGTTGTGCAACGTCATTGAATACAGTAGATGTGGTAACTTGACCTCGTTCTTCACGACAGCCTGCAGGCAAGGACTACTCAGGTTAATGGAATATCGCGAATTTGACCAGGCCTCCACTATCTATTCATACTAGGGGAGATTCCACTTCCCTTCCCCGCGTGCAATGCTCTCAGCTGGTATGCTGAAGCTGCGCAACACATATGACCTCCTCTTTACATGGTCCGATGGTCGCCAAGCCAGATTTATTCCTTTCTTCCTCTAGCTAAGCGGACGGGCTATTTACCGTGGAAGACCACTAGCGGATGGTTACGTAACTTGGTGATCTTTTAAATTCGTTGCTAAATTCATTTCATCATGCCAGTCATACAAGCAACGCTCCACTGAGCAGCATTTCTCGGTTTCAAGGCCAGGCTGCTATCCAGAGCATGACATCGAGAAACATACTGTAATGTTTCGATCACGCGAGGGTTTCCGAACCACAACAGTAGAACTCGGTAAATACAATGGTCAACATCGCTTGCCCCCTCAAGTAATTATGCACCCTACGCAGCATCCGGCTCGCTGCTCATTCTCGAACTCGACATCAAAATCAACTTTTCCAAGTACTTCCCTCTCTCTTGTAGTTGTTACGTGCTTGCGTTCGTTCGTTCCCTGCACTTTGTCATAACGGTCATCGAGTATCTTCTGGTCGTAGTACGCCCAATGCATGCACGAAATGCGCTTCTTCTGTTCATGCGTTGTCAGTTATGCCACGTGCAGCAATCTTTCGACTCACCCTCTCCTGGTACTTCTTGATCAATCTAGCTATATGGATAAATACCTCCTCCACATTGCGTCCGTTCTTGAGCGATACCTGTATGAATGCTAAATTCATTTCCTCTGCGAGTTTGTTTCCCTCTTCCACGTTATCTGTCAGCCATCTAGAGAACCTTAGCGCAATCCAACAGTCTCACCTTCCCAAGTCACTTCCATCCACGTCGCTTTGTGTTCGTCCTCAACCCTTACCGCCACGAGCATACCAGGGATAGGGTTTGTTGCATTGTCTCTTTCATGTTGTTTCCTCCTCACGACCCATCCATAATTTTCTTTCGCCAGCTCCAGCGACTTGCGATTTTCGGCAGAGTAAATGAAAAGGAACCCATCTCCTTGCTCGATGTATGCGCTCATGAGGTCTTTCTCACTATACATATCTCATGTCGGCCGATGTTAATAGGAACGAAACGGAGACATAACGCACAAGTAGTGATCTGCATCGCCTGGACCGAGGGTGTCGATTAACTCGATCGTTATTGGTTCGCCGTCGACTATGCATTCCCTGATGCGGGCTGCGGCGCGAATTAAGATCAGTAGATGAATAAATAGTGTTTCTGTCCTGTCGGACACTCACGGAACTTTCTGTTGTCATTCGGATGCTTGTCAGCTTGCGTTGGACAGAACGCTTTTGCTATTTTGGACCTTGCACCAACTGAAAGTTATCAGAGGCACTGGTATTTCAGATGAAAAAAAGGACTTACCGAGAGGACTGACGAACACAACTCGATACATTGGTAGAGGCACGGAACGGATTGCTTGCTCGATACCAATATCATTCTGTATGGGCTTGAATGGCTCGGTGAACTTTGACACCGATGCATTGCCTCTGCTTACCCGCAGTTTTAGGTTTTGCCTTGGCTCGTGCGAATGAGAGTGCATATTTTATAACCAGATGACTTGAAGTGGGGTGTTGAAAATACGCCACTCCATCAGACTATTTGAGTGGTAGTGGACAAAGCAGCGCGGCGGAGGGATGGAGCGCAAAGAGGTGTGGCAAGTGTCTTTGTTTATGGTCCACAGCTTCATGGTTGTAACTCCACATGGATAAGCATGGTTTTCGATTGTGTGATGATCGTGTCCTACAAGCTATCAGTCAGACCTTACTCGGTTCCTTCGAGCAACGTCCGAATTCCACCCTTACGGCATTCACACGAGAAGACCCCAGGGCCCAGACCCTATTCGACATGGTCACTTCGGTTTGATGCTGCAACCATCGTCGAGCGGTATATAACGGCCTCAACATATCCTTCTTCCCGCACGTTTCTCTTCTCTTACTCTTCGAAGTTTTACCTTCAGCTTTGTCGGTTCGATCTTAACATGTCTGAAGTCTTTTCGTTGTAAATGCTGTGAGGGTGTTCGGATCTTGTTGGCTCAGGGTTTGAAGTTGCTCGAAGGAACCGAGTAAGGCCTGACTGATAACAGGGTACCACTGGCAGCAACTGGTGTGTCACAGAACACGGGCCCCCACTGCGGCTGGTTTATAAGCCGTCATGTGTATGAAAGGACAGGCAGCTGTGCGTTTTCCCTTGTCGATTTCTCGGGTTTGTGCCCTACACTCAAGTGCGTAGCTTCTTTTTTGTGTTTTTTGTGTTTCTAAACTCACTTTTGCACCTTCCGTGCACACCATATGACTAGGCTAGCCACCAGTATCATTCCCAGTGCTTCTCGTCTTGCGTATCTTGATACTTATCGCACTCCTCGTCGTAGCACCCCTCAGCAGGCGGCCTGTTCCCAACCGTCGCTGAGACTCACCCTAATCTTTAATGTCTCCCTCCAACATCGAGAAGCTAGGGCCGCACTACCAGCCTCCCGAAGCAACTACCGAAAAGATTGTAGCGTCCCCAGAAGAGAGTTGGCCCACAAAAGATTTTGGTCTTATACCAATCCCGAAAAGGCTCCAATACGATCCCCTCAAACCTTTTCACTTTGGCATCTTTCTCAACGTTTCCTTTGGGTTTGCCAGCACATTCAGTATGGATTTCTTTGTAGATGATGAATGGATGCTAATGGCAAGACAGCTGTCGCTAACTTGTATTATTGTCAACCGCTGTTGAGTATGTTGTTGCAAAGAGTTATTGGCTGTGCGTGTCTCTGATCTGAAATTTGTACATAGTCGAATTTTCGAAATCATTCGATGTTACATATGAAGAGGTTTCACGGTGTGTTATTTCGTCTGTTTCAATGAATCTGGGCTAATAGTAAGTATGATTCGGTTATCAAGCATCCCCACCCTCATTCAAGCAGGGTAAATGAACTTATCGGTTTCCGATGGAACGTTCACGACTTATTATCGTGGTCCAGGTATTTAGTGGGATTACTTTTGATATCCCCCCTCGGCGACCTTGTTCGACGCAGACAACTGGTGTTGCTGCTGGTTGCAATATCCACTACTCTAACGATAGGTTTGGCCGTGACCAAGAATTTGCGGGTCTTCGAGACCTTGTCCTTCTTGATCGGCGTTGCAAATGTCACTCCCCAGATCTTGATGCCCCTAGCTGCAGATCTGGCCCCACCTGAACGCAGAGCGTCTGTATTGTCTGTGGTAATCTCAGGTCTTGTGCTAGGCGTCTTGATCGCTCGTGTCTTGGCTGGCGTCATAGGTAATTTTACAACCTGGCGTGCAGTCTACTATATGTCAATTGGTGTCCAATCACTCGTTCTTATCGGCGCCTACCTGGTGCTTCCTGACTATCCATCCAAAAACCGTGATATGACTTACTTCCAAATCCTATTTTCGATGGCCAAGTATGCGGTGACGGAGCCACTTGTGATACAGGTGGCCGTTATAAATATTGCATCCAGCGCCTGTTTTGCCAGTTTTTGGGTCACTCTCACCTTCCTTCTCGGAGGTCCACCCTATTACTACTCCACGTACGCACATATCCTCTGACTTTTTACTGCCTGAATTTGAGACCATTTCCAGTCTCAAAATTGGTCTATTTGGTCTCGTTGGCATGCTAGGCGTGCTTGTTGTACCTTTCTCAGGACGTCTCATTGACAAGTTGGTTCCTTGGTACGCAACTTTGACAGCCACTGGCTTGCTCCTGGTTTCCCAAGCCGTGCAGACTGCTGCAGGTGGGATCAATGTTGCAGCTGTCGTCATCGCATGCTTCGGGCTTGATGTTGCGCGTCAGGCCCAGCAAGTGTCTATGACCACTCGGGTCCTAAGGTCAACATATTTGTTTTTCCGTGGGGGGGACCGCTGTTGACTCACAATAATCATGCCACAGCATATCTTCCGCCGCTCGTGCGCGTTTAAACGCCATTCTCATTCTATCGGTGAGTTCCGCAGTGTGTTATCAATTGGTGTGTTGTTAAGCAAGATGCCACAGTTGTTCATCGGGCAGGTGATGGGCACGTCTGTTGGCACCCACATTTTCGTGCAACACGGATGGAGAGCGTGTTCACTATTAATGCTGGCGCTCCAAGCCTTCTCAATTGTAGTTTTATTGCTGCGCGGTCCACATTGTCCTCGGAAACGTTGGTTTGGCTATGAAGGGGGACTCGAGGCACGCAAACGTGTTGTCTTGGAGAGGGAGAAATCACGGAGTGGCGAGGGGGGAACAGTGGAACATGATCCAGAGGCGTAGATGGAGGCACCGATGCAAAATGGTGAAGGTCTGCAGTCCGATACAATGTCATAGACGTTCATCTTATGATCTGAGGAAGCTTGCTCACAGGAAGCACGGCGACGGTAATGCAATTTACCATTGAGACCACTGAAAATTAAGGCCGCATCAGGCCCCCGGAAGCTCCCCCATATGTCTGTCCGCAAAATAGCAGATTTCAGACCGAAAATTGGCCAAATGTCTGTCCAAAAATAGCAGATTTGTCGAGTAGAGTCTGTCTTTTCGTTGTGAATGTCGTGATGATGTTCGAACGTCCAGACTTGGTTGGCTCAGGGGTTGAAGTTGCTCGAAAGAACTGAGTAGGGTCCAATTTAACTGATAGCAGGGTACCAGCAGACCTCAATGTGAAAGCTTCTAGGCGCATCCTGTCAAGAAGCATTCATTTGTCAATGACGTTCGAGTCAGCTTGTCTCCCGTGATGCATGATGTATGAGATCTCGGTGGTCCTAGCCGTGTCTAATAATACCGTCAGCTCTATGGCATTCGGACTTCCGCTCTGAGTCTGGTCATCGACATCACGACTTTGTTACTCAAATACCTACACTAGGACTGTGGTCTTTTTCGAACAGGCAAGTTTATGTATATTAGTGGTCAGGTCTTACAGAATACTGGTACGTTCCTTCTGCTGCATGAGCCATGACCTCTCCCACTGAAACAATTGTCAGTTCGGCAACAGTCCAGCCTACTCCGTCGTCGCTTGTCCCAGCGCAGACGGATCCGACATTCTCGAAAGACTTTCGATGCCTTCCTATTCTGAGACGACTTCGTTATGACTCTGATAAGCCTTTCCACTTCGGAATGTTGCTCAATGTGTCTTTTGGCATAGGCAGTACTTTAGGTAAGCCATAATACCAGGACGTTCATAGATACGTATTTAACTTCGATGCAGTTGCTGCCAACCTATATTATTGCCAGCCAATTCTAAGTACGTTAGCTTTGCAATTTCTACTTGTTGTCTTGACGCGTATGTCTCAAAGTTCGATTGTCGGCTTCTTTCCATGTCACGTATGACGAGGTGGCAAGGTGTGGATAGCCGAAAGTCTAACTGAGATCGGCGAATCTAACATTCACACAGAATACCAACACTACTTCAAGCTGGGTGAGATTATACAATCCTTACAAATGGCTACTGTTAACGATGGGTAAGATTTGGTATCGGCCTCCTACTCATAACACCACTCGGTGACATGCTTCGCCGTCGCCAGTTGATATTGCTCTTGGTTGTGTTTTCAACTACCTTAACAATAGGACTCGCCATCACAAACAACCTCTTGGTGTTCGAGATAATCTCGTTTCTGATTGGGTTGACGTCTGTCACTCCTCAAATTCTCATGCCACTAGCCGCTGATCTCGCTCCTCCCGCCCGTCGTGGATCAGCTATCTTAGTTGTCCTGTCAGGTTTTCTGCTTGGCATCCTCGTCACACGTGTACTATCTGGCATAGTGGCCAATTTCGCAAGTTGGCGAATCGTGTACTTTATGTCTATCGGCATCCAGAGTATTGTCCTGGGTGGTGCATACATGTTGCTTCCGGACTATCCAGTGAAGAACCATGATTTGTCCTACCTTGAGATATTTCGTTCCATGGCGAAATATATTATTACCGAACCTCTTGTCAGCCAGATCATGTTAACAAACTGGGCTGGCGGCGCATGCTACACCAACTGGTGGGTGACCCTCACGTTCCTACTCGGTGGACCGCCATATTACTATTCCACGTCAGTGACCCTGTCTTATTATCACTCATTCGCTGACGCCGTCGTGTCAGTATGATCATCGGCTTGTTTGGCCTCATTGGAATGTTGGGTGTAATTATTGTACCGTTCTTTGGCCGTTTGCTCGATCGGCTTGTGCCATGGTGGTCCATAGTAGTTTCAACTGTGCTTCTTTTGGTGTTCCAAGCAGTACAAACTGGAGCGGGAGGTATAAACATCGCTGCGGTCATCATATCTTTTTTTTTTTTTTGATTCAATTTTCATGTCCTAAGGAGAGTAATACTCTATGGAGGACAGTTCTATCTAGTCCGGGGGGCCCCCGGTGCCCCCAACGCATCTCTGAGTTCGCGAATGCCCTGATGTGGGACGTACCCCATCAGTCCGCCGTTCCCGCCAGCCGTTTTAGACGCGCGACCCATCGAAGATGAGATGACTTGTGTGTACAATTGCAAGGGTGTGGACTATTGGTATGATAACTGAGATGCGTACTCGGCCGCATGCGCGGGCAGGTACAGGAGTCGAAAGGTTGCAGTTGGATTTGTATAAGGGTGGTCCCGCGTGTTGGCAATTGGGAGGACCCTTTCTGGCTGACTGAGACCAGTGGGGGTGAGTGGTGACTCTGTATGTGCGAGTAGAGAGTGTTGGTACAAGGTATTATTGGTGATGTATGGTAGTGACATGGGTGGGGACTGAGGGGTGTGGGCTGATGCAAGGGCGGGGGTCTTGTGTGGGTAGTCATTTTGGTTCTGTACAAAACTTATCAGCCTGCTGGGGAGTGAGGGAGCAGAACTTCACCAAGGGTGGTTTTGAATCTTTTTGTTCTGTTGACAAAGCTAACCAAGTGGGGGGTGGCATCTGAGTCCATCAATAGAAATTGGAGAGAGGTGGCCCTTCGCCCTAGGGCACCAATCAGAGTGTGGCAGTCATGCCGGAAGTGCAAACATTCTAGCAGGTAATGGTGTACTGTCTCATTGACACCTGGGCAATGGGGACAGGAGGGGCTGTCAGACTTGCGTATATGATGTAGGTGCTTGTTGAGTGGGGCGTGGCCAGTGCGGAGGAAGATGTAGAGACTGGTAAGACACTTTGGGAAGTTGGAGGACAGCTTGATGAACAAGCATTTGAGGATGTTGGGGTCAAGTTGGTTGAAACAATAAAAACGGGGAGAGTTGTGCCAAAGTAGTCCCCAGCGCTGGGTAGTGTCCTTGCCTTGTGCTTCCTTCAGTGCTGAGATGCTTAGTGGGAGGGTGCGATGGTGGAGGTAATGGGGGAGGTGAGTGAGGGGACTGTTATTGTGGCTACCTTCTGCCGCTGATTTGGCATGCTTGTCAGCCTCTTCATTTCCATGGATGCCTGAGTGTCCTGGGACCCAACATATGGTCACGTCGAAGTCTCTGTATTCCTGTGCGATCTTGTACATCATCCTGTGAAAGCAATCTGCCAGATATGATCTGGGGCATGAATTGAAACTCTCACTGGCTTGAATTAAAGCTTGGTTATCAACTGAAATAGATAAAGGGAAGGAGAGGTCGTGTTCTGTGGCTAGCAACTGTGCAGCTAGGGTAAGTCCCAGTTCTTCTGCTTTGAACACCATATGCTCTTCCTCAATTCCAAGATGATACTGTAGCATCCTGGGCAACTGTCCTGCATGGAAAAGGACTGCTGCTGCCCTGATCTTGCCTTTATATCCTGAACCATCACTGTAAATTTGGATCTGGTCTGTCAGTAGTTCATGTTCAGAGATAGCTGTGTCTTTGGTTGAGGCGATGTGTGAGGTCCAGGGGTTCTTGGTGGCTGGAGGATGTTGAGCTGGGGTGAGTGTTTACACTGTTTGGGGGGAGAGGGCAAAGCGGTGGGTGAGACGATGGAGGGATGATCAATGTGCTGCGATGTAGTGCTTGGCTGCTTTGCATACAGGTGCATGCAAGGGATGGGTGCTGGGGAGTGCCATGAGACGAACAATGGCTCAGTGACAGGTGTCTTGGAGGAGGAGGGAGGTGGGGAGGAGGTTGGTGTGAACTTTGAGGATGTCAGTTGCCATTGTATGCATGGCTCCCATGATAGCTATGGCTGCTAGGTGTTGAACTGCCAATAGACACTTGGTGACTCCTATTGAGCCTCTCTGTAGGGTGTCCATTCCATTGTGGAAGACAGGTGAAAACCAAAGGTCTGTGGCATATAGCATCTTAGGAACTGCCACTGCTAGATATAGTTGGTGCATCAAGCGCATGGGGATGCCCTTAGCAGAAGATGAAAGATGATGTAGCTGAAATACATAGGACATTCCCCTCGCTAATGCGTTATCCACTTGGGCTCTCCAATGCAACTCCTGGTCAAGGATGATGCCAAGAAAGCAATGCATTGAGGAAGGACAGATGGTGGCACCTTGAATTTGCATATTGGGGCATGGTTTTCATCTGTTCATAGAAAAGTCCATTATTGCAAATTTATTGGTTTCAAAATGGGAATTATAATCTCTTGACCAGTCATACCCTCCTCCTGGGCATTCCAGCATGTTGGCCAGGATTGTGTGAGTCTTGGTGAAGTCCTTTCCAATAGCGATGAAGGCTGTATCATTGACAAATGCTAAGGTCATCTCCTTCAGGGCTTCTCTTCCCCTGCGAGGCATGGCAACATCGACCAGGTTGGAACTGTAAATAATGTATAGAATCATTGATAGTGGGTCCCCTTGTCCTATTCTGTTGGTGACCAAAAACCAATCTGACATGTAGCCATCAAATTTCAACTGTGTTTGACAGAGTGTTAGTACTCGCTCCGTGAAGTCCATGATGTCCTTTGGAATGCATCTCATATGCATATTATGAAGCAGACATTTAGTTACCGCATTAGGAATGGCACCTTCAATATCTAAGAACAAGACCAGTGCTACTTTGTGCAATTGCCACACATCCTTTATCATTGCTTCAAGTAGGTAGAGTGAGTCAGAAGTGGATCATCCTGGTCTACTTTCGAGATACACACTTACCTTTGATGTGATCTGGGTGTGACAAACTGAGCCTTAGCTTCGAAGCTTTGAAGATGTGTGTGACCTGTGACACCTCAGAAATAGCTTTGACCTACTACCAGCCACTGTCAGTGCCTGCAGCAACATGGATATGGCAAAATGATCCTCACGCTCACGCTCACCAGTGTGGAGCACTTCCAAGTTGTATTTTCACATCTGTCAGTCAACATGGATCCTCCAATGTTCAGTACTAAGGCATTCATCAGTGAGCTCTCGGACAGTGAGCTCTAAAACAATCTCCATCAACTTGAAAGCCCTTCAACACCATGCCCAGTTCATACAATGCCTCTGCCAGTGACTTGGAGTCAGAAACAAGTCACGGCAAAATACTATCTACTCTCCTATGTGTTCCTATGAAGTATTGTGCAATTATTCCTTTGCATACCCTCTCAGTCACTCAGCTGCTCGACTTCAACCTCCTTGCAAATCTAGAAACCGATTTGTTGACTACCAGTATCATCTTTTCTCAAGAGTTCCCTATGGTCCAGCTCCCCACAGATTTTGTTTCGCAATCAGTTCCTACATTTTCAATGGCCACTGCACTTCATGATCATGCTAGTAGTGCCTGGCAGGACAGAAATAAATCAGTCATCCATCCTTCATTCCCTGATGACCCACTTCCTTTATGGGTCTTGTTATACTGGGTATCCATGTCTCACCTCAGGCAGTACTTCTTGGTGGCAATCAAGGGTCTTTTAGACCTGGTTTCTATGTTATGGGAAACTTGGCTGAAAGACCCTTCATCCGAGAGGATCTGCCATATGTAAATATAGCTACAATCTAAAAATATCAATTTGCCTCATTGCCACCTGCTGTACACTGCTCTGGTGCAGCACGCTCCTCCTGCATGTCCTGTTGAAATTTAGATACCTTGACTATGCCTTACATGTTGTCCAAGAGCATCCGATGCCATCTCAATGACAATGGTCACTTGTCACTTAGCCATTTTTCTCAACTCCTCTGCTCCAGCCATCAAGATATCATGGCCCCTTGTATGGGTACCTGCACTGCTCAACCCAGCATGTCATCTGGGCTGGGTACCCACTTTTCCAGCCCATGGAAACCTAGAGACAAGTGGAAAACCCAGGTGCTTGTTGAAGTGCTAGGTCAGAAGGCTAAACAACATCAGTTGCTTGCCAAGATGGCAAGTCTACTTGCCAGTTCAGCGACTCAGAAGCCTGAAGAAACTCCACCTGTCCTGCCAGAGACAGAAATGGATACTGTGGTTCTCAAGGACAATGCTAACAATGCTTGGGAAGATGTCCCTGAACCTCAGGACAATTGCTCTCCCCAATCTCCTTCACAATCCACACCAAGTCGTTGTACCCAGCCTGATCTCACATCTACTCGCTTGTATGACAGCTGGAAAGCTCTTATTCCTACACTAGTTGAGATCCAACTAGACTACACTGCATGGACACTAGGTGTGCCTCTCAAATGAACGCCAAAGGTTCTGTCTTTGTGCACCTCGCACACATGTGCACAAAAACACACATCTCTTACCTGTCTCTTTTTTGACTGTAAGTACTCAGTCACATTCTTTGACTTAAATCAGCTAATTTCTTTTTAGATTTCATCTCCATTGATGCAATGAGCTGTAGATGTGCAAACTTAGCACAGACACTCGTTTTCCATGGCTTATTCCCTACTGCACCCTCCCAGCCCTGAATGGCTATATCCATTGAGTTGCTCGCCTTATATCGCTCTCTTTTTTAGCACTCATGCGATGCTGTCAATGCACTTGCATCTGCACTTCACACGCACTACATCCGACAAGGATACTGAATAACAAATGGAAAGGTACATGTTTGTTGACTTTGGATGCTTGTTCAGTTACTCACATGAATGAACCAGGGTGAAGTTATTCAAGAACCTTTCTGCAGGCAATGCAGAAGGAATCACAGCTTTCAATCCGTTGTGCAAACACAACAATGGCTAGACACTTGTTAAAGTGCCTAACCAAAAATATTGTTGTAGGTCGATGCTCTGCCTAGCTGCTACACTTGCAAGCAAGAACATTCAACCCTAAAGGGAATTGCTACTGAGAACAGCCGATGATACTAAAGACCCAAAAGTGCACAGAGCACGGGAACAAGTGTGCAGGTATGTAGAGCGCAGGAATGTGGAAGTGCAAGATGCTAGGGTAGGGAAGTCTTTAAGGAATGGCGTGGGTAACAAGTGAGGGCAAGGGTATTGATTGCATGGGTAAGGAAAGTCAAGGTAAGGTGTCCAGGTATAAGATAACCAATAGGGGCTAAAAAGCGCGCACTAATGGTGACTGCTCCTAAGTAAAACCTAAGGGAAGGAAATACTGCAGAAGGGAAGTAAATATGAAGTAGTTGCCCTAGGCACTTTATACTAGCTAAACCCTCTTGGAAATGGAAGGGACAGGACAGACAGGCAGTAGGAATATGTAAAGACATGTAATAAGGCTGCAACACTTGTTACAACACATGAGGCAAGGCAAAATACATACCAATGAGGTAGGATGGACAATGGACTGATGCGAGACATTTGTAAGGTAGTCCGAAGGTGCAGGAAATTGACCGCAGGTATGCGCGTAGCGCGGGAGTGAATGCATGGGTCCACAGAGCGTAGGAATATGCATCTGGAGTGGGTTGAGTGTGGGAAAAGTGGTCGATGGTTTTGTAGCTTTCCATCACCTATATCAAAAGATGGCCATTGCAAGCCTAGCGGGAATATGATCATCACACTGTGCTTGTATGTAAAGCTCCTTGTGATCATCATGGCCCTCCTGATGTTCTGGCATAGATGCTCTGGCTCGTCTCAAGAAAGAGTTGGACACCATCCTTGCTCTGCAAGCAGACCTTGATGCTTCGGACAAAGCTCTACAGACAATGAGGGACACAATTGCAAAAGGTGAGATGTCAGAGGACACCCATGATGCAATTGAAAGTCTTGAATGAGTGCATGAGTGTCTAATGCACAAAGTGGAAGTATTATATGCTTTGCTCAATGTTCAGGACAGGTTCCTGGAACTAGATGGCTTGAACCTTGAGTTTGTTTGAACATTGCTATTAGCATGCAATCTCAAGATGAACATTCGCAAGTGTGCCATTGGCAGCTTCTTCGAGTGGGATAAGCTTGATTGTGCAGTAGGAGGGTCACAGCAAGCACTCGGTAAGGTGAAATATGATTTTGAACAACTTGACCTGATGTTGTGTATTAGGTACAAAACTCCACCAACAGACTTGAAAAGTGATTGCAAAATGCCAGCCAGCATTAATGGCTGCTCTCTGTAAATTCAACACCTATTGTGAGTGTCTGGAAGCCCTTTATGATCCACATTGCAGCATTCCTCTTCCCACACCTCTCCCAACAAAACTAACTGACCTATGCAATGATCAGAGTTTGATGGAAGACATATGGATCACACCTTCCACTGGAAAGGTCCCCTGCTGGTTGGATGATCAAGATGTTTGTGATGGCATTTGTGCAATGTTGAAGAGAGATAGATGTGTTGAAGAGCAGCAATGTCTTGGTCTGGAGGCGGACAATCTCTGCAGATGGTTCAGTGACAAGCTCTCAGCACTAGAACTCACCCTTTTGACACCAGGTTGTAAGTATCATACCTTCCCTTGTTCTTGTCTGATCTCACAGTACATTTGCAGATGAAAAATTCCTTGTCCCACTTCGCCAGCAACAGGAGCACCTTCAGTACATCCAGACTTGTTGGATGACCTCACTTGCATCTGCAGCATGATTTGCATCTCACACAACTGATGCTGTATCTTTGGCCCAGAAGCTCTCAGGTGTCTTGGAGGAGCATCCGCTTCATTGGATCAATATGTATGCTGTCTCTTATGTTGTACCTACCAAAGACAAAGAGCCTGGACCAGAAATATTTTCTGATGCTGATCACACAGCTTTGCAACCTGAAGATGCTGCCCTTGTAGACATTCTGACTGCCAGAGTCCCTGGTGGTGAGGATGATGATATTGACATCATTGTGAATGATCTTGGAGCCAAATTTTGTTGGTGAATCCCTGAAGTAGCATGGTTCTTCTACTGTTCACACTATAGTCTATGCTTACAAGTCTTCTAGGACATCACATTTGACCGAACACCTCTACCAGAAGTGGGGATCATTATTCCAGGCACCATCAAAGAATGAGTATCTGCACCTTGCTTTGGATGTCCTCATCAAGTATTTGAGCCAAAGGACATTGCACTTCTTGCTTCTCGGACTGCACTACTCAATGACAGTTGCATTAATGGGTGTGCAGTTCTTCTTTACTTAGAGGCAGTGCAATTGTCTTCAATGGCTGAACAGTATGCCATCCTTTCAACCCATGACCTCCTGCGCATCCAATACAATGCCCCTGATGATGTTCTATGGCACAATATGTCATGGACATCTTACTGGATGAAAGAGGTGTGGATTCTTCCCATCCATAGGCCTTCAGATGTTGGCCACTGGGTTCTATGCATCATTCACCTTCAAAGCAAGGAACTCCATCTCTTCGACAGCTTCACTGAGTGGAAGCCATGGAAAAGTGACACCAAGGTTTGTGAGCTTCCTCTAATAGATTTTTACATGACTAAATTCATCCAGGACATCATGAAATTAATTGCTCATCTTCTGAGTATCACTCAACAACATGATCGTGTTTTTAATGTCAACATTGACTTCGATGGATGGCTCACACATCCTCTAGTGGTAAGTATGGTCACAACCTTGATGGTGCAAAACACGGCCTCATCTTATATGTTATAGACTGATGCACTCCAGACAAACAGCTTTGACTGTGGTGTCTGGGTGCTTGCCATGATTGTGGCAACACTGCATGGGTACCACTGCACAGTGTGGGAAACACAACAAGAAGAGAACTGGAAAGTAGACTTCTAATGTTGGGCTAAATGTGCTATGCCTAGCTGCTATTCAACCCTAAAGGGTTTCTGGACTAAGCTCTGTGCTCAGAGAGAGTAGGAAATCATGCTAAAAACTGCTCAGTCTCAGACTGGTACTGGTAGATGGTGAAAACTATGATGATTACATAAGCACCAAAAGTGCGAACATAACACTAAGTAATATCTGCCTATACAAGCCCACAGAATATGAAATCCCTACAACGGCTCTTGGAGAGGGAGACATGCACATGTTTTGATATTATCTCAGAACACTCATGTTTCAAATTCCTGTATTCTAACTAGATAATACTACTGTCCAATGCATATGGATTCGATCCCATCATCATTGTGTGCACTTCATTGTGATAATGATAGATTCTTCAAGCACGCCACTGTAGGAGGCACTGAGCCATCACACAGTGTCTCTTGCAATCTTCCATACTATCAACATACTCGTCCAACATTGCCCACTGCCTCAAGAATACATCAAGAGCTTCCCTCAACTCAGCACAAAGATCCAGCACTCCCCCTGAACTGTGCCTCTTAGCATGCTCATAGACTTCCTCCTTCTCCATTCAAAATCATTGACCATGGATCACCTGGACAAGGTTTTCTGTCCAGTGAGCTTCTGCTGGGGTCTCTAAAGGTTGAGGAGTGTGGTATGGTGGATCAACATCCCATTGTGCAAGATCTGATTCATCAAGGTTGTCAGCACTTTGTGATGCTTGTTGAAATAGGTAGGTGTCTGGAAGATCTGCTCTTGCGAGGTTGATTAAATCAGATGGAAGGGATGACAACTCAACATTGGAATCAAGAGTGGGTGATTTGGAAGCATGAGTGAGGGACTTTGTCAAACCCTTTTGACTGTGGGCTTTGGCATATGTGCATGAATTCAAAAGTCGACAAGTGTTTTTACCTCTGTGTGCACAGTGTTAGTACTTAGATAAGAAATACGCAAAGCAAGAGTTCTCTGGACCTATCAGATCGACTATACTTTGCTGTGTGTTGACGTGTTGCAGCAGTTTTATCAGTGAGAGTGAGGTGTTTTGCTCTCCACCCCATAGGTAAAGAGGTAAAGAAGTCTAAAGCAATTGAAATGAATGAGTGGGCAACATTTGAGAGTTGGTTTATTTGACCAGATACCATTTGAATTAAAAAATGTGTCAATACCATTAGAACTGGCATGTCATGGAGCATCTTAATATGTGCACTAGATGTTTTTTTGGGTACATTGGAGGTATGGGGACATGTTTTTTATGTGTGAACATCATTATCCATACACTGATTGGCTGATCAGATTTGGCTGTGCAGAATAGTCATCTCAATGACAAGTCAATGTGCTGCCACAGTGCCTCAGGTGCAACATGTACCTCACATAGTCCTGATGCCCTCTCGTCCCTCTCCCATGCCTCAGTAGGTTGTCCTATTGACTGTAATGGTGTTTTGACTTTTCTTCTCTTCTTCTACAGAATATATTGTCATCAAATTTGAGGTGGATCCTGATGCCATCCTTTTGGGCAAGTCGAAAGTGATATGTTAAGGTTGCGTGCTCAAGGGGGTTGGATCACAAGGGCTTGGCCTCAGCTCATATGCTGTGCCCCTTTCCCGAGTATGTGCCCTTAATTTCCAGGGGCTAGAACGGTCATCTGGAGTTTCCGGGATTTGACTAGGGCGGATAGCAGACGTCCGGATCTGAAATGTGAGATAAATCCGACAGACATCCGGATATCACCTGGGCAAGCGGATAAGACTAATCTGGACAAAGTCTGGACTAGAAACTAACAGAGGATGGACTACCCGTAAGGTAGAGTCGGAAATGTAGTCTAGGATGCAATCCTAAGACTCGGAATATGACAAGAGACTTTATCTCGAGTCTGGAGGACACAGGAATGAGCAGGAACTAAGATGATATTCGAACTGGAGTATTTCTGAGAGTTACAGGAGGTTTATATACTGTAGGTATCATATAGGAATCAGTCAGCAAACATAAAGGCTATGTATGAAGCATATGCAGAGTCTATTAATAAGTAGGACGGATCACAAATAATGAACACCGGAAATGAAATGTATGTAATGGATCAATAATCAAAAGGGAAACATGGTTAACCAGAGTCCGGAGACAGGGGCAGTCTAAATGGAGTTGGGCGCTGATATAGGGTTTGGATTCCAGAAGGGAGATAAAGATAGATCAGATCATTTGAGATCCGGATCTCAGATCTGGATATCCGGAGAAGCAGATTTAGAGTTGAGGGTCCAGAATGGCATATGACACAATAGTAGGTACCTCCCATGAGTCTTTTCAACCATCGAGCATGCTCTACTGATTCTCACAATTTTTCCCCCAGCAGACCATGTCAATGACCATACCATTTGTTGTCAATAGTGCACTCTCCACTGAAAATCCAGAGCTCACCGTCATCAATAAGAACCATCCTCGATATGACAATGCTGTGAGATCATTAGCAGACAAGTCTGTCCTTCATGTACACAAGGCTGTTTTCTACAATGTTCCAGGTGTGTCATTTAACAATTTAACAAATGTATCCTTATTAATATGTCACAATACTCCAGTACAAGTCAAACCCTGTCAAGAAGTCTTCTGTGCGACACATGGGGCTTACATTGGTGTAGTGGCAGGCTGGTGAGCACAGATTTATCCAAGGCGCTTGTTTTATTTAATCTTTTTGACATAGGGAGAATACACTTAACTGCATTCTCAGTGTCCCTGGCGCTGTTCACTTTCACGTTGATTCCATCGCAATTGGGGAGGAGAAAATCAGAAATGCAATTGATGAAGGATGTATTGAAATGGTGGAGCCCTGGGCGACCCCAGACTTGTACAAGTAGTTACTATGTAGGTATTGAATGAAGTCTTGCTTGAATTGTGCACAAGTGTGCATCAGCCCTCCAGAGCCTCCCACAGGCTGTCCTGCCCCCCAACTCACAATGGCATCTTGTCATTCCTCCCCTCCCATCAAAAGTTCTCTCTGCAGCATTTCTTGCATGACAGCCAATGCCAGGCAAAGCAAAATAAAGACTCACATGCTTATTGGCTGATTAAGGTGCATGCAGGAACCTCTTGTCTAACCATTGTCTAACCTTCTGTGCCCTCAGATGCTCCAGTGCCTCCCACCCAAGTTGGAGGATCCCTCATCATTTAGCCATTTCCATGGTTTTTTGAGCCTTCCTGGAGGAGTGCAGAATAATCATCCTCAATGTGCTGCCGCAGTGCCTTGGGTGCAACAGCACTTTGACTTTTGACTTCTCTTCTTTTACAGAATTTTGGTTGCAAATTTTCTTTGTGAATCTCATTTGTTGCTCTGGCACATCCAAGTCCACCATGTACTATGAAAGCCAAAGGTGCCATGGGCATTTTCTTCCTCCTACCCTCATTGTCATCTGTCAGGCTCTACAAAAAGAGCATTTTTCTCCTGCAAACGCTGAAGGTGAGTTATTGATGATTGCACAATCTTCAGTGTAACATTTAATGCTAAAGCATGTACACAGTGTCTAGAAATGTCACATCCCAACCCAGAGGACCCTGACTACAACTGGGAGCAATTTGGTGGTGGTGGATACATATCTCCTCCTGCTGCCCAGACTCCCACTCATTTATGTGCACACATCAAACCAACTGTACATGATTCTGGCCTTGTCAAAAATGCTCAGGGTAGGAGAGTGAAACTTGTCACAAATCTTCTGGATGAGAGTGGTGAAGTCAATCCCTCAGCTCAGAATGTCCAGCCTGAGACAGGACAATTGCCTACTCCCATCTTACAGCAAGAGCTCCCAAACAACTCCACACAGGGTAGGCAAGGCTTATATGGTGATGTACCATGCCGAGCTGTGTTGTGTGAACTGCCACATGAACCCCAGCAGCATCCTTCACATGAATCCCAGCGATATCCTTCAGGCCCATGTGAACCTCCCCTTCCTCTCAATGCTCAGCAACCTCAGCCTAACATTATCCTTCTGCAACCTCCCCTTGCTACTATGCAGGGAACACACACACCTGTGGGGTTGAACAGCGGGCAGGATCTCCATGCTGCCCCACTTAATGCTGGACTGAGTGCTGATGCTCTTGGAGTGCTAGGTCTTCCCCAGGCCAGTCCCATAGATGACTTCAGTGCAGGGACTTCCACTACATTTGATGGCACACATTGTCCATTCACTGCCAATACTGAATTCGACTTCTCATCGCTTGATGTTCCATGGGATCCTGTGGGTGGGGACTTCACTCTAGGCAATATGTATGATGGCCGCACAGATTTACCAGAGACATGAGTTATCCCCCCCACACCTGCAAAGACTCCACCTTCTTTTGGTGCTCAACCTGGTATGCAAGATGCTTTCCAAAGCCACGATGACATGAGAGAATCTTTAGCTGGTGCACTGGTTGGCCATAGAACAGATGAGGTGAATGTATTGTTGGGGGAGAATTTCAAAGCCATCAATGGCATATTCAATGATCTTGTCGCAAAAACTGGCTTACCTTTGCAGCAAGTTTCTCATGCATATCACAAGGCCCATGGACAAATTCATTCTGCATTCAATCATTGGAACACATATGGCCACTACTTGAAAGTGAACTGAAAGCAGGAGCTATAAAGACTTCGCAATATTGAGGTAGCTGATGCTGCTCAGATTACACCAGCAATCTGAGCCAAATGCTACAAGGTGTTCTGAGTGGCTTTTCTGGACTCATGGCAAGAAATCCTTGAGACATTTGAGCAGGTAGAGGTGAGGTCAGTTGGACCTCAGACAGTTTTGCAGCAAACACAGGAATTCAGTAAGATTTGGAGAAAAGTCGTGACTATGGTGCATCCAACACTTCATACATCAAAATAATGTGCTGACCTTACTCTTAGGTGGACACCACTGCTGCCAAACATGGCTTTGAAGCTGTCTTTATCATATGCAGAAAGGTAGTCAATCAGGACACCTCACTTGGGTATATACATGAAACGCCAGGTGCAGAAAGTGTAAGTCATTCTTCCATTTGTATACATCAAAGTCCTTACTCAACACTTTTAGTTTTGGCAAACATGCTGCCAAGCTGACGAAGACATGATGATTGGGCATTTAAAAGCCCATGTATAGTAAGTCCATGGCTCCAATGTAGACCACTTTTGAATTCTAACTCACCATTTTAGCAACCTCACATCCCTCACTGTGGTTGAGGACATATATCCTGATGGCACACTGAGCATAAACAAGGATGAGCTGCAACCCAAGTGTAAATCAGCCAAAGTGTCAGCAGACACTCCAGATGCCATGAAAATTGACCCGGATGCTCTGGAGGTGTCTGACAGTGGTGATTGGCAACTCCAGGTCGATGTTCTTCAATGCATCAAGGGTGGCATAACTGTGCTATTCAGTGAGTATCTATTCCTTTTGGTATTGTTGCTTGATGTTTGCTTACCATTCTTAAGAGGAGCTTGGTGGGAAACTCACTGTCTGCTCAGGCAATTTCCCTTGGAAGAAGCTCCACAGCAACCTTGACCGTCAAGGGTTCATTATGGAAGGCTACCCAGAGGATATTCTTATGCCAGGAGAGACATGCAGCACCAATGCAAGGAGTAAGGGGATCAACAACCTCAACAAACGGGAACAGATCATTCTTGCAGAAGCCTTAAAATCTGGAACACTGGTGATCAAACATGGGCCCACAGGTATGTACTCATTTATATATTCTTAACCTACAGTAATTTCTTACTAGGTCCAGAGGTCAAAGACAACAGTTGACCTGTCATCATTGGGGAGGCTCCCCCACCACATTCTATTCACTTACACAGCTGGTGGTTGCTTGCCAATGGCATCATGTATCATGAAGGACCATCTCATCTCCAGCCAAGTGCAGTGACAACCAAAGTCAGGAAGCCAAATGGCAGTGTGCCCATTGCTCCCCCCATAGTTGTCAAGGATGATTCTCCCACTTCCACCATAGTTCGTCAGAAAAACCTTGTCATTTCGGTTGACATACCTCCTGCATGCCCCTTTAAGGTAGTCATGCTGCCAAAATCACAGGTGACACCAGTTGACATACCTCCTGCACATCCATTTAAGGTAGTTATGCTGCCAAAATCAAAGGTGACACCAGCACCTTCTAATGTCATCACTCTCAATGAGTCCATGAAGGCATCCTCTGGATCTGAGGGAGATAACTCAGAATATCATGACCTTCCACAAGATGATGAGTCTGATTATGAGGAAGAACTTCTGTCCTGCAAATATAAGGCAAGGACCATTGGCAGCACTCACAGACTTAAGCACCATGTGCCGTCCAGTGATGTTGAGTTGATTGAGCAGCTGCAGCCCAAGGGAAAGGGAAAAGAGACTGTGTTGCAGAAGGAGAGGGCAAGGGTACGTTATCATGAGCTCACCTCTGATTCTGAAGAGGAAAAGAAGGAAGGTATGTAAGGTTCATCTCTATCACCTGTATATCATGCTTACCATAACACTTTTACATAGTTGATGTGCCTTTGCAACTCTGAGACAGTCCAGTACATTCAAAGCCTGGGCCGAAGCCAAAGATGGTTATTCCTGGTTTGGCTGCAGCAGCTAAACAAGTTGCTTTCTATGAAGGTGGGATGCTTCATACGTATGAATCATCAAGAGCAGCAGGACCCTTGGGAGCAGCAGAACCATCAGGAGCATCAGACATGCACGAATCATCGAGAGCAGTAAGCACAGGAGTGTTACCAGAGCCATCTGCCCCCTCATCTGCCCCCTCGTCTCCATCGCCTCAATGTCAGCAACCTCCACACTCATTGGTTCCACTATCATATGACCAGCACAGCCCTGCCCTCCAAACTGCACCATATAATTACAGTCATGGCAGGACCCTTCCAGCACCTTCATATGGGCAACATCTTGATGTGCTGCAAGGTCAGAACTATCCTGACCCACACCATGATCAGATCACCTACCAATGGACTGCTCAACCCCTTCTAACCATGAATCAGAGTTTGGGTGTCAACACTGCCAGTTACAGCCATGCCCAGTATCCTCCTCACGATGATGTGTATACACACCTTGCACCCCATCATGCTAATGCTGCTCACACAGAAGCTTATATGACTCGTCCACCTGCTCATCAACAACATCTGGAAAACCATGGTACTCCTGCACTGGTATTTTCTCAGCAGCAGCAGCAGCAATATTCAGATGTTTATGGTCATGTACCTGCTCACGCACCTGCTCATGCACCTTCTTGCACACCTTCTTGCACACCTTCTCGTGCCCCTACTCCTCAACAGCACAGGGAGACTTATGACATCCATGTGCCAGCTCATCAACCACCCACCTCTCAACAGCATACAGGGACATATGACACTCATGTGCCTGCTCCTCAACAAGGACCTGTGGATGGCAGGGTACCATATAACCTGGGAAAACACTGGCAGCCTCACTATGGGCCACAAACACCATGCTCTAGTCAGAGGATGCGCCCTTTACCTGCTCTAATGGGGTACTCATCATCACTACCTCAGTCTGAAAGCAACTAGTAGACATCACCTCTTGTTTTTTGGAATGCTTTCCTCCATGGCACCATGCTCTTAATGTTTCCATCATCCTTGCTTTTGATGGTGTTCTTGATATTTCTGTATGTCCATACCTCACTCATTGCTTTGATTGCGTGTTCTTGATGTCTTGTATGTTAATATCTCACTCATGCTTGCTTGTTGTACAACTGACTTCAATGATAGTTTACTTATGTACTTTCATGTGCCAATAAATCAATTGTTTCTGGTTGAATGAAATGCTTTGGACATTTGTGAAATGGGATTTGAAGTCCCACTGAAGAAGATACATCTAAGGTTCATGATGCAGGAACATTTAGAACAAACCTGGCCTGGCATGAGAACAATGAACATCAAGATCAGACATCCCTGGCATGGGAACAATGAACATTGAGATCAAACATCAGACAATGGAAAAGTCAAGTCACTGAAAGGGATACACTTGAGGCTTGTATTGATTAAAAAACATTTAAAACAAACATTAAATAACGGAAAGGTCAAGTCATTGAGTTGACCAAGATGCACTTGAGGCTTGTGAGGGCTGGAGCAAGGGAGCAAGGGCAGCAGATAGCGCTATGTGAGATGCACATGAGGCTCATGAAGCACCTGGCACAGTGAGTATGGTCAGAAAAGGCAAAAAAAAAACTGTTTAGAACAACCTCAGCAAATTTATTGTTTGATGGTGGCTAGACAGCTGTGAGCAACAGTAGTGGACAGCACTATGCAAGATGCACACAAGGGATGTGAAGCACAGTGAGTATGGTCAGAAAAGGCGAAGAAAACTATTTAGAAAGACCTCACCAAACTTATTGTTTGATGGCTGTTAGATGGCTGTGAGTAAGGGCAGTGGACAGCGCTATGCAAGATGCACATAAGGGATGTGAAGATCTATACATACCATATATGGCAGTGAGTGAGGGCAAAGGGCACAGACTATACTTGCCATGAGAGCCTCTGCACGAACTTGAGTCAAAAACCCTCTCAAGGGTGGGAGCCTATTGTAGCACCTGGTGGAGACCCTCTTGGGGACAATGGTCTTTCAGCCTAGTTTCCCATGACATAGAAACTGGGTCTGAAAGATTGTGGGAACAGCTTTGAAGTGGTGCCAAGGGTGCCATGTCTCGCATGCTTGAACATCAATGTGATTGGTGCATATCACATGACTGGATCTTAGACCAACTGGACACCATTTCATGTGACTGGCCTGAGTTGGAACTAATTGACAACATTTTCGATATCATAGAGCATCTTCCATGGGATGCTCCACTCAAGGGAGTTGGTGCTTGCACTGATCTGTCCACTAGCAGGCTCCAGCCACTGACTTGGAGGTTGAGTCTGAGGGTCATGGCAAGTGCAGACATCTTGCAAACACTCAGTACAAAGACTTTTGGATGCACTAGATATGTTTTTTGATGTTTTTACTGCTTGTCACAATTTAGGTTTGGCAGCCTCAAAACTGGTGTGACTGTCACAAATAATAGCTTCAATTCATTGGACGTGTGATGCTGTGATGAAGCTAAGTGCATATCTCAACAGTACCTCCAAAGTGCATGTTGGGTAGCAGTTGATGGCATTCAAGGACATGGGTGAGTTGGTCAGCTATGATCGCTGTCAGGAGTTTACCAGTGGTGTTGAGTAGGGTGATAGGCTGGTAGGCCTTGGGAACTGAGTAGTTGGGCTTTCCTGGTTTTTGCAGGACCACCATCATGAACATTCTCCATGGCTGGTAGTATGTGCTGTGGGAGAAGGTGGTATTGAATAGGTGCTGGAGGTAGGGGATGAGGGTGTCTGAACATTCTTTGAACACAATGTTGCAGATCCTGTCAGGACCTGGTGCCTTGTATCTGCTCAGTTGCTGATGGCCTGTTTGATTTGGTCAGGGTGATGGGTGGAGTTCATTCAATAGGGTCAGGGTATTCCATGTCATGTGGGACAGAGTCAGCATCGGGGGGGGGGGGGGAGGGAAGAAAGACTTAGCTAGGATTTTACTCTTCTCGCTGTTGGTGATTGCTTCAGCTATGGATCCATCCTGGTTGGTGAGGGTGAGGGAGGGTATGTGGGTCTTTCCTCCATCACAGGGTTCTGCTGATATATATTTGTTAGCGGTCCACAGATCTTTACCTTCGATGTCCTCCAACCAGTCCAACCAGTGTTGTTTCTTGGTTGCCACAATCTCATTGGCATATTTGTCCTTGCTGGCTTTGAGGTCATCATGGCTGGGGTGCTGGGGGAGACCCCACATTTGGTAGGTGAGTTTGCTGAGCTCCTTGACCTGCGTTCTGAGGTTGGACAGGTGTTTTGTCCACCATTGTTTGGAGTGAGGGCAGGGTTTCGAGTAAGGTATGCAGGTCTCCATGGTAAGGGTGATCGATTGGGTGAGGTGCTTGGCAGCTTCCTGAAATTCATCGTCTGAGGTCATCATATCTTGCTTTGGATTAGACATGTTCCACCAAACTCAATCCATATCACTCTCTACACTGATGTTCAGGTACAATATCATGTGTTTTGTAGTTCTGCCATACTGATTGACAATAAAACAGCATTTCAGAGACTGTGCGCTCGCATTTAAACACATTGATGAACATATCAGTGTGTTAATCCACATTTTCTGTTGTAAATCAGCTGGATGATTCAATGGGCTGTCACAGGTTTTTCTGGGTCAAATTACGGGGACGTCTGTTGGGACTGACGTTTTTGTTGGATATGGCTGGTGTGCAGATTCTGTGCTGTTCATGGTCATGTATGTCTTCCAGCTTGCTGTGCTTATCCTTAGAGGTTCCCATTGTCCTTGGAATTGCTGGTTTGGTTATGAAGGTGGGCTGGAAGTCTGGAAGATCTTGCCATCTAAGCAGTCCCAACTAGTTGCGAATGACGACCCTGAGAACGCAGAATGTGGTCACCTGGCTGTGGTCTGCAGCAAGAAGGGGGGCACTAAAGGAGGTGCTGAGGAGCTTTGCTAGTCTGAAAATCTCTCAAGCCAAAACTTGACACTAGTACTGAACATATTATATACTGCTAGCTTAGAGGCTGTAACATGTAATTCTTGATGATCCGATCTGCTCATGCATTATCACCAGTTCACCAACTTCATACAGTTGTTCCATGGTAAATTACTCATGAAATCTGCTGGTTATTGAGTACTATTACTATCACTCAGGTGTTTTGCAAAACTTTGATTCAGTTGGCATATATGCAGCTCCTCTAACACAGCCAACACAATTTCATCAGGAAAACCCTCCTGGGCTAAATTCACAAAATTATCACTAAATCACATTATTTGGATAATTCTATCTAATCACTTGTGTTTAGGAATGAAGATGATCATAATCTTTCTGCAGGATGCAATTATCTCAAAATTAGCAAGAATCATTGGAATATTGAAAAAGTATGTCTATCTATATATGAGTTCAACCAGAATGTGTTGCAGTCATCAAGAACAGTCTCACTCTTCCATTCTCATGGGGCTATGTTCCCAAACCTTGGTATAAGGTGGATGCTATGCTCAATATCACCCACCAGCTCAACACTAGCCACTCTGTCACCACCGCGCATTGATCTTGAGAGTTTGTAAAGTCCGTTATTTCAGTCAGGAGCAGATGGGAATGGAATAAACCATTCAATGTATGCAAGGTGAGGAGGAACATCAAATGTTGGTGGGAAAAGCAGCAGTATTGATTTTGGTGGTAAGGCAAAGATGGCTTGAACTTGACTGACATGGAAACATAGATGAGTCAGTAAGCAGTTATTAGCAACCAAACAGCACCTGTTCACACACCTTCAAGATCATTTGTATTTGAGTCTTCACCAAGCCTGACCAAAGCTGTATCAGACTGGCGAGCAACCAGACGAGAGCCTGACCACTGTTGCAGTTTTGCATGGACACTGTCCAAGGTTACATGTCCCTTGCTGTGGCCACCAGTATCAATCGAGCACCACTTGATCTTATGAAAGATGGGGAGACTTTGGAATGGAAAATGAATGTCACCTGCTAAATTTTCAAGTGCTTGACCTCAGAGAGGCTCAGGATGGCTGCTTTGACTGTGGCATGCGATATAGTGTGCAAGGGCCTCACAAAAATGAGTTGCGCCATAATCTTCAACAAGTTTTTGAATGCTGACAGCCTTTGCACTAGGGTGTCTTGTCATGACTAGTTCACATCTGAAAGTCATATCAGATGGATGTGAATGATAGGGCTCAGACTGGTGGCCACCAGCAAGATGCCAAGTAACATACTTCAGGTGCTGTAAAATCTTCTCCTTTTGTTCAAGCCAGTGCGTCATTTGAATAAACTCATCCTTGTGATTGGTGGCGTGGTAGGCATCTTTTGCTAGATCAATATGAAGACATTTGGTATATTTGGTATTGTAATTGTCAGTTGTACCAAATAGTGTGATCATGAGATGGTAGTGGTGTGCGGCATGCAACTTCGGCAAGTTGAAATTGTTTTGAATACCAAGTTGAATAAAAATCTCCTTGTTTTCGTGGAAAAGATCTAATGCCTCATCTAGCGAGTGAAGCGTCTCTGAGCTGTGACAAGGGTATTGGGCAAGATATAGGAAGTCGAGTAGCCCCTGCACTGATCGAAGAAGACGACTCGCATCAAGATTGTTGGGCAAGGATATGTTGATTATGATGCCAAGGATGAAACAACATATCTGCACATGTTCAGCACCACTTACATGTGATAAGCATGTGATGCCCTTGGTGAATAGGCAGATATGATGGTTTGGAGGTAGCCACCGACAATGAGTGTCAATTTCTGCAGCTCCAAAAGCTGCCGATAACCATCCCAGGAGGTGCTTGATCAAGCCTTGATATAGCTGGTGCAGCACATCTGGTGTGATAGCCTGGAAAATATTTGCAAAAGGGAGATCCTCCCAGAAAGGATGAATGATGGGCTTGACACCTGCTGTGGCACATGCATGCACAAATGCTAAATTTCCATGGTCTAAAGCAGCAAGTGAAATGGGACTGTGTTGCTTCCCATGTCCTTGACTTCAACATCGCACTTCAGGCACTCTCTGAACTTGATACCTGTGGCCAGGAGTTGTTCTGTATAGTTGCCAACAAAACTTGCAAACAATGGATGACAACGACGAAGAGCACCATCTCCACTATGCATGAGAACACCATCTAATCCAGTAGGTTTCAGCAGAGCGAGCACACAGCATAAACATGCATGGTACAAATTTGCAATAGTGTGACAGTGAGATGCTTTGTTGGTAATGTGTTCAAGGCGGGTTGTTGGCAGATAAGCAAGCAGGATATGTGCGCCACATGAAGGTTTACGCTAGATTTCCTTTGGTATGTTGCTGATTGTAAGATATACAGGGTAGGCAGTCTTGTTGTGAAACATCATCACTTGTGTTTTGTCTGAGGAAATAATAATTGGAACTATGGTTCCACCAGGACAATTTTCATCGAGCTTTTTCTAGACAACCATAATAAGTTACAATGTCTGGTAGGTGTTGTGCCAAGCTGTCCTTACCTGCGTTTCCCACCACCACTTACCAGTATGCATGTCACGGAATAGATGAACCATCTGGTCTTCATCAGTGTGATGCTGCTCTGGGGCAAATGTGAGATATCTTGCGAAGTCCGGGTCACTATACAAAGACTTGACACATTTGATGATATTGTGGTAATAGACATCAAATGCTTCTCCAGCAACAACAACTTGTTCTCATTTGAATTTTGGTTGTCCCATTGGAAGTTCGTAATCAATTAACTTGTTCAGTTCATTTGCATTTTTGAAAGAAAGTCCTAAGCATTCACTGACCTAGTATTAGGGGCCATTAAATTAGATACTCATCATGAAACCAAGAAAAATGCTCACTCTGTCAATGGAGAGCAAGTCCAAAAATGCAGTAGAACTTGAACCACAAAGTTTCGCCCATTTCACAACCTCCCATTCAGTCTTCGAGGTGAATGGGTAGTACATATTCTCGTCATCAGCAAGCTGTGCTCCATACACAACATTGGCAGAGTGTTCAGACGATATCCTTTGGCCAGCACGTGGGTCTGGATAAGGCATAGCTACAAATCCATGCTGGCCTTGTGCACGTGCCTCGATGTCCTGATGAGCATTGTGAATCTCATGATCATCATGAACTTTGGCATTGTCAGCATCATCAAAGGCAAAGGTATCAGGTAGCGATAGCATTGGTGCCTCCCATTCAGGTTCAAATAGGGAATCATTGATATCCAAGTTGTTATCCAAGTTGTCAACATCTGAGTCAGAGTTGCTACCAGCCTGCTCAGAGCATTGATCAGAGCAAGACCACTCCAACTCGTCCTCATTGTAAGCTCCAAAGTAGTCTCCCTGGAATGCAGGAATAGGTGGCTCAGGCTCATCTACAGGATCTGGGTTTGTTCAGTTGGGCTGGCATGAGTTCCTGTAGAGTGCTTGGCAACGGGAGTCATGGCTTTTTGCAAGATGTTGGCTAAGGCCAGTGACCATGAAATTGTCATGGCCACATGCTGGGCACATCTGCATGTGAGGGGAGAGGTGGGTGCTGGGGGGAATGCACGAAGAGGAGGAGAGAAAAGCTTTAGGACGGACAGCTGAGCCTGAATCAATTTCTGATGGAGGTGGGGAATGCGTGAAAAGGAGGAGAGAAAAGCTTTAGGATGGACAGCTGAGCCTGAATCAATTTCTGATGGAGGTCCTGAATGAGCCAAGAGGAGGAGAGAAAAGCTTCCTGAAACAGACAGCTGAGCCTGAATCAATTTCCGATGCTGGAAGTCCTGAGGTAAGTACTAACCCACCTTAAGAAAAGTGAAGTCAGGCCTGAGGTAAACATTTGGGTAAGTATGAACCCAGTGCTCATCTCCGCATAAGACTCACCTCACACCTCATGTTATCATCTCCCATCTAGAGGCAGACCCAGAGGGTAAGTATCACCTCGCACCTCATGTTATCATCACCCATCCCAGAGGCAGACCCAGATGATTTCTCACAGCACTCAAGATATCTATGTCCCCTCACCCCATGAGATGGACAGCTGAGCCTGAATCAATTTCCGATGCTGCTAGTAGGTCCTGAGGTAAGTTCAGGGATGGACTGTGTCCGAGTACTAACCCACCTGAGCGCACAGCAACACTACAAAATTTAACTTCAATACCATCAACTCAAATCTCATTTTTCAACTCTTACCATTCATCACACTCCCTGCTACTAGTAGTCCTGTCCCAAGTTTTCCACTCCCTAGTTCTTTAAGCAAGTTTAGTACCGTTGTCCTGCATGATTTGGGAATCATGCATGGACATGACTACTAGGTAGCCCCCCTAAAAGACAAAGTCTGTTAGCTTAGGCATCAGGCTAGTCAACCCATACCTTGGTTTCAAACCTTGGTCATATAGTTCAGTTTCCCCTCTGTGATTCATGAATTTATTATATCTTGAAGAAAAGTCATTTGTGAGATGGGAATCACATAATGACCTAGTTGATATTGTGAAGCAAGAAGGTTAAGGTATTGCCTTGCCTTTGGCTTATTCACTTTGGCTAGAGAAAACTATAGAGAAAAGTTCAAAGCCTAACAAAAAAACCTATCTAAAAAGCCTGTGTTTTGTGTCTTGTTATTGTGTTATTATTTCTGAGTTGTTTTCTCTAGTATTTCCTTGATTTATTTTTCTATTGGGATGCTCTGACCCATCAGATACTTCACAAAATTGTACCTACAGGGTATGATGTCATAATGATGTCATATGGCTCCACAGATACTCCTGCAAGTATTCTGTTGAAAGTTATGATGTCATGATGATGTCATTTGTTCTGGAATGTTCTGCTCCACTTGCTAGAATGTTCTGCTCCACTTTCTGGAATATTCTGCTCCACTTCTGATGTCATTGCTCCGCTTTTTTACTTACATAATATTCCCACACAAAATGTATATAAGGAGGGCCCATTCTCCCCAAAAAAAATAGGATCTCCCACTTGCAATCATTTGAATCTCAGTTTGAGCTACTCACTGTGAAGATTGTTGCTTACAAAGAAAGCCCCTTTGAAGTACCAAGTGCAGGGAAAAGACATTCCCTTGAGATTACATAAGTTTCTTATGATAGAAACTTAGTTTATTTGAGACCAGCTTCTCACCTAGTTTCTGATATTGACCAACACAAGCTTTGGTCAATCTGTTTGTTTGTGAGACCAGCTTCTCACCTAGTTTCTGATATTGGCCAACACAAGCTTTGGTCAATCTGTTCATTTGTGAGACCCGCTTCTCACCTAGTTATCTGATATTGACCAACACAAGCTTTGGTCATTCTGTTCATTTGTGAGACCAGTTTCTCACCACTTTGTGCCTATTTGACCAACCAGTCTTTGGTCAACGTATTTGTATTTGAGACCATAGTCTCTACAGAGGATTATCTTAACAAGGAACCACATTCCAGTGTCTAGATGGTTTATCCTAGACAAGTTTATAAGTTGGGATATAACACAAAAGCTCCAGCTAAGTTAATCACATAGATTGGTTTAGCAAGCCTCCCAAGAACTCACACATTATCTACCACAAAAGAAGAAAAGTCGTAGACCATGTTAATTGAGGACTGGCAAGAAGTCTTATCCTAGTGTAATTGTGGTGTCATTACATTTTACATGCATTTATATAAGACCCTTGGTTATTAAGACACCATTGTCTTTCTTTCAAATTTTAGTCAAGTCTCGCCTGATCAAGGAAACATGACCGCACCTTGTGATAAGTGTCTATGCAGACAAGTGGTGACCATGATGCTGGCTCATGATGCGGGCCCCACTGGTAGACTCAGAGCCATGTGGAGCAAAGAAAAAGGCTATGGAGAATGCAGGTGAGTTAGAAGCACACTAGGAAAAACTAATAGTTTGCAGCTGACCTGAAAAATTCCCAGTCTGGAAGCAGGACAAACCTAAGTGACAGTCAGCGCCAACTGAGGGTGCTGCAAGAGGATCAGCTGCGCAAAAGAAGAAAAAAGCTTCTGCTAGTAAGCCTATTTCATTTGGGGAACATGTTTGCAACTTGAATACTAACCACATGCATCACTTTATAGAAGATGCCACACTGCCTCAAAAGGACTTGCATGCACCTGTATCAAAATCTCGAAAACCTTCAACACTAAGTACATACAGTCGATGAACATCACTTGCCACTTACTGACATATTTAATTGCTGCAGAGCACCAGTGCATGGACACAGACACTGAACATGATAGTAGTGAACATGATGGTTTTAGCGATAGTGAAGATAAGAAGAAAGGTTAGTATTCTCCTGGGCTGGCAGAAAAGGAAATCTTACAGATTAAGCATGCACAGTCAAGGAGGCCCATTATTGGCCGAGTAAACTCTGTTGAACTTACTCCATGAAGGATGTGAACATGATGCTATCCAGCAAACATGAACAGAGTGGTGTTGACTCAGATGACAATCAGTGCAATGTCCATTCAGGCACTGACCCCTGTGACAGTGATGGTGACTCAAACCATATCAGTGAGGATGAGGATTTAGACACTGCTGCAAGAATGCTTTCAGATGAGGTCAGTAGTTCCTGATTAGTAATACTTATGACAAGGATGAGAAACAACTCAACCAAAGGTTGCATCACTCGTTACTGATGACCGGAAGTCTCAGAAGTCAAAGGGATCAGCTTGTGGCACAGTATTAAAGGACTCCAAAGTGTTGGCCCATGATCATAAGCAAGCGACAGAGGTGAGAACAATTCTTCAATTCAATTACTACCCTCTTGGTTGCTAGTATAGTATTCCACCTTTAGATTCCAACCTGGGATGATGTCGGCAATGCTATTTCAGAGTCTGTTGAAAGCACCACTACTATCAGTGGTGAATCAGAATTTTTCTCTGATAATGATGGCACCATCACTCGAAAAGCCTGAACCTCTGCGCCAAAGAGTATCGCCTCACTTGTCCAATCCGAGAAGGGAAGAGTCAAACTCCTTGATCAGAACCCACAGACCCGCCAGGTTGTTCAAGCTGTGATCACTGAAGTCAAGTGCTATCTGATCTTTGTCCATGGGTACCCTGAATTAGTTGACAAGAACCAGCTCTCAATGCGAACTTTGTTAACCATGGCTGAGAAATGTAGCTTGCACACAATCACAGAATGTCTTCAAGCGGATGAGCAGTATGCTTCACAGCTTGGTGCGCTGGTGAGTTCATTTGGTGCATAGTATCCAAGTCAATCCAGTTGAAGTTTCTAACTATCTTTGATTATATGAGGTGGATGCCCGCATCCCTATATTGCAGCATGAGCTGAAAGACGATGCTTGTGCAAACATTGATGGCTACTTCTGCCTTGGGCACAAGGACTTTGCAAAAGCGAAAAAACTAACAGAAAAGGTCATTTATGCTTATGCTTTGAAGTTCGATGTGAGTGCATTACATTTGCTCTGGCTATGCTGATTCTTGCGACTTTTTTCAGACCAACAATAATGCTATGCCTATTAGGAACAAGCCCTACCAGGGTGAACTCCTCATATACTTGATATGTAACCAGCTCTTCCTTAGCTCAAAGGCCATTGGTGTGAAATTTGTGGCATGCTTTGTTGAAATTGCCAAGAATAAGGCGCAGCATCCTGAAATTCCTATATCCTTGCTGGTGCTGGTTGCAACTGTGGTAATGTGCTTGTAATCACTCTATGAATGCACAGCTCAAATTTTTTCAAGGTTTATTCCACTCTTTTATGGAAGTCTCTTGGTTCACTGGGGAAGTTCAACTTCTCAGGAAACCAATTCAGCAAAACTTACAACTACCACATCAAGTCCCTGGAACAGTTGAAGGAGAACGCACCTGGAAAGTTTCATCATATGATGGCGGACATTTATGAGGCTGTGCAGTGAGTTTTTGCCTGGGGGGTGCTGCCTCAGTCCTCAATGCTGACTTGTCACTTGGCTTGCAGTAAGTTGAGTCGGATTAGCGCTGCTGGGGGCCACAACAAGCTGGACACTTTGGAACTGCTTGACCTTGATGGTATGGAGGAGGACAAGGACTAATCTTCGGCATTACTGGGGAGCACATTGAGGTGAACACTTTTGAACTGCTTGTCCTTACTGGGGAGCACATCAAGGTGAACGCTTTTGAACCATTTGACCTTCATGTTGATAGTATGGATAGGACTCGGGCTAATCTACTCCCTACTCACATTCATTTTGTACCTATGCGATTTGTTGAGAGCGCTGATTGATACAAGTCTCCATCTCAGTCCTTACTAGCTGTGCTTTAACTTTACATACCATTTTCTAATCAAAACTAATTTGTTTTTGTGTAATGTTGTCTGATGGTGATTGAATTTGTGAATACCGCTCGTCAAAAATTAAACGGATGTTCTCAAATAGCTAATCATTATGATTAATTCTGCCAAATTATTTGGGGGTAACATAATCGATCTAATGGATCTAATCGTTCAAATCTGTCGCATTTTGAGATAATAGTGCATGATTATTGATAATGTCGTATAATTAGACGGGGAGGGTTTTCCTGATGTTGTGCCATTCCAGATTGATGTTACATTTCTACAGTCTATCACCAGAAGTTTACTAGATTTTTATATGCTGCCGTTGGCGAGTTATTGGAGCCACGGAACGATCCCTCACTAAAAGCTGTTGTCCGTATGTTTGTGGAGTCGGTCACACAGTGCACGGTAAATCGCTCCCATGATAATACATGCAGCATGAGCATATCCAGTCGCGGAGATTTATATTTTGCAAACTGTCACACCTGCGCTCATGTATATGGCTGATAACGACTGCAGTCGGATTTCTTTAAAACTTGCAGGCTGTGTTTTTACAGGTCTGGACCAGTTAAGGACCAGCTTCCAGGAAATTGTGGGGCCACTACTACTAGGATCTGCGGTATGCGGTGAATATCAACTCACATTCCTGCTCAGTGCTCTTGACATAGTATAAATAATCTGAGAGTCTCCAAATTTGAAACCACACTAAATATAAATAGCGGTTCTTAAAAGTTGAAGCACATGAGAGAATGGTATTTCCTGGCATTTGAATCCTCCGGAGGCCTCAGTACTTGGTAAAGCGTAATAGTGTGCATACAGAGTCTTGGCACTGCGGTTTGGCTTGTTTCAACAGTTTGTTGTAATACCTACATAATATTCTTGGTTCGCACTCAATGTTGAAACGTTGAGGCTTCAGGTTGTTGAGGGTGCAGAGCCATTCCGCAGCTGGTTAAACCCGTGAGAGCAAGCGCTTAACGCTTGCGGCTGGCGTACTTACCAATGCCAAGGACGGACTTCCGGTGAGTTGCTGACTTTCACGGTTGCTGATTGACTCGGAAGTCGGAAATATCTGTTTGACAGAATTAAAAGCCTTTATAAGGACGTCATGTGTATGAAAGGGCAGGTAGCTTTGAGGCAGCTGGTGTGCTTTCTCTCGTCGATTTCTCGGCCGTTCGGATTCTGTGTCCTACACTCAAGTTCGTCGTTTGTTTTTAGTGTTTTTTGAGTTTCCTATACTCACTTTCGCAGAGCCCGTGCACACCATATGACCTAGCCTCCGGCATCACTCCCAGTGCTTCCCGTCTTGCGTATCTTCATACTTATCGCAGTCCTCGTCGTAGCACACACTTCAGCAGGCGGCCAGTTCCTAACCGTCGCTGAGACTCACCCTAGACTTTAATGTCTCCCTCCAGCACTGAGAAACTAGGGGCGCACTGCGAGTCTCCCGAAGCAACTGCCGAACAAATTGCAGCGTCCCCAGAAGAAAGTTGGCCCACAAAAGATTTTGGTCTTATACCGATCCCGAAAAGGCTCCAATACGATCCCGTCAAACCTTTTCACTTTGGCATCTTTCTCAACATGTCCTTTGGATTTGCTAGCACATTCAGTACGGATTTCTCTGTACACAATGAATGGATGCTAATGGAAAGACAGCTGTTGCTAACTTGTATTATTGTCAACCGCTGTTGAGTATGTTGTTGCGAGGAGTTATCGGCTGTGCGTGTCTCTGATCTGAAATTCGTACATAGTCGAATTTTCGAAATCATTCGATGTTACATATGAAGAGGTTTCACGGTGTGTTATTTCGTCTGTTTCAATGAATCTGGGCTAATAGTGAGTATAATTCGGTTGTCAAGAATCCCCACCCTCGTTCAAGCAGGGTAAATGAACTTATCGGTTTCCGATGGAACGTTCACGACTTATTATCGTGGTCCAGATATTTAGTGGGATTACTTTTGATATCCCCCCTCGGCGACCTTGTTCGACGCAGACAACTGGTGTTGCTGCTGGTTGCAATATCCACTACTCTAACGATAGGTTTGGCCGTGACTAAAAATTTGCAAGTTTTTGAGACCTTGTCCTTCTTGGTCGGCGTTGCAACTGTCACTCCCCAGATCTTGATGCCCCTAGCTGCAGATCTGGCCCCACCTGAACGTAGAGCGTCTGCATTATCTGTGGTACTCTCGGGTCTCATGCTAGGCGTCCTGATCGCTCGTGTCTTGGCTGGCGTCATAGGTAATTTTACAACCTGGCGTGCAGTCTACTATATGTCAATTGGTGTCCAATCACTCGTTCTTATCGGCGCCTACCTGATGCTTCCTGACTATCCGTCCAAAAACCGTGATATGACCTATTTCCAAATCCTATTTTCGATGGCCAAGTATGCGGTGACGGAGCCACTTGTAATACAGGTGGCCATTATAAATATTGCATCCAGCACATGTTTCACTAGTTTTTGGGTCACTCTCACCTTCCTTCTCGGAGGTGCACCCTATTACTACTCCACGTACGCACATATCCTCTGACTTTTTACTGCCTGAACTTGAGACCATTTCCAGTCTCATAATTGGTCTCTTCGGTCTCGTTGGCATGCTAGGCGTGCTCGTTGGACCTTTCGCAGGGCGTCTAATTGATAGGCTGGTTCCTTGGTACGCAACTTTGACAGCCACTGGCTTGCTCCTGGTTTCCCAAGCTGTGCAGACTGCTGCAGGTGGAATCAATGTTGCAGCTGTCGTCATCGCATGCTTCGGGCTTGATGTTGCGCGTCAGGCCCAGCAAGTGTCTATGACCACTCGGGTCCTAAGGTCAACATATTTGTTTTTCCGTGGGGGGGACCGCTGTTGACTCACAATAATCATGCCACAGCATATCTTCCGCAGCTCGTGCGCGTTTAAACGCCATTCTCATTCTATCGGTGAGTTCCGCAGGAGTTATCAATCGGAGTGTTGTTAAGCAAGACGTACCAGCTCTTCATCGGGCAGGTGATGGGCACATCCGTTGGCACGCAAGTTTTCGTGCAACACGGGTGGAGAGCGTGTTCACTATTGATGCTAGCGCTCCAAGCCTTCTCAATTCTAGTTTTATTGCTGCGCGGTCCACATTGTCCTCGAAAACGTTGGTTTGGCTATGAAGGGGGACTCGAGGCACGGAAACGTGTTGTCTTGGAGAGGGAGAAGTCACGGAGTGGCGAGGGGGCAAAAGTGGAACACGATTCAGAGGCGCAAATAGAGGCGCCGATGCAAAATGGTGAAGGTCTGCAGTCCGATACATCATAGATAGAAGTTCATCTTGTGACCCGAGGAAACTTGCTCACGGGAAGGACGGCAGCGGTAATGCAATTTGCCACTGGGACCACCGAAAAAGTAAGGCCGCGTCTTTGATAAGAATCTACAATGGTGGGACCCACAAGTGCATAGCATGTAAGTCACGCCATACCAATATAGAGTTACAAACACTGAGACTACTTTCCAGTCGGGGAACTTTGAAGTGTTGGAATAGCAAAACTGGCGAAGGTTAGTGACCACTCAAAAAAACCTCATCGGAATGCGACATACCAAGGTCGTAGAAAATCAACAAACCATACATGATGCTTCCTCAGCCACACCGCGCGTTAAATCTGAAAACCCATATCAAGGAAAAGAACTCGGGAGATTAAGAAAACAGACACAAACCCCCAAATTCACTCCCATTAACACATGCAATAGTTAGTATAGCGATATCTCACGCATTTGCAAGGTTGCTTTGTATCCTCCACATTGTGTCCGCTCTTCAAACTTGAATCTTGAACGATACATGCATGAACGTCCGCAAGCACTGCCATTATAACTGCTTTCATCCGACTGTGTTTCGTATTCCACTGCGAAGAATGTCGGAATCTGTGTGATGAGTTCTTGTGAAAGTAATAGTCCAGGAAACTGTCTCATTATAGTGCCAAAGAGGATCGTGCTTCGTGAAGCATGATCGATTTTATTGGCGAATGTATCGTAGAAATTATGTTGAAGTGACCAGAAGATGAAATAACATTTGTATGCCTAGCTGCAGGTAGCCATGTGTGGATTGATTTTCTGTTTGTAGTACTACGTGTTCTGTAGCTGATGTCGGAAGTTGGAGAAAAGGAACAGAGGATACTAGTCTCACCTACTAGCCAGACCAATCGATGGGAATTACTAGGATAAGCCGTCAAGACCCACGAGTCAACAGAGATGCCGCGAAATGTAAATCTTGTAAGTCGTGTGAGGGAACCAGGAAGACGTCCGCTTTGTCAGCTTGATCATGTGCGACATGTAGCACCGTGGCATGGCCAAATACATGTCATCATCATCAGAATTGACAATGACGAAGAAGCACTGATAGTCAGCCTTATCGGATATCAATATTTGCCTCGACTCAAACCACCATGGCGGCAGCAGCACGGACACTCAGCACCTGCATATTTTGCAAGATCATCAAGGGTATGTTGACTACTTCTCGTCATTCAGCTACGCCACCTTATCACGCTACTGTGTTCTAGGCGAAATCCCAAGCTTTAAGATCATCGAGACAAACTTTTCGTTCGTCCTTTTTCTTCCGTCAAATTATAGACACATATTTATCATAGATCAGGTACTCATTCCTTGACATTGGCCCCCTCTCCAAGGGCCATGCTTTGATTATCCCTAAAGGTGTGTCAGCCGTCACCAGAAAGGAAAAAGGACTATGTTGTGAGACAATGCGCTAATACGTGCATTATAGACCACGCGGCAAAGCTCCACGAGCTCCCAGATGAATACCTCGCGGATGTGATGCCCATCGCGAAGAAGATCGCCACTGCACAAGGGCTCGAGAACTACAACATCCTTCAGGTACGTTCAATCCCACATGCAATTACCGTCCCCCTCTCCCCATTCCCTGCCGTTTAGCCTGCATAGCTGACCCCACCACCAAGAATAACGGCCGCATTGCACACCAGGTTTGTCTGCGCCTTCAACTCATTGGGCTTAGACAGCATTGACTAACATTGGTTTGCGCGTTTAGGTTGTCGACCACGTACACTTCCACGTCATTCCCAAACCTGATGCCTCAGACGAGGAGGGACTCGTTATCGGGTGGCCCGCGAAGTCCGACTTCGTAGATGAGGTGAAGAAGTATCACGAAGAACTCCTTGGAAAACTATAAAGCGCATCTGTGCTGCACCCGAGTTGGCGATAAACAATAACGAAACTGGAAAGAAAGCTAATAACTGAATTTGCAATTAAATTATATTCTGTCTCCATCTGACTTACAACAGTTCTCGACGAGGGGTGATTGGTGGGTGTAATAAGAATCCTTAAGCGCCTTCCAGGTTATACACATTGCAGATGGCTCTCGTCATCTCTACAGTCCCTACAGTATGCATCTACCTCGTGCTATTTTTCTGCGCTTTTTTCCTGTTGATATTTCCTGTTCTGCATCCCTCTGTGTAGGGCCGGTGTCATGCGATGAGAGTTTCTCTGTCTCCTCCTTTTGACGTTTTTTCTTTCTTGTAGCTGACCGCAACAAGTGCCCATGCTGTTTCAAAGTAGTAGGGCATGCAAGGTGTGCACAACTAATTGTGCGGGGCACGACATCGGAGTAGCAGACCGAAATCTCCCTCACAACTGAAAGCAACGGCTCAACCACATCCACATCGACTTCATCCTGCGGCATGGCCGTCTGAAAGTCTATCACCTGCAAGTTGCAAGTCGCTGTAACTTCTAACCAAGCCATGATACGATCAACCCCCGATTTGGTTGGGCATCCTACCAGTGTTAATTTCCGCAACACAGGAAGATGAAGGCCGACAAATATTTCGGTAAACCAGTGCGAATAATTGAGATCCGAGGGTAGAGGGAGAGTCAATGATTCAAGGCAAGAATGGGTGACCAAATGGCTTCCAGCGTCGTCATGACCGCTAAATACATTCGCCACTATGATGGTCTCCAGAAAAGGGAAGATCACTGAAATGGAACGGACGATGTTTGGGGAAGCGTATTGAAGATGAAGATGTCGTAAATTTTTGTAGGTAGGAATAGGACTAGTAGTGATCCCCCCCGACTCACTCAGGATGTGTAGCCGACGGAGATTTGATGCATTGAATTTATGAAGACCTAACCAGCTACATTCCAAGGTTCTCAATTGCGGCGTATCTAACTTGAAAGTGGGCCATTCGTTTTCAAGTAACACGCCAACCACTGTTTCCCACCGCCTACTCTCGGACTGAAGAATCTCGAGAAGTCGAAAATCTGCCTGTGAAAGTTTCCTGTAACCTGGTACAGCTTTGCACCTGACAGGCTTATACATAAAGAAATGGCATGAAAAGTAGATCCGATCGATGCGAAGGGTGAGAGGCTGACTATCAGAGCGGGCGAGCCAACATTGGAGCAGACATGAATTCAAAGGAACGGCTTCAATGGCTCATCTCCACCGGGAAGTGTAATCTGGATGCGCGACCAAAGCCCTGTCGTCGAGTGTGCGACGACCCGCCAAAGGCGGCACACCCGGGTGAAGACTAGGGGAGGGTTGAGAAAATCTCCCAAGATGCGGATACCTATTAATTTGAAAATTCTAGGACAGTTTGAGATGTCGTTGACGATGAGCAAAAATATTTGCTGTAGAAGCTCCACCGGCAGCTGATGGATATGCGGCTCAGAGTAATGCATGTGAATAGAAGATAGATTCGAATCGCCAAGGGACAACGTGTCTGCCTTGTGGTGGGGCACATTCATATTCTTCTCGGCGAGGCCTCTTTGTGTTTGAGTGATTGAAAGTAGTAGAAAGAGAAATAGGGGTTTCGGGAGTCGGGGCCTGAATTGGAACGGTTCTGCGCTAGCAACTATTGAATTGAGCGAGTCAGATCCTTCAAGCATGTTGGTTGTACGGGGTCTTCATCCATGTGTATTGACCTAGTACGTAGTCAGAGATTGAAGGCCAGTAGCATTCGAGGTTTGACTCTCGAAGGTGCGTGTTTCGGGGACTCGTGAGTCATAGCCTCATAGGTGATGCAGGCCGCAGTGCCTTGAAAATCTACCACTGGGTAAATTAACAGCTTCCTGTAGCTTCCGAGTCTACAAAAATATTTGCTACTGGTATTATGTATCAAGATTCATGCAAGAGATATCTTACCTGTCTGTTCCAGATGTTCACGGTATAGTGCATACAAGGAGCTCACGCTCTCTCCAGTCACCTTCTCAAAGAGTTCCACCCTGTATCTCGAATCCTTCATAGATCCATTAAGTTTTCGGACAGTCCCTTCGCCACAGCGCTTCTCGATCCAGTCAAGAAAGTACGCCGTAGCATCGTACCCTGCGTCCCACTTCCCCTCAGCTCTAGGTCTCCAGTGTGGTGGTGCAAAACCAGCGTGAAGCCTTACAAAATCTACCAGTAGTTCGGAAGACAAAATTTAAACTCAAAGGATGGTATCAAAATGTGCACACCTGCAATACCCTCAATAAGACCCCCTGGACATGTCTCTTTTGCATTGTACTGATAGCAATGCACAACCTCGTGAACCAGCACGCCTAGTATTTCATCTCGTGCGCGAGCCTCTGATGTTTTGATCCAATCGAGGGAGAAATTGATCTCTTTCGTCTCATGCGTGCCAAATGTGTATGCTACGCCATTGAATGGTCTGAGAACGAGCGTGATCGTCTTGACGCTTGGAATGATAATTCACAACACATTTATAGTGAATTGAGAATGCGTAGTACTCACTGCGTTGGGGCCGTGAGCGAGGTATACAGCCAGGTATAAGATGCTTCAACTGCAAGCTTGAGTGCTTCCTTGGGCTTGACGCAGTCAAAGAAGATCGATGCCCCAGGATGTGACAGGTCCTCCACCCTCAACACGAAATTGGGTATCGTCCAAGATGGCGGGGCCGGGAGATCATGAGGAGGCATGAGTTAATGGTGTTCCGAGTCACAAGCAGACGAGCAAATGAGGGCGCCAGATTTGAATAGCTTCCTTTATAGGGCCCGTGAGACTCGATACGGAGCGAATGCTACCGGATTCCGGAACTGGCCTGGACAATGATCAACACGTCCATCGTCGCGTTCAACAAGTATTGAATAGAGTGGGAATACATAGTTCGTTTTCAACCTCTGGTAGGAACCTGGGGAAACCCTCACCCAAGCTATTTTGACCTGCTGCGGTCGTGACGCGCTAGTGCAAGCATTCCTATGTCCCACACCCGAACCACCGGCCAAGCCATTGAGGCCCACTCTATCGCTGATATCTTATCGCTGGACTATTCTTACTATCCCCCAGACAGTGCAGTTCTGGCCACCAGTTGATAATATCATATGGCGCAACGACGAAGTTTTGGAGCACGACAATATGGCAGGTGATGCGTGTCAATACTCATTTCGGTCACGAGGTTGGGGCATTGGGCATTGGGCATTGGGCTTGGGCGTTTAAATTTTGAGCTCCTTTATTCCCTGAGCAGGTACTTAGTATAAGTACAGCGTTCAACTTGAAGCTTTGAAGCTGATAGCATTCTAATAAGTCAGCACCACAATGGCTCGCATCAAGAACCAACACACATACAGCCTGAAAAACTGTCAGGGAGGCACTGCTGTTGACCTCTCAGGTGATGATAACTACTCCGGTAAGCATATCATCCCTGCTTCAGGAGTATCCCAAGCCAGCGCTAATATCGCCTTAATTTAGTCCAAGGTTATTGCCCCCACGATGGCTCCAACCAGGCAGTAATGCGCTTACTTGCCATCCCACTGCGCAAGTCGTACTGATTGGCTTCTTGGTTCTTAGTGGATCTTCCAGCAGGATGGTGACCAGAACGGGTGGTTCATAAAGTCCTCCCACTCTGGACAATACCTTGGAATCGAAGGCAACGCCAGTGGTGGCACCAGGGTCGTTGCTGTTCCGTCCCCTTTCAAGTGGGATGTCAAAGACTCCGACGTCAAAAGCGCCAAGGGCATTAGGTGTGCATGTCTTTCACACCGTGCATGTCTGGTTGTAAATTGATTCTTATCGTTTTTGTTCCGCAGGATATTGGCCTATGGCACGAATTTCAGCTTAGACCTAGACTATGGAAAATCGGCAAACCAGACGAAAATTATACTTTGGGGAAGTTGGTCTGGCGCCAATCAGATCTGGGCACCTACCGAGCGGGCTTCCATCGAGGACCAGCACACCTACAGCCTCAGATATCGTCAGGGAGGCACTGAAGACCAAGACGCTGATTCAAAGGCATGCTTCCATCCTAGGCTTGTATAATGTAATATGAACATACTCCATATAGATCCTTCCCGTCACCACGACCGTCCGCGAAGCATTTATCACGGGAGACTTGTCAACGGCTGAAAAGCTACTCACGCAGGAGATCGAAGCTGATACCAACAACTACATCTCCTATGCCAACCGCTCACTCGTTATGGCCCGCATAGTCGACTGGGACCGTGCCCTTCAAAATGCACTCAAGGTGACAACGACCTTATGCCCCCTTAAAATACGCTAACTATCATCCCGACATAGTCCCTCAGCATACAGCCTTCGTTGATAGGATATATCGCCAAAGGTAGCGCCCTCTGTGGCAAACAGCATGTTCACGATGCCAGGACAGCCTTTGACCTCGCATTCACGTTCGCGAACGGAGATTCGAAGACTACTCTACTCCTCTTCTTGATCAAGGCAAGTTATATTTGTTTTGCATCCGCCACACTTGATTAAGGATTTCAGGCTATCGCGTTGTTCAATGCAAATGAACACGAAGAAGCAATGATGCGTGTCAAAGAGCTGGCTGCCGGTCCCAGTGTAGAACCCGTTGCTTGTCTTGTCGTAGAGGTGACCATCATCCACTCAATCATGCACTAGTTTGTGCGTTAATTGGTTCGTGCGTGCTTCGCACATCAGGCGTATCTGCAAGTCCAACTGGGAACCACTACCTTGGATGGCAAGTTTTACAACGAAGCTGTTGAAATTTTCGCTGCCGCTGTGAAGGCTAGCAATTTCTTTGCCAAATTGCCAATCCATACTATGTACGAGGAATTCGCCGTGGTACGTTGTTTGACGCAACTGAAAATATTTTTCCTGCTCAACTCCGTGTTCTTACAGTTCTTCGGGTGGGACCTCAAGTCGTTGTGGCAATCCGCCAACAGACAATTGTGCATTGCACTCCTTCGGGTAGGTAAATATGGAGAAGGTCTTGAGTTGTACCTATCAATGATGGAGGCAAGCGATGAAGCTACAAAGGCTAGCACACGTGCTTGGTTCGCTGGTGAGTCTTCAGTGATGTCACCCGTGCTACGTTCCTCACCTGCCTTTCACTTAGCTTTCAAGTAGAGTGAAGGGCAATATATCCTGCTAACAAAGACCCTGCCCTCCCGGCGAGCGGCTGCATATACGTTTTGACACGCGGACCTATTTTGTGCGATTATCCCGACATCACCTGTATTTTCTTTTGCATTCACATCGTATATTGGTTATGATAGAAACGAGCGCTGGGCTAGACAGAACGAACTCTAGTGAGTTCTATAGTACATTAGTAAGAGTAAGGAATGTAGCGGGCATACCGAGACATGACTTACTTACCCCCAGTCGAATCTGGGGGAAAACGAAGAGCGAGTGTGGCGAAAGTACCATGCGTGGAGTTGCCTAATATGGCAACCCCGCTGGCGTAGAACGAGTGATTGAGTCAAACGAAAAAGATACTATTACTATCATGATGCTTGGCGAGTTGATTTCCAATAAGTTCATACCGCGATAATAGATCTACGATTCTACGGTTTTGCACCCCCGAACAACAATGTTCGTTTGACGCGTGCCCTTCACCATCGATTCATTAAAGTCTGACGTCTGAAGATCTTCGATGATCACTGCATATCGTGTTAATCCCTTCCATGTACTGCCCACAGGTCACATGTCGGATAGAGAAATACAAACGAAAGCGTCCATGTTGTGTGGCTGCTGGTCGATCTGCCAGAAATGCAGGTGCATGCGCAAGGCAAGGATCGCGAGGATGATAAACTGTAAACTGTATGTTGCCAAGTGTGGGGTGTTAGTAGGAATGCACAAACGAATTTATGGATGCGTACTCTTGGAACATGACGTGGTACTGGTACTGGGTGTGCGGGATATCAATTTTTTGGCCATACAGGGCATGAGTGGTCCACGCACGTGGAGATAATGGGACGCAAGGACGTTTACCGCCGATAAAACGTTCGAAACCAGAATCATCGTCGATGAGCATGGGAAATGAGTGACGATATATATATGTATTGACTCACACAAACCGCATGCATAATAAAAATGTTATTCTTCACCAGGACGGCGTACAGACGGCCCCTGGCCATCCGCCAGCTCCGTATGGCATGTATGAGTATGAGAGACATAAGACCTAGAAAAACGTTGGTCAGACATCTGTGCATATCTATGTTCAAATTGACAAACCTAATTCCAATATAAAAAAGAGAAGAAACGGAACGAAGAAGTTGTCGGTGTTATAACAACCTGTGATGCCTGGGATGGCACTGGTAACATCTGCGAAAGTAGAGAGTGAATGTGAATGGTGGGCAGGGCGCCAATTGAGAAGCGAGAGCCCGTACAAGATGTGGTGACAAGAGAGGCAAGGGCAGTGCTGGTACATGCTATGATGGCAACCTGACTGATGCATCTAGAACGGCCTCGAGGTGCGGTGAGAGCATTGAACTTACAGGGAAAAAACCCAGTATGAAAACGAGCACGAATCGATTGTGTTTCCAGAGTGCACATGTTCGGAGCATGAAGAAGTCTGCAGGGGTGAATGGGATCAGAAATGTGAGTATGTTGAGGGGGAGGAGAAATACAGTCGGAGCAACTGGCTGATGTCTGGCTGAGAACTGTGGGACTCTCAGCAAGGGTGTGCATAAATGTCTGTACCGTGCACATACCTGAGCAAACATTAACCAAGATCTTGCATGTCTAGCAATATCACACGGCGATCAGTTGGTAGTAAGTCTACTGCGAGTTCACATACATCAGGGTTCTCGTTCGGGATGAAGTTCGCTGAAGTGTGGCAAGCCAATTCACCACCAGAACAATCTGTGCTCAAGCCGGACGTACTATATAGATGTGCAGTTAAAAGGAGAAAAGGCACAAATCGGGTGGCGATATAAAGATCTTTTACCTTGGTCCAGCGCGATTGAAGCAGGAATGTCCACTTTGAACAGCACGTGATGATCAATATATCGGAGCTTGTGATGAAACGTTACCTCTTCTTGAAGCGAACAAGCAAAATTATAAATCTGTAAGCAAGTTTAACAGCGGACGGCAAGACATCAAGACAAGCCCACCCAGAATGTAGCCATCGACGCTGAATTGTGTCAGGACAAGGGAGAGCATCGATTCAGACAAGTACGCACTGTATACATACTAGTGACATGTGGATCACCCATCTATCATTATATTATCCATTCGAAGTATCGAAAAGAAAGAGACGCACTTTGTAAGTCTGCAGACTCATCGCCGCTGCAATATCGTCAGACGAGTACTTCGCCTCCATTCGGTCGAGAGGTAGAAAATGGGTCTTGCGCACAAAGGATACACATATGCAGCTGCTTATGTATCTCCAGCTGGAAACCGCTGAAGTTTCACTTTGAGCGGAATGAGACGCGACGCTGAAACAGTGGGTGGTGTTATACAATCAACATCAGCCGTTGCAACGCTACGACACCATCTGGACCTCCCTTTACTAAGTATCAATCGGATTGGGCTAGTTCAATCGGAATTTGCCCTCACCCCGCCGGAGGTGAGTACGTACGTAAAGATTAGCGAGTTTCGAAGTCAAACGATTGAATGAATGATACCAATATTTCAGAATGATAACCTGTGTGTTGCGGTCAAGTGTAAAACATTCATCGCCCTCTCGATCGCTCGAGTTTGGTGTGCATCAAGTTCTGACTCCAGTGCACCCAAAATCTTGATAATCATACATTCATCTACCACCGCCAGCAGTGGAAGCTCGATATCTATCAATGTTACACTGATCAACTTGAAGTCTATCCAGGTGCACCTCCTGCCCACAACAGAAACTGCATTGTTTTTAAGCGAACAGAGCCAGATCTGACGAGGTTCGGCTCGACTAACCTCGTACAGTTCAAATAGCACTCCATAAACGTTTGAACGACACTGAATGTCATATCGGACTGCCCGCGGATGAAATGTCGGACAGAGGAATAAACACGAGGGCGTTAGAGCTATGTGTATATCGGTCTGTATGCCATAGGTGGAGGTGCATGCGTGTAGCGAGGATCGCGAGGACGATGAATTGGAAACTGTACATAGGTATGCATTTGGGGGTGCCGTTAGTAAGTCTGCGCATGGCAGGATGAAAGTGCGCACTCTTGGAACATGGCTTGGTATCCGTACTGTGGGTACGGATGGTTAATAGCTCGGTGATGGAGGAATTTGAAGCTTCACGCACGTGGAAGAGCAGCAACGTGAGAACATTCACTCCCGAGAAAACTTTCGTAACGAGAATCATTATTGATGAGCACAGGAAAATGGCCTGAAAACTTGTGTATGTCCTGACTCACACAGACCGCATGCATAGTAGAATATGTTATGCTTCACCAGGACGGTGTAGACATGGCTGTTGGATGACCGCCAGCTCTGTATAGCGCGTATGAGCGTAAGGGACACGAGACCTGGAGATTGTCAGTTAGCGCGCGTCTGCATAGATGTAAACTTCTTATTCCGGACGACATACCAAATTCAAGCCCAATCAAGAGAAGAAATGGTATGAAAAGCTGGACGACGGCTGAGCTCTGGTAGCAGCCTGTGATGCCCGGGATCGCGCTGGTCGTCCCTGTAAAAGTGCAGTGTGAATGGTGGTAGAACAAGGCTAAGGTAGGAGCGCATACACGGTGCATTGGCAGTAGTGGCGAAGGCAAAGCCTATGGACGATACGACGACAGCCTGACAGATGGCTTACACAAGTTAGAGGTGCACTGAGGATGGGACTCACAAGGAAGGTAACGACCACGGTAACGAATACAATTCTGTTGTTGTTCCAGAGCGCACATGTTCTAAGGACAAAAAAGCCTGGACGAATGTGATCAAGATCGTGCGGATTTTGCGGGGAAAGGATATATACATTCAGAACAGGAGACTGATATCAGACTGAAACCTGTAAGAGGAATGGTTAGGGCTAAGCGAGGATGTCCATGTGTATATGCACAATGCACGTACATGAGCAAATATTGTTCAACAACTGGCATTTCTAGTCATGCTGTCAGCGTCATTGAGATCAACGAGTCTATCGCACATTCACACACATCGGAGTTCTCGTTTGGAATGAAGTTCACTGAAGCACGACATGTCAATTCATAACAATGACTTTAGGAGCTGGACGCACTATATAAATGCCCGGCTAAGAGGACAAAAGGCGCGTATCGTGCGATGATATAAAGGCCTTTTACTTTAGACCAGCGTGACAGAAGCAGGAACGTCCACTATAAATGGATTATTATTATAAAAATATAAAAATGAAGTTGAACGAGTAAATTACCTCCTGATGAAGCGAACAAGCATAATCGTAGATCTAAGCAAGGGAGTTTAACAACACACAGAAACGCAATACATTGGGACAAGCCCACCCAGAATGTAGCCATTGACGCTGAAATGTGTTTAGAACACGAAAGAAGTAGTTCGAACAGTGAAACGCACTATATAGATACTGGCAACACATGGGTTATTCATTGTTATCAACGACTATCGGGTCGACAAGGGAACGTACCGTGTAGACCTGCAAACTCCTTGCCGCTGCAACATTGTTAGCTGAATACTCCACTTGCATCTGGTCGAGAGGCGGAGAATGGGTTTCGTGCGCAAAAATCCACGGCACGCATCTTCTTATCTCTCATAAATGAGCAGGGAAACGAGTAGGCTCCGGCCGCAGCACGGACACCATTGCAGGAAGAAGGTCAAGCGCTCGAGTCTCGTCATCGAGAAGTTCTGCTGCTCGAGTTCTGGAAAGTAAGCGACGTCAATCTAAATGCGAGGCGTACGTATACCGCGGTGATAAGCCATCGTGCTCAGCTGTCCAGTGTTCGTACCTCCAGGACCTGCTCGTCTTATAAGTGGGCAACTTGAAGCCCACCACGAAAATCGAACTGGGAATTAGTAAACAGAACCCGAATCATTGATCGATGCCAGCATATTATAATTCAATACTTGTCTGTTTACACATCGTGATGATGTGAGTAATGCCGCAAATACTAAAATGAAAAGACGAAATAATGACAGACTGTGGCAAGGTGAATACGCAGGCTGTGAAATAACGACGGATGGTCATATTGTCCGATATCCAAGACTATGTAATGGCGGAGATAGTGCAACGTCCCAGAACACAGTAGAACCAGAATAAGCAGGTAGACAAGAGGCGACACGCGAATAAATCCAATAATAAGCCATCATGCTGCATTGATGGACAGCTCGATAGGGCAAGGGGCCGCATCCACCTGTGTGGATTGGGACTGGGTTGATGGCAGCCCGGCGATATCCATCGTAAGAATGAGCCTGAAATTTACACCTGTCGTTCTCATGAGCAAACAGAAGCAATCATGACATACACACTGACCTGGCCTTGACCCATTAGCATAAAGCCCAGAATTCTTGCAGGCATTATACCACTCATTCCATGTTGGATCTGAGTCATTTGATGCAACATACGAGAAGTTGAGTGGGACCTGGATCTTTGGATATGACTTGGCGGGGAGGGTATCTTTTCCAAAGTAACCCGTACCGACTTGTAGATTCGAGTCCGAATCCCACACTTGTGCAGAGATGTAGTTGAAGGTAAGGGGAATAATATTGGAGGTGGTATCAACTTGAATATCTGCGTACGCTGGAAATGAGAAATTGGCTGGGTACCGGGAGAACTGAGTTGGGATTGAAGCATTGTAGCTCCCAGTAGCGGCAACAAGAGGTGTGGAGCTGTTGAATGAGAGACCAGGTACTCGAGGAATGGTGATTGCGAGGATAGTGCCAATGCTATAAAAGCTTTCGATATTTCTGTACCCCAGGAAGACGAGCGCGACTTACATGGCAGCCAACCCAAATATGAAGAAGGCAAGGAACCTTTTCGTGAACCACTTTCCACACAAACCCGTCTCCCCACGATGCCAGGCTTTCCACTTCTCCTGCCGCTTCTCACTCTCCATCTCTCGTCGACCCGACTTAGTCATGTTTTTCATTTCGGATAGTTGCCATTCCGGACCGAGTGCAGGCACTGTAACTAGCTCGACTGGAGTTTGAGCACTATCGGCATCGCCATCTGTCTTGGCACCAGGCGGAGGCGGAGGTGGGGGAAGCTGATGATAGCTGCGTATCGGTTAGCTTGGTAGGACATATTAGCTCTTCCGTGTGCATACCCTGCTTCATGATGTTGTCCAATGCCAAAAGCAGTACTGTATCTTGGGCCGGCGTTATTAAAGTCTGCATAAACATCCCAGGTCTGAACTTCCGGAGCTTCTTCTTCCTCATCACGTCCGCCTTTCAGCGGTTCTAGGCGCCCGGCGGCAAAAAAGATGATGCGTTGTACCCTGCGGATTGTCCTCCCGTTAACATATCATGGCTCGTCCGTGGTTGTCGATCAGCATAGAAGGAAGAAGCATCGTCTCGTGGACGACCAGAAGGAGCGTAATCAGGAGATTGTGAATGATTTAGGGCATCGAATGAGCCCCTGCGTCCTCCATAGAATGAAGATACAGTCGATTTTCTGTCGTAGTCCATGGCAAGAGAAGAAGTAACGAAGGAAACGAAGAAAAGAGTGGCTAGGTGGGAAGTGCCAACCCAAAGGACATGGTGACCGACGCCGCACTTGCCGTGTTAGGAAATGTGGGTTAGGGTTAGTTCAATTCAGAATGTGCGTGACAAATCATCGCTTTGATCCTCGCGCTGCAGAGCTCGGAAGTTAACCTAGACATGTTTTTTTAGCTGCATTAATTCTGCAGCTGATGAAAAAGCATACCATACCATAAAATCACGAATTCAAAAGGAACTTCCAGCTGAAATTAATGTCATGAACGATCGACTAACCTGACTCGAGCACTACCGTGACATACCAGTAATGTCTTGCTAGTCCGAGACACCAAGAATTCAGCGTGACTCAGGATTCCTTTATTTTTGCCGTCAATCGATATCGAATTTGTGAGTGTTCTGCTTTCTTCTTGGACGAAAGTTTCACTCGATGATACTCTAGCTGTTGATTCGACCCAGCTCGCCATGGAACATCGGACTATTTTGACTTAACCACAGTGGAATCGTGGCACTTGTACACCCTGCTGACCATCATGGGCGCCCTACATCCGCCATGACTATCACTACTCGTGGTATAACATAAGGACTATCCTTATCCTGATGCTGGGTAGCCTGACATATGGTTACGTGAACAGCGTTCTCACATATATACACTTGGACAACCAGGATTCCTTACCTACTTCAACCTGGCAGAAAATCCAGCATATTCAAACGCGATAATAAGCACAATCAAAGGAATTTTCTCTGCAGGTGGTGTTTGCGGTGCATTCGTTGCTGGTTGGACGTGCGACTGATACTGCAGAAAAATGACGATGAAAACCGCTTCTATGTTCTCTATTCCAGCCGGTATCTCCTTGCAGGATTCGTGAATGCCGCCATGCTTATTGTGGCGCGCTTCGTAATCGGCTGGGCAGTGGGGATGATGACGGTAATCATTCTAATTTTTGGATCGGAGGTTCCTCCACCCTCACGGGGGCTTCTCGTGGGACAGCATGTGAGTCTTTTCGGTACTCTAGAAATATGTCGACCGTGATCCCTATGCGAAGGTGTTTGGATTGTTGCGGCAGGTGCGGCGACTGGATAGATCGTTGTTGACAGTTACTCGACCAACCTGATTTTCATTGGTGATTTCTATTTGTACTCTGGCAGTGTACATGTTCTCTTTTGCTCCTTTGCTGTAGTCTGTGGGTGCCGGAGTCCCCTCGTCAGTGTAAATTTCCAACCCTTCGATAATTTTTACTTGTGTATTAAGCCATCTCCACAGTACTGATGCGAGGTAGACATGCAGAAAGCTGGGAGATTGTGTCCGGGCTACATGTTGACAGCTCCGGCCCATCATATGCACCTAAAATATTCTGTGCACAGAAAGGGTTCCATCAGATGATTAAACAAGTTGAGTTAGATACACAAGTCTGGGTTACAAGCGGCGGAGCTTGGCAAACAGTAACAGAGCATTCGTACCGCAAATGTATGTGGTTCCATGGTCGTATGCGGTTCATACTTCTATGTCTAATTGACATTTTTGGGCAGATTATATGGTAAACCTCTACAAGGACCTGGGTTTTACTGGTGAGATCACGATCATTCTTAGTGTGACATCTGACTGTTGCCAGAGCCGGAACTTGGTTGCGGCCATAATCATGGATCATGTTGGTCGTATTCGGTTGCTAGGCAAGAATATTTCGCCCTTCTCTGGCATGCATTATCGCTCTCTGCACAGCAACTGGCCTTGTCAGCTGTGTGACCTCTTCCCTGAAAACCCCTACCTAATTGACCCTACACCTCACACGGGGAACGCTCTTGGTGCGTTATTTATATTCTGCTTCATTTGCTTCTATGCTTGCGCAATCGATGCCACGTCATACGCCTATTGCAGTGAGATATTCCTGTCGCACATATGTGCACGGGGCATGGCATTCTCAATAACCGGGACATTTTCGTCGACTGTTGTGTTCTTAGAAGTTGGCCCCACGGCGCTCGCAAACTGGTTGGGGATACTACATGGTATTTGTGTGCCTGTCGGTGATGAAATTGGTGTCATGCTCTATTTTTCCCTGAAGTGGGGTTCCAATCTATTATGGTCCTAGCGTCTCTGATGATCGAAAGACAGGTGTTGAATCCTAAGATATGCTGGATGTGGATTTTTCTTCTTCCCGCTCACTATTCACTTGTTCGTCCTGTTGGGATACACCGAACCTTCCCACTGATCAACGGGACCCGAGTGTTGTGGTTGATACTTGGACTCTAATTGTCGAAGCAATTGTATACAACAGGGAAGATGGCAAACGGAATATTCGGGGTTTTGATTGGCGAGGTGTGGGTGCGTAGACTTGATTCTTTGGATCTCGGTTATTGCTTACTATATACAGTATAGCTATGGCAGTGATTCAAACTTTGTCTCAAGAGTTGAGCACCGCGTGCCCTCTTGATGAGACATTTTCGGCACTTCTATGGATGATTAATGATTGGCTAGAGACTCCTGTATTCTGTGCAGCATGGGAAGAAAACACCGCCAAGATTGTGCGATGGCCGCAACTGCAGATCATTCTACGTCACTCAATACCACCTTGACTATAGCGGACTGTCCGATGCCGTATCCGTGGTCCAGAATCTTCTCAAGTACATTTATGATCAATGGATCAATGACCGACAAGACTGAATTAATATCCGGGTCAATCGCAATGATGTCGGGACATATCTGTTCGTGTGCCGTGCAGATCGGTAGGTAGTACATACTTCAAATTGACAGATGCTGCGCCTATATACTGCACACCATTGCCAGATTGGCACAGGCAGCAAACACGCTACATGCTGGCAGCTGCCGTGTCCCGCAGCATCGTGATTTCCCAAGCTTTTTTTTTTTTGAAAAATTTTATTGTCTAAGACCCTACGTCGGACATAGCCTAGCTATGCACGGGGGGCTTACTCCCGTTTATCTATCGTATTTCTCAAGCTTTCAATACTACGTGATCCGATAAGGACTACTGTCTAGCTTGGAGACTAAGCAGTCTCGAACCAACATTTTGTGAAGTTACAGTGTGTTATACTGGTTATCCAGGAGTGGCTGGTTCAACAAGACTATCTGAACCTGCCTTTGGGACGCCTTGTCTTGTTTTGTTCTGTTTCTATCAGAGAATACGCATGTCAGTCAATTATTGCAATTCGTCATGCTACACAAACGACATGGACGTTGTCCACAATTAAACACTGGTCAATCACGAATGTACGTGAATTGCGCAGTGATATCGAGTCTGAAGATCGTTGCGGTGCTCTACCATGACATCCGTTCACCGTGCCCATAAATGGAACAGGCCGCCCTCTCAGCGGCTTTGTCATCTAAACTCCGTTTGAATCACCCGGACCTGAAGCTTTGAAGACCTGATCGATGATCCCAGAGTCCAGACAGCCCCAGACATGGCATCACCCAGACCAGCCGTATCTTGCAAATTCACAACTCGTCGGGTTCGAGATTTACAATCGATTCTGTGTACTCCATATCCATGATCGAAATCCCCTGTGATTTGCCCCAGGCTCATATGAAATCATAAATGTCTCATTACAATGAGCTGCATGAGCTGCAGTGGACTCGACGTAGCTTCTACTGCAACATCGGATGGCTTGGTTTCGTACGTCCATTAGAGTCAACGAGACCCAGATCCAACTGGAACTATCCGCATTCTCAGTGTCACAGACTCACAGCAGGTGCTCAACAACTCGACAGCAATTGCCTCGTGGCTGCATGGACAACCTCAAGTATGTGCGGTGCCCAGCTTCTGTTACAGATAGCACTACCTCTCTCCCACCATCATTTTATCTCTGAGCCAACGGTGCACTCCCCGACACCGGAAACCACGAAGGAACGCTTCCGTAATGAACTCGAAGCGGACAGGAAGGATGCCGAGTCCGAGTTTTCTCGTTACGAAGACGCAAGTATACTACATGAAGCAGCTCGTCCGTTTCTGCGAGGTACGATATATACATCTGTCTGCATTTTCATAGGATTAACAGGCATCATGTTAGCAAAACGAATGTACACCTCCACTTCTATTCTGTGTCGCTATGGATGTCCTGAGTGCTCAAGCTTCATCTGTGCCTTCCGAGCGCATATTTTCATTCAGCAAAGAGACCTGCACTCTACGGCGCAGCAACTTACCTCCAACCTTCAAGTCCTGAAGTTTATGTACAGGCAAGATTGCGTCAATTTTACGGAGGACCTGGTGGCTGACGAGCGGAACTACACTATATCTGGATCTGTGATTCCCAGAGCAGTCGACGAGCTGATAGCTTCTGGGAATCTTCGCGAGCTTGATGGGTTGCTCCAGAATGCAAGTGACATTGACTGTAATCGGTATATCTACTGGTCGTGTACGAGTCACTTGCAAATAATGCGGCTGTGTGCAGAATCCCTAGCTTCTCAATGGCTGGACTACCGGTCCGTATCACTCCCGAACTTGTTTCTACATCGTGAGGTGAACGAGGTACAACTTTGTTTCAAATTGTTAGTGCCGAACTGTGTCGATTTACTGGAATTGTCCACCTCGATTCGGTTTGGTAACCAAAAATCCATCATACTGCCGCAACATTAGTTGTTGTACTATCGAGGTACGTAAAATTTTTATTAAAAGCGCGGAAAGTTTACCTAACCGTCAAAGCCCGTTGGGCCCCTGAGACGTTAACAACAAGCACATCTTCGAGCTTTCATTTCACCACATCATACTTGTTGGGCAGTACATACCTGTGCAGGTCCAGTGCCATGCTAACGTGTTTTATGATCAGGAATGGAAGCGGACACAGCATGGCGCAACAAACTGTCACTAGAAACTACAGCTACATGGAGATGCTTCAGATCCTTGAATAAGTTAATATTGTTGATTGTTGATGCCGAGGACCTCCATTATCGCAGATCAACTTGGTTCGACTAACCGGATGGGAGACGTGAGCTTGTTCTGTCATCCGCCAGTTGCATGTGCATCGTTTATGTTTATTATCATTGTTAATTTACAACACTAATACCTAGGAAAATGCAATCTACGCGATCGCAAAGCTGTGATTTGCCGTTTTTCGAATATAACCAGACGTGCACCTCACCCGGCCCTTGGCTTGCATTCTCGAGGTGCAGCGCCACTGTCACCTCCGAGTCAAGGGACCTTGACCTCACCTTCCGGCGACACTAGGGCACCTATAGAAAGCGGCCCTGTAAAATCCAATGCCCGAATATCGAGCCGCGGCTCCTTTGAGAACATTCTGCTCATTCTCCAATTGCAATAGTTATGATTCGGGACCAACCGAATGTCTCCGTACCCTTCGCACATGTTAGCAGGTATATTGCAGATTTGAAAGGGGCCCGGGACGACTCATCCATATATGTACTAGTGCGCAGATGCATTCGGAGGCACGGGGGCTTAACAAGGACCTATGGAAAACCATAATGACACAGCCGATCGAAACGCACTTACGTACGCAGCGGTTTGTATCGAGAGACAATACCCAATCGATACCCCTATTAACCCAATTATGCGTGATTTATGGCGTTTGTGACTGAACGCTGCAATATTGCGAAAGGACGGGGTCAGCTTACGTTGCCAATCTTTTGTGTTGAACTCAGCTGAGAACAACGCGCTCCAATTCACACATAGTGTCCGAATTTACAAAAAGGGTTGTCAGATCCGTCTCACCATCAATCATTACATCGGAAGGAGTCCTCGGATCGTCCGACAAAGATGCATTGTTCGGCTAGAATACACCAAAACTAACGTGGAAGATTGAGAGCAATCCCATATGTAATATGTAGTCCATACAAACGGAAACTTTCAAAGACGTTTCTGATGCGGCAATTGCCGGCGAATTTAGGCTAAGCATGAACACGCAGGGAAAAGAAGTCCGTGGGGATGTAAGAAAAGGCGCAACGCGTGTGCGCCATCGAAGTGCAATCCCAAAGCGAACAAATGAAACGTGCCAAGGCATCTAAGTAGTAGCTGCTGGTTATCTAGTGGATTCCAACGAGATCTGCGTCCATACATGATTAGTCTTGGTCTTGGGGCGCGTGCGAGTGTTACTCAGTGAGAATCATCAATCTCGGGAACGAGCGAGAGCTCGCTCAGTCATAACGGACGGATTCACAGCATCTCAAAGCTCGTCACAAGTCGAACGTGCTGTGCATCCGCAGCAGCTTGTTCGAGCACATTGTCAACCTCTTGAAATGGGTTCATCTACGTGGCGGCGCGGTGACGGGAGGTAATTCCGCGAATAACGGACTAGCCCGCCTTGGAGCGACCGAGGTGGAACTGTAACTGTGTAGAGGGGAATTGCGATCGATCTTGCTGTGTAAGGAGGAGGAGCTGGACTAGCTGAACTCGAAAGGTCGGCCCACGAACCCGACGTCTCACTTTCAGTGACGGAATGCGAGACACGGCGAGTGCCTGAAGGAAGTATGTATCCTGGCGCCAAAAGATATATATATATTAATTTGTAAATAAGGAACATGACAACTCACTGAGAACGCGATGAGGGACGCCTGAAGTGTGGAACTGGAACAATGAATGCAGGAGGTAGACGGCAAGCAGAATAGACACTGTGGGATCGACACATTGTCAATTAGCTTTGATGTTGGCTGTACGGCGGCAGCCAGGGATACTTACGGAAACCAGCTACGATACCGATAACAGGCTGCCACTGCAGGTCACTAGTAGCTGTCGCAGCATTGTTTTCGGTACGGGGGAGGTTCAGCGTGACTCGAAGGAGGAGGGGACGAACAGGGGGCATGATTGGTATGTGAAGAGTGAGTTACATCCGGTTGATGTTTAAATACTATGTATGTGGCAGTACACATGTTACCGCACTCGGTCTTCACCTTCTCTGACATAAGAGGGATGACATTTTTCTGTCCACAACGAGTAATGCGGACCTCCAAAATATTCAAGTTAAGCGACGGTGCTTCGCGGGAGAAGAACTAACCTGTGCACAGCGCAAGAATGCGGCCCGTGAAACGAAAAGCCGCGCAAAGAAGCAGCTGTTAAGCTACCAACCATGGAAACGCGAGTGCGATTCGGTTCTTTTGCGAGGCGCAATTACGAGCTGCTCTAGCCTTTATGATGGCCTCTGATAGTTTTCTCCCACAGAGCAAGTCGCTCGATGAGGGCATCTGTATTCGCTCTTGAATAAAGTAGATCCGGACCGTCGCCATCCACAGGCACAGACCGCTTCCACACTAGCTCGTCGATACGGGCCAGGAATTCCATGGAAGACCTGATGTCGTCGACACTACTGGGGTGTGGATAGACCGGATCTTTATCCAAAAACCTAGAAACAAGGGTTGTGATCGAACGAGGGGACAGTCGTAGTGATGTGACAAGTCCCTAGTGAGATTGTGGTGAGCCTCACAACAAACCATAGTTAGAAACTCACAGTAAGAATATTCTTTGCCTCATATTCGGAAAGACTTGATATTTCCTCTAAGTGACCAGATTCAAAACCTCGTTGTATATCAGAACCCTGTGCCTGAGACGAAGGGATGTCATGATTGCCGGAGGGCTGAGCAGAAGGTTTTCCTGTTTGTAAGCCATTCAGTGGGGAAAGCCGTTCCGTGACCAAGGCTCGGAGTTTTTCATAGCGTTCACGGAGTGTGTCAATCTCAGAAGTAGCGCGTGAGAGTGCGACGTTTATTTGCTCGAACTCAAGCGGCTTAGTCAAATCTTGGACCCTACCCTACCAGACCGGCAAATGGAGAGAATCAGGATCAGGCGCGAAAATGAACTGTAATCAACGCACCGCGTGTTCCGTGAGCGGTACAGTTATGTCTGTGGGCCTCGTTGTGGCTTTCTCTATGAAACCACCCTACCTGTCATGAATTGGGATATCCGCATAAAATTCATTTATAACGTACCTGATGAGGGAGAGGCATCTCATCACAGGGTACAGGACTTACGGTAGTATTTTGCGCGTTTGGCTCGTCCCGGGATAAAAAAATGTGCTCGTCAGATCCGATGTGAACTAACTCGTCTGGGGAGGAAGAGTGTGATGTGTGAGTTGAAGATGCGGAGTGCTGTGTTTGCGTACCCGTACTCTGGATGGTTTGATCCAGCGGTGCGGAAGAACCGGCTGAGGTTAAGCGTGATCCCTGCCACCCCCGTTCAGAGGATTGGCTTGACGGCGACACGGACCTGGAGAGACCGCTTTTGCTGAATACCTGGTGGGACCATTAATGGTAAGATCCTGTGGCATAAACGTACATACATCCTGTATATCATTTTCATGCTGCGCACGCGAATGGTGGGTATCTGAACGGGTATCGGGTGATTTGTTATCAATTCTGTCAGGGCCTAAATTTTGTGTTGCGAACATGAGACGGATCTTGTCAAAAGCTAGTTTTCCGGATGCGTCCCGTAGTTGGACGGTGTGATGAGGGCTGTGTGAGGAATATGAATCGGCTACTGCGATATCATCTGATGCGAGTAGATCTATCAGGGCATCAAAATTACTATTGGCATCATCCGCCGACTGCTGATTCACAGCGAGATTGGCATCAGCACTAGTTAACTGTGAGATCGGCATATTTTTTAAAGCGAAAAGTGAATGTGATGGAAGGTCATGTCACTGGTACTGTCGATGTAGCAGTAAATCAACGTTTCAACATCGAGGCAGGGATTAGTAAATTTAGATCAACCATTTACATGACCTACTTACATAATGTAGGTCCAGACAATTGAGTTGCTTCGAAAATGTTGTTTAGTCTTCTTCAAGCTCGACGATTTGAACTGCGCAGTTGTGTTTGCTGTAGATTTTGCCATCGCGCTGTTCGATTTTTTCAAGGTCAAACGCTATTGAAAATTTATACCCGCGGGGCTTGTCTTGTACTGGATCGGAGTATCTGACCGAGTTTGGTAGTGCCGATGTCGCGACCCAGTCCTGGTCCTAGCTGGACCGTCCTTCCAGGTAATTATCCTTCAAACCGTCAAACTTCTACAGCTCATTGGATGCAAGAGCCTCCAAACACTTCCCCTGCACCAACACCACGATCTGACCCTGCCAGTGATCTCGGCGACGACGAAGAGGATAACTTTGATACACCCCCAGGGAAGAGGAAGGCTATCGAGAGCCCTGTTTCTGTTCCGAGGCCTCAGAAGCTTGCGCGTTTCAATGATAATGGTCAGCGCATTTCTCGTGCTGAGGTGTCACATTCTGGTAGACGAACGAATGGTACTGCTCCTAGTAGTCTAACACAACCTCCTAAAATCGCCAAGACATCCCGTTCTTCTTTTTTGTCTCAACCTGCGCGTGTACAGCGCGTGCGTCCTGAGAAAGGCAAGGATCGCACGTCAAGTGGACAGTCGAGTTCCTCGCTGAGTGATCATATATCAACCATGCTTCAGAAGCAGAATATGCGGCTCAAACGCGTAGAGACAGCTCGCAAAACAGCTCGCAAGACTACTGGAAGTCGCAGAGTATCTACTTCAGATCTTATTCGTGCAGTACAGAAGCCCAGCAGTAAGTTTACCCTCCTTATCTATGCTTCGGTGTATTAACAAGTATGCGGTATGACAAGGTGGTTCTGAAGTGTCTTCCGCTGCTACCCGTGTGCGAAGAGGTCAGATGCACGGCCTTCCTGTTTACTCCACAACCTTATTGTCTCCACCTAGGTTCGGTTAGAAGGTTTCCGCGCGGTCGACCACCTCCCAGTTCAGACGTCATCGAGCTCACCGACTCTTCAGGTTCTGCGAGACGAAGAAGGGCCCGCGGCGACGATCCCATTATTATCTCGAGCTCAGATGCGGACACCCCCCCGAGACAGCCCCAACCTTCACAGACGCCAATTTCCCGCAAAGCAGGCCCCAAACGTCCACCTCCCCCTAATGCTGAAGTTATCTGCATATCAGACAGTGATGACGACAATGTCCCTGCTCCCTCGACAGCAACTGCTGTCCTTCCCATTCAAGAGCCCAGTACTGCCTTGCCTTCGCCGCCTCCTATAGTCATGGAACCAGAAAACGAAATAATGGTCGATCTAGAACATCAGGCTCCAGAAAACTTGTACTATGAACTGATGGAACCTGAATCCAACTTTGACGAAGAACTAGCAAGATCAGAACTCCAGCGTCAAACAGAAGAATTGTTTTCGTACATTGATTTGGACCCCCCAGAACCAACTTTCGCTGACCAAATTGCTAGTCCAATTGCCCATGATGACTGTGATGTTGCTCAGGACCCACATGTTCCAGCCCCTGACATGCTTACCGATTTCACTCTTCCATCCTCAGAGCAAGCAACAGGGACCTCTCCAAGTGACACTGTTCCGGTCGAGATAACCTCTCAACGTATTGTAGTCGACACTCTTTCTCATCTAGAGTCCTCATCAGGCTCCAAAAGTTCAATGATTGCCCCAGAAGTTCCGTTCCAGACGCACGCTACCGTGCCCGCCATAGCTAAACCCTCGATCGCATGGAATTATACCCTTCCCACCACTAACCCGTTCTTTGCTAGAGCGCTTGCTTTCAACGCAAAAGCGTTGAAAAAAACCTCTACCCCTAGTTGCTCAGGTATCTAATGAACCGAACGCAACTGCTTCTTTCGCTGCCCCAGCTGCTTCACCAGCTATTGTCGGGTCGTCCACAGCAAACATCCTGCCCAAGCCATTGGTGTACGAGCAGGCTTCCGATGCACCCACGGCGAGCAGAAACCCAGTCTCATCACCCTCGCCCGTTCACTTGCTACCTCGTGACGGTGATAGGAGCATTTTGCCACCCCTTGCTGATGAAGCTGCAGTAGACACGCCCCAACAACTTCCACAAACAGAATCTCGTCACGATATTGGTGCTCCTTCAACCCGCAGCGACCAGTCTTTCACTCGTGAATCTACTGCCATGAAGATCCCTATCTCCATGTCAGACATACCAGCACCGGCACCAACTGCCCCTCCCTCGTCCGCCCCCCTCCCCGTCCCGCCACGCGTGCAGGCGGCCCATTAAAAAACTCTCGCTTACCGAGTTGATTAACAAGAGGCGAGAGGAGCACTTCAGGTCGCATTCTTCTGGCGAATGTATCGACCTTACGGACGATGTGTCTCCTTCAAGTGGCAGTAGCCATGCGCCCAGTGTGTCGAAGCTTCAGGAATCTGTACAACCTCCACACATTACAGCCAACAATGTGTCTTCATCGCCTGCCCCAGTCTCCGGTAGACAGCCAGCACCGATTGTTGAGACTCGCACGCCGAGTATACAGGAAATTCGCGATTTAATGCGTCAGCGTCCATCCAGCAGTAAATTCAGCATTTCTTCAGCAGCCAGCAACCTAACCTCATCTGCAGCATCTGCCACCAGCTCCCTCATTCCCAACATCTCTCCCCCTCCTTCCACTACATCCAATTCAACATCATCCAGTAACCAAAGCATCTCGAAATCTAGCTCACGCAGAAAGAACTGCTCGATAGGCATGGCAAGTCTTGAAATGTTCATCTCGCCCATCCCGGACGGGTCCCAGCCCGCGTCGACGACGAAGACGACGCCACCGACTATGAAGAGAATCTCATGCAATGCGGATGTGTTCAGGCGCATTATTACGCCCACAGCGGAGATATCGGTGCGCGATCCCTCATTGTCTCCTTCTGAGGGTCGGAGAACCAGGCGTGTTGTTCGACCACCCAATCCGCAAGGTATTGGCGCTGGTGTCGATGATGTTGCTGCGCAACTTCATGATCAGTCTCGTGCACTGCCTGAACCACTTGAGGATCCCGGAGTTGCGCCGACCACTTCACCGTTTGTTATTCCTGTGGAGGGAGAGATGGAAGTCCAGAGCACCTACGCGCACAAGGACGTCCAACTCCTAGATGCCACAATGGACGATATGCTTCCATCGGAAGGCTTGCAAGGTGTCACCGAGAGCATTAGATCGCTGGATTTACATGAACGCAGTCGATCCCCCGAAGTAGACATCAATGTTGATCAGGCACGTACAAGCCCTTGTGAATCCATCAGGCGAAGTCAATGGTCTGACATGCTTCATTAGGTGGGCGTTTCGCCTTTAGAGCGTATACGTGAAGACGGGTACCTTGAAGCCATCCCGGTGTCTGCCGATTTAATGGAACACGAGGAGTTAGAGTCACTGGAGATGTTAGTGGATGACGTTTCGGCTGAGAGCGTGGAGCAAGCTCTGGTCTCTGTTGATGAGCGCCGCGATGTTGACGAAGAAAACACTGGTGTGAATATGAGAGGAACACGAGCATTGACAAAACGCACAAGGTCTAAGTCAACGGGTGTATCGGGAGATAGTGACCAAGAGCGCCTTTCAGTGCTCATGCAATTAGAAGCTTCAGATGGAGAGGTACGTTGCTCACTCATGGCGGGACACCTACGTGGCCTTTTCTTATTCTTTAATTTCAGGCAGGAGAAGCGGATCATCCGATTTCTATCAACAGCAGCCGGACGATATCTTCGCACACTTCTTCAAGACAGCTTTCTCAGTCTCCTGTGTCTGCTGGTCCCTTGGGTGTCAGCGTGGTAGATGGAGGTCATGCCACGTCCGTAAAGCAGCTCGAAGACGGTGTCGAGTATTATATAGGCGGATATCCTGTCGTGACATGGAATTCGTATTCGCAAGCACAGCGGCTGATGCCTCCCAAGTACCGTCTCGCAATAGACCTTCCACATGAGTTCCAGGACCGCGTCAATGCCCTCCCTCAGTCGTACAGGGATTCGCCCCAGGCAACCGTGCTCTTCGAGGCCATGATCGATGAAGCAATGGATGACGAACTCGGAGCCCCTCCCATATCAGTCATCAACGAGGTGACTGACGAAGGCGCGCCGCCTTGGGAATTCGTATACACGAACCAGATGTGGTATGGCGAAGGCGTTCCGCCGCCAGATATCAAGAATCTGAAAAGCTGCGGCTGTGTTGGGCGATGCGATCCCAAGTCGAAGACATGTGGGTGCGCGAAGCGGCAACGCCATCATCTTAAGCGATATATTGCCAACAATACCATACCGGACACCTGGAATGGCGTACCGTTTTTGTATGACAGCAAGGGATCTCTGCAGTTTTTCGGGATGCCGATCTTTGAGTGTAATGATTTCTGTGGGTGCGATGAGGATTGTCCGAACCGAGTAGGTACCGTTTGTTTGCGCTTTTTCGTTGGTGTTGACTGTTGATTCTTCAGGTTGTTCAGAGAGGCAGGAAATATGCTGTCAACATCAAAAGGACAGAAACTAAAGGATGGGGTGCGCTTTTGCTGTTGTTGCTTCTCTGTGGTGTTATTGACTGTTTTCAGGTGTCTTTAATGGGCCGAAGAAGATTCCTGGGGGATCCTTTATCGGCATCTATGCTGGCGAGTTACTGACCGTGGAGGAATCTGACCGCCGTGGAATGTGAGTGCCCAGTTTATACACGAGACATACGGTCTTAACTGTTGGCTAGGCTATACAACAAGTTCGGACGAACTTACCTCTTCGATATCGACTTCTATTACATGGGTGCTGTAGCAACGTACTCTGTGGATGCTTATCACGCTGGAAACGTTCGTTTCCCTGATGATTGTTCCTTCGCTCTCTGACGATTTTTCTTTAGTTCACTCGTTTTCTTGCAAGTTTATTTTATCAAGTCTTTGCACAGAGCTGACGTCACTTTTGTAGAACCACAGTTGCGACCCAAATTGTGAAATCAATCCATGCTATATCAACGAAGCCAATATCGAGAAGCCGTTGTTGACAATCTTTACCAGGCGAGATGTCGAGCCATTCGAGGAGCTATCTTTCTCCTACATGGGCTGCATCGATGATGACATGGTATGCCATTTATTACGGGTGCACAATCCAATTGAACTGACTGCCTTGTCAGATATCCAAGGCCAAAAATGCGAAAAAGAGCAACGATGCGGTCTATGCGGAGTGTCATTGTGGGAGCGCAAACTGTTTGGGAGTGTTATTTTCGTAAATAGCATTTGTTTTCACTCGCTGATTTGAGCCGTTGTCATCGCGTCCTCATTGTCTCTTTAGCCATGAGGCTTGCAATTTATATCTTTGCGTTGTGCGATAAGCTCCATGTACCTGTTTTCTACTGCTTCAACGCATGACGCTTTCAATGACTGCAAGCACTGTCACCTCTATCAGTACTTCCTTGGCTTAATTAAGACCTAATACTTAGGCTGACTTAAGTACTTGCGGATTCCGGAATGAATTTTCTCAAGTGCTAACGCTGTGTAAGTGTGTTCCGGGTTCCCCTTCATCTGCCACATTTCATGATGTTCAGTTCCTTGAGACCCTGAGATGAATCATTAACATTAAAAGCCGCAGTCATACTCCTCACATGATTGATGTAGGGACCCGCCACAGACGCGTTTAAGCGCCCAAAATATCATCCGTGCTCGTTACAACGTCACAAAGTTCAGGCCATCCGCTGCCAGCAGGAATGTGGAAACTTCGTCCTGCTTCAAGTCTGCAAGGTTCATTGACCGTCTGTCTTCAGTATCCTATTGCAAGTGACAGTCCACGATCAATGGTTGAAACTGCCTAATACAAAGCAGGTACTGGCTTTCCGGTTATGTAACTTCCCCCTCACGCCTCTCTCACAACGGCGATTTCGAATATTTTTAGCGCTACGTACATGCGTGTTGTGCATCCACATGATCCTCCAGTTGAACCTTTATAAACAGCTGCAGTTCAACTAGTCGCGTCGTTGACCCGCACAATAGCAATGGCCCCTTCTCGTTACGTTGGCATACTGGCGCTTGTTGCGGGATGCCTTCTGCCTCCTGGTGTCTTGGCTCTCTGGCCCATCCCAACTACACTCGAGACAGGGACGACTGCCCTCACGGTTTCCTCTTTCTTCTACTTTGATGTGCAGGTCGAAGGCGCGCCGGAGGATTTGTACGAGGCAGTCGCGCAAGCACAATACTATCTTGCAAATGACAAATTTGGACGTCTTGTCGTTGGCCGCGGCGCAAATGATACTACCGCCCTTGTCAGCGCGCCGACGCTTTCGACGTTAACGCTGTCTCTCACGAGCTCAGCTACTGCAGAGCCTATTGCTTCTGAAGCTGTGAAGCCCCTGGGCACCCGTAGCGAAGAGTACGCGTTGACAATCCCAGCAGATGGCTCGGCTGCTACTTTGACGGCGAACTCGACGTTGGGTCTGTACAGAGGGCTCACTACCTTCAATCAGCTTTTCTACTACTACGCTGGAGTAACCTACACATTGATTGCCCCAATTGCTATTACGGACACTCCTGCATATGTGAGCAGCTATTTTTTGATGTCAGCTGCTTGAAACTCACATATGTAGCCTTTCCGAGGATTTGCGCTGGATACCGCGAGGAACTACTACCCCGTTAGCGACATTCTGCGAACTTTGGACGCAATGAGCTGGGTCAAGGCGAGTACTTTCCTTATATGACATCTTGTGACCGCTCACAAGCTAGACAGATTAACACCTTCCATTGGCATATCACAGATAGTCAGAGTTTCCCGCTTGAAGTTGCGCAGTATCCCGGGCTTGCTATCAATGGTGCATACTCTCCGCAAGAAGTTTACACCGCGAGTGATGTCCAATACATCGTTCAGTATGCTGGTGCAGTATGTTTTTCTCTTCATCCATCCCTTTTGGCCGCTTATAGCCATCTCTCAGAGAGGTATCGACGTTCTGATGGTCAGCATTTATTAGTTGACTTCGCAAAGGGAGGCTCATTGTTTTACTAGGAAATCGACACACCTGGCCACACTTCCATAATTGCGGCCACTTACCCGGACTACATTGCGTGCTTTGATGAAACTCCGTGGGCCACATATGCCAACGAGCCTCCCGCCGGCCAGCTTCGTTTCGCGCTCCCCGAGGTTGTGAACTTCACTGCTTCATTACTTGCCGACGTTGCGAAGAACCTGCCTTCGTCCTACTTCAGCACTGGGGGCGATGAACTGAATACGGAGTGTTATACCAACGACTATCCCACGCAGCTACAGCTCAATAGCACCGGCACGACGTTGAACGATGCTCTGAACACATTTACGGAGGTGACACATGCCGCACTTATTGCCGAGGGAAAGACGCCAATCGTATGGGAAGGTCTGTCCGTTTCTTCTTTCGAATAATAGCAGTCGATGAAGCCGGCTACTCAGAGATGGTCCTCGACTGGAACATTACACTCTCCAATGAGACTATCGTGATGTGAGCCCATTGACAGTATGATCCGGTTCCACTGATTCAACTGTACCCGACAGGGTTTGGATTTCTTCCGCGGATGCTGCAGCAGTGGTAGAAAAAGGTTTCAGGATCGTCCAAGCACCATCTAATTACTTCTACCTGGTTAGTTCCTGCGTTCTTCCCACAATCAAGACATCCTTATCTTATCATCACATAGGATTGTGGTGCTGGTGGATGGGTGGGAGCCGACCCATCTGGGTTCGTCCTCATTATATCGATTTTTTGATCTGAACTGACACACCTTGGGAGGATAGAGATAGCTGGTGTGACCCCTTCAAGACCTGGTCTGAGGTACCGCCTCATGGTTGTTTCCGATGACCGTACATCTCATGATATTTTAGGCATACACCTTCGATCCCTTGGCAAACTTAACAGAGGCACAGTACGAACTCGTTCTTGGAGGTAAATACGCGTGATGGAGTCTTAAGATGATACTAAATGACACTTTAATTCCCAGGCGAGCAACTTTTGTGGAGTGAGCAGTCTGGTCCCCAAAATCTCGACCCTATCGTGTGGCCCCGTGCTGCATCTTCAGCAGAGATTTTCTGGAGCGGTCAACAACCCACAGGCGCTCCGTTGAACGTCACAGAGGCACTACCTCGCTTGCAAGTCAGTACTCTTTCTAGTTCATTGCTCAGATGACTGATCGCACATGAACAATCCAGGACCTCCGCTACAGGATGGTACAGCGCGGGCTCAAACCCATCCATCTTCAGCCTTATTGGTGTGCGCTCAGGCCTGACGCATGCGACCTGACAGCTTGAGGGTTAGAACTTCTTGCTAGATCTACTTGATTTTCACGAACAATCAAAGAACGTTACAACAATGTCTGAATTTAGAATGCGACATTGCGTCAGGTACTAAAGGTCAGGACGCTTTCTCGGATGTGTAGACGGACGGTGCGTTCGGCCGGCCATTCAAACTTCACCCACTCCAATGTGCCCGTAATAGTCATGTTAGCTAGAGAAATTGCGTGAGTAAAGAAAGAAAACGAGCACGCCATGACATACCTTCGTCGCCAACATTGAAATTGAGTGTTTTGAACGGCAAAGACCCACCATGACCTTGCCTGGGTGGAGCTCCAGGGTTAAAGAAACTCGTGAAGCTTGAGCCAACTTTCCAGACAAGTACAACGCCTTCTTCAAGGGACATAGTCACGAGGCGGCGTCCGTCAGGTGAAAACGTACACGCCGCCGGTCGGCGTTTATGTCCTTCGAGAACATACAGTTGTGTTGCTGTCTTTAGATCATACATAATGAAAGCGCCTTCGCTCGTTCCGACGGCAAGACGTTGAGTCGCCATGTGGAAGTCGATTGTGGGGAATCTGGTTGAATTAAAGGGTCACCATATGACAAATGCCTATGAAAAAGTGAGCTCACGTCTTCACCACATGGCCGATGATCTCGGTTGCACTGTCGAGCACGGCGTCCCGGCTCGCTGTGGAATTGGGATCTAATGATTTGACCACAGCTTCCATCAACCTGGGGAGATTTGGGTACAGAATCAGGGGTCTCTGATGACACCACCAGACATGAGAAACCCAACGAACCATTATGCGGTCCCAACACGCACCTTCCTGATCATGAACGCTACCAGTTGCATAACTGCTTTCCGCTGGTCCAGCGTCTTTGGATTGAGAATGTCTAGTGTGAGCGTTGTCATGAACAAAGGCGTGCTACTCGATGCGATTTGCAAGACTGCCAATCTTGCTTGGGGCCCGATGTTTCGAACTGAGATAGTCTCCTTGCGTGTGTTTGTAGCGAGGGTGTATAATGCGCGGAGCATCGCCATAGCATCGACGTAATGCTGCCATATTTGGAATCCGCGTGCGCATAGGTCAATGGCTAGACCACGGTGCGCGGATGATTCGTCGTGCAAATACAATGCGATGGACTTGGAGATGTCGATGAGTGAACTAGGAAGTCGTTAAGGTTGGCTAACACGAAGAGAAGGCTATTGTTACCTGGTGGATAATAGACTATATTTCTCAGCTGCCATGTATCCGCAGATGAATAAAGCGAGTGAAGATTTCGCGGATTCCTTCTCCATAGAAGGCTGCAAACATGGCACTACATAGATGTCAAATGACTCCTAAATGATATAGATGTGTGCCAGCTTACGGTGGTGTTGCCATGCATCAACAAGGGCAATGCTCTCCTCGTCCGAAAGACGCACAATCCCTGCATCAAAAAGAGTTTTTGCAGCTTGCCGGACGTCATCTGCAAGATCAAAACGCTTTATTCGAATTTTCTTTAGACAGCAGTAGATGACCTACTGGATGAGTCGAACCACTGCGTAGCTAGATACGCGACGTCCGGGGCTTGGTACGAGGCACCCACTACGTGGGCTAGGGAGGTAGAGTAGAATGTTATGATTGTCTGACAGTCATGCGACAGCTCTAGACAGGCTGATTCAGGTGCAGATGGGGTAGCATCAATGAAATATACAAACCTTCGGCAAGTGACAAAGTCTTCAAGACCGAGACGATCGCGAGGACGCGATCAGCAGAAACTTTTGCTGACATTGACCAAGCGTGAATGGGGTGATCATGATGGTAAATGGTGGTGGTAAGCGCACTAGACATAACGCGTGGCTTAGATGGTTATACGCAGGCGCAGAATGACAATTGACGTACGATGCAAATCCTACCGTGCTTGGCGACGGGCTGGTGCCAAGCTTGTTTTCGCAGATTTCGTCTATGTCAGGACTGAGTCCAGGCGTCAGCAATACGGACAATACAGCACGAAGCTGCGAAAGTGTAGCGTTTGAAGGGGCAGATGATGATGACAACGCAAGTCCCGAAGATTTAACGTTCACGGAAGTGTATTTTAGAAAGCGATCTAGACTGAGCAACAGGGTGCACACTTGAAGGGGTGCAGATCAATAACACTGTCACATCCTGAAGTGACGCTGATTAAATGAAACACATACATGAAACAGGCCCAGCAGATCCGCTAAGCATCGAAATGGAGATTGAGGTCAACTCCGACTTGTCGAGGGAGCTTGAGACATCGTCAGGGCCTATACCGAGCCGACAATGTGTGACTTACATATTGATCCAGCCACCAGCATCGACGAGCTCCTTGGCTTTCTCTTCGTTCGTTGCACGAAGAAACTCGCCCGACTCAACGTCCCAGACACGCGCACTCCCATCTGCGTAGATCAATAGTGCACGGTTGTTGTCATCCCCACTAGCATAGATGCGGGCTATCGGAGAGGACGACCCAGGAATGAGGTAAAGCCTAGATCAATTCCATTAGGTCGCAGAACTAGTGTCTGGTCAATTGAAACCCACATTTCGAAGCCTTCTATCGATACCACACTAATAGTTCCATCGCCTGAGACGCAAAGTAACGATCCCCGTAGAGGCCCTGCATTTTCGTTGGATTGTAGCACCTGCGCTACACGCGTCAGAGGTACAATAAATGGAGTAAATCGCGCTCGGAGCTTTAGGGATCTGGTGGAGTTGAGCTATAGTCCGTCAATGCAGGTGATGTACGTACTCCAGTGCCCAGATGGCAATGCCACCATCGTCTGTTCCTCCTAAGATATATCGTTCTCCTGTTCGGTCATTTCGGACAAGATGCATATTCAATATAGACGAAGGCAAGCTCATGTCTGATACTTTGTCAAATAACACATCATCACCAGATATAGGAGAGAAAGCGGAGAGAGGCGCGGATCGTACATGGTACCTTCGCTGCAAAAGGCACGGTAATGAAGTCTGTCGAATGCGGCCATCGCCTGTGACCCAAGATTAGTTGGCAGGAGTTTGAAAGCGTGATCAGCACCGACTGTAACCCAGCAAGACGAAGTTGAGCTCCACGGGCAGAACAGACGTCAATTTTGCTCCTCCTGGGATAGTACCACTAGGCGGACTCTGTGCTCTCCACAAACTTCGGCGATGCTGCTTGGTCGATACATCCTGCCTGGGATTGATGGTATGAACTAAAATCTCCTTTTGCCCTGATCGAAGCTGCCTGAGCGCAAAGACATCGTGAGGGGACGATCTTGACCACGATAGCATCAATGAAGGGCCACCATAAGTCGTCATCGTTTGAATTGCTCTGCAATTATTGCAGTGAGCTCTTGACTGCATAAATATGAGGAAATACATACTGAGTAATTATCGACGTTCCAGAAAAAGTAGTTGCAGTGTTATTATCGGCGTCAACGCGCCGCAAACAGTAGTTAGAGATGGTATCCTGCAACGCATTTCTAATTCAGCGTTTGATTGAATAGCATCCCAGTGTATACTGACACTAAGTACCACAAACGTTTCATCATCCATGAAATGCACACCTTGGATCTTACCCCAGCTCCTGAAAGGAACAGCGAAAGTTGTAAGAGATCTCTCTTGTTCTCCTGCAATAAATCCCTTGAACAGAACCTTCAGTTCTCGGTGCGAGTATCTGATGAGATCCAAAGACTGACCGTGATATCTGTGTTCGACCACGCGAGCCCTATAATCCTCTCATTCAAACCAGCATAGCGGGCAGTAATGCCTTCGAGCAAAAACTCTGGAGATGAGATCACAATACCACGGGATTCTTCTTCCTCTAGCTGGACTCGCCCAAGATCAATTGTCGCGATTGTGGGAAAGTTGTTCTCCTGCTCTGTTCCAGAATTATGGTTTTGACCCAAGAGAGCAATACTCTCGGCACTTTTGCTACCAAACACTTTGAACGGGTTCGGGATCGCCAATGTCCTGTTATCTTCTTGAGAATGAGCTGGTGAAGAGGTGAAGGACCGTCCGCGAGCTCGTATTTCATATGCGGGGATGATAGTCAAGCACCGAGTGACAAGGTAGTTCGTTGAATTAATGTACACTAGCTGAAATGAACCTTGAAGGGAGATAGGATGAATGTTACTAAAGCAGCAAAATACGTCCTACCGTCGGTATCATTCATAAGTAACTCTACTCCAACGGCTGGCCCATCGACCTGCCAGACATCGGAGGCGAGTTTCTCGAATCTTGTTGAATGCACACCATGCGGGTCCCCCACAGAAAGCTCAAACATATTCAGACGCACTTTCGAATCACGAGGTTCATCTGCAAGGCCAAATGTCTCTGCAAAAGGAGGCTGCGAAGGTGATGCACACGCCAGAATAAGGTACATTTGCTACATCGATGTACAAATGAACTTTGCGGAAGCACAAAATAACAACAAAACAACGTACGTCACCCGTAGGCACTATCCGAATAGTCTCCCATTTCCAAAACTGATCCTGATATGATCTTGTGGTCGTGCATTTACATGTTGCTACACACGTACTGTCCCGCATGCCAAAGGCAGATAAATTGCTAGGAGGCTCGATGGGCTAGCAATGTAGGCTGGTGGCGATAGAACGCACCCTGATTCTTGAAGGACAATCAATAGATTCACTGTCTCTAAATACCGCATGGCCGATACCGCATGCCCAGGTCCGCAAGGATCAAGGATGATAGTTGCTTTAACTGTTCCGCGAGACGGTGAGCCATCGAAGGGGGACAGTTGACGAGGAGACGGCAGTGCCGAAGGTGATCCCAGGGAAAACGTCGGGGAATTTGTCTCCGAAAGCAGCGATCTGGGATCATCCTTATTTTTGCTCGTGCTACAAGCACCTGAAGGTGAGTTTGGCAAGGTGGGCAGAAGCGTTGGAGAGGTTGGAGCAGGCGATTGCTCTATTACCACGCCTCTATCAAAGCTAGGAAGGATTGAGTCTGCGAGAGTGCGCCTGTGCTTGTTGTTGCTCCTGAGTATGTCTTTCAATCGTCCGGGTTCGTCTTCGAAGTCAACGTAATTCTTTGGGGCTTCTACTTGTTCGCGTGATACGCCAGAAACCACTCGCGCTCTGGCAGAAACATTGATTAGAGCTTGATTGAATGATAACGACGAGGGTGACTGGAGTGATCTGGAGTGCCGACGAGAGTGTGAGGGAGACGGAGACGGGGCGGTGGGTGGATTGTGCTCAGAAGGTGGTGTGATAGTGAGTCTTGCACGGGAGTCCAAAGTTGGAGTATTGGTAGGGTGGAAGCTGAAGACGTTGATGGAACCCTTGGAGCTGCCAACGGCAGTATGATCTAAGCCATTCTCTGTTCTCCAGGATATGAACGAAGCCGTCTGTTCCGAGTTAAAGTCGGACTCAATGAGGTTTATTGGAGGACCGCTAGCATCCTGAATGTTTGCATATGCGGGGAATGTGAGAGGAAGGAGCATCACAGTGAAAACCCAGGACCTGATTCACAACGATTCAAATGTCGGGTCATAGAAAAGGGGAAGACGGTCTTGTGATCTCAGACTTGCCAACTCGGAGGCGGTTGTTTGATTCTAAAGTCTTTGTCAAATAGCTGTAAACAATATTAAACAATCTATATGTTCAGGCTTGGCACGTGGCCACTTGACGCCCGATTGAAAATTTCATGTTGTTTCTAGGCGCGATGTTAAGAAGAAGCCGGCATCAACTTTCCCCACTTGCCGCATCGATCGATTCATCAAGTTTCGCTGTTTCAGTGATCAGGGTTTGATGTCTACGGCGACACTGTCCGGTCCAATCAAACACCGCCTGGATCTAAATTTCCTTTGTAGCTACTTCACCGCGCTGCACTGGCCTAGGTCTGGTCTATACTCCTATTCACTTAATGGGCTTACTTGTCAGACTAGTAGCCGAAGACGAGACCAGCCCCTCACCTCAACTCCATACCCCAGATTCGGCCTGGATAGGAAACGCGTCTTGCGGCCAGCTTAAATATTTTTGCGGCAGGCACTTCCAGCCTGCGCCCACTTTAGTTTGAGATATGTAAATCGACTGCCACATAATACCAGCACCACACACAAAACGTACCTCTTACACGTTTCGGACAATTTTACCTGCAGGACCTGTGCTGTAGCCACAGGGGACTACCGTAAAAAACTGTTGTCGTACAGTGCACCCCAAAAACTTGTTCCGTCCATCGGAAGTGGCGCTCCTCCAATGATGATGCATCATGAACGCCCGACGGTATTAGCAAGGATCGAATGAAATTCCTCAGTTTAATGACCAAGACTTCATGAAACCTCTTACTTATTCTATTGGCTCTCGGATCTGCCGCCCAGGCGAACTCCGGAGTCAACGAGTTGATGATTCACTTACAATGATATGTAACGCCGCCAAGACTGGACACGATCTTGCGCCGCTGAGATCGCACTTCAAAGTTTCCCGGCGCACCGCTGTCTGCTGACTTCGCATTGGCCTCTTCCAGGTTGTGGAGTGAGAACCTTCCCATTGACAACAGACAGTAAACGTTACATAAACCCTAACTGGACTGGCTTGTGATACTACCCATACTGTAACGAACAGCCATATATCATATATATGTGAAGTATAGATACATTAGAATGTGCTGATGAACCCGCAGTACTTTTGTTTTAATCTCGGGCTTCTCCCTCGATCGCGAATAGCAATAATTAACGTCCGATGTTATAATAGCTTGGGTATCGTCCCACACATAGCCATTCCGTCCTGCGGTGGCAACGCAACAACAAGTGACCAAATTAGAGGCCGTGTGTCTAAGGCGATAGTCATAATCAGCGTGGGCGTGGAATGGATCATGATGATGATTTACACTGTCACATCGTGGTCTAACGTCTGGTATTGGGTTGTCTTCGGACAGTAATGTGCCCATCTTCGCACGACGGACTGGGTGTACGTCTCATATCGTGTGCCTGAGGGAACATGTGTTAAAATCTGTAAGATGAATGATGGGCTAAGCGTACGTCGAGCGCTGCAAAGGGTTTCGTGTGTTGCCTCTGCTTTTGTATAGCATACTCCATCTATTGAGACCGTGTCAGCTGTGCACTGCGCAAGGCACGTCTCAGGATCTCACCTTCGCTCTACTATGTGATCCTGAATTCGAATAATGTATCATGTCGTGTGGCACAGCAGACATAGTTGGCAGAGCCGCCAGAGAGTGCCTCATGGACGGTAATGCAACAAGCTGAGGAGGAGGTGACGATGCAGAAGAATTTGATGACCTATCCGAGTATGCCATCGATGAATTAGAGTTGGTACGCTGGTACTGCATAAGAAGTCACTTTTTGCTTGGATGAAAGTTTGTTGCGAGTCAAGGTTTATATCACTCTCGTGAATGCCGGTATTGCCACAGTAGCTTAGTGTTGGCACGGATATTACCGAGCCATGATGCAGGTTGACTAGACCGTGAAACGGGAATCTTGTCAGTATTATGAATTCCCCGTGCAAAGGCGATCAAGGGGCGCAATGAGGGGCTAGACGTATGCGGCAAAAGCTAACTCGGTTTGAACAGATTTAGGCCCAGGCCACGTTGTTTCCTGCGTACTCGTAATCAATTCGATTCAGGCGCCCTGGAAATGCCGCATCCTATGAAGAACGTTCTGACTCGGAGGTGACAACTCCCTACCAATTCAGGTTGAATACATAAGCATAGCGTGTGTTTCGCAAGCATTTCTATAATACATCCGTCGGGTGTGTATCAGCGTGGCTGGGTCATGTAAACATGCATGTAAAACAGCACTATGGCGATAAACTCACTTGATGATTACACTATTTCGTCACGTAAGTTGATTTCAACTGCAAGTATGCTGCAGTACATCATCTACTCTTCCATAGTCCATCGACGAGCAGATGCTGTCCGTTTTCTGAACGAACATTCCACTCATTTCCGTCAAAATACCACAATATTCGGCTGCTTCCTGTGCGGAAAATGATGTGCTCTATAGAAGGGCAGTATGTATGGAGTTCAGTTGCAAGCATGCGTTGTAGTGAACCTGTATTGGGCAGAGGCGACCATCGAGATACATCGACTTCGAGATCTCGTAGGTTATGCATAGCCAAAAGAGCGTCATGAATCATGCTGCGCTTAAGGTAATGATATAAAGATAAGCTATATGAAATAGGTAAAGAACTCGACTTACGTGGGGAAAAGTCATTGGTAATTGGATGATTCCAACATAATGAAGGTCAGGGCACACAAATGAGATGAGCTTGATCGCTTCCACCGACAATTCCTCGGGCATATGAATGATATTCAGTGAGCGGAGAGTTCGCGAGAGGGCGGTGAGATTGGGAATAAAATCCAAAAGTTGCTTGTTAGTGCTTCTATCCAAAGGTATGCGAAGATGGCGAAGGCCGCAAGGAAGAGAAAGTAGCTGCATGGCTGAAGCGAGGTGCCCATCGAAGGTACACAGGTCAGGCAAGCTACCATCTTCAAATTGTGGAGCATCTTCATCTATACCACCTGAGAATTGGAATTGCCTAAGCTTGTTCTGGCTCTCCAGGAACTTTATGATGTGTCGATTCCACGGGAGGCGAAAGTTTGCTTCTCGGAGCTGAAACGGAATTTTTGGGATGTCACTCAATATCCAAGTATTAGCACGGGCTGGATCATCAATGTAGAGCACGTCCAGACAACGCATTTTCCAAAGCGCTTTCTGTATCATGTTCCAAAAACGAGTAGGCAGCTCTGTTTGAGTGCGCCTTGCATTCTGGTAGAGATAAAAGGAGCGGACGTATGGGCCCAGACGCTCCTGCGATACGATACTCTCGCACGCTCGAAAAATGACGTTGATGTCACCGGACATGATAACCTCGTATAGCTTGATCTCTGCAGATTTCTGAAGAGACTTGCTGGTCAGGCACAGTGCAGTGAGATCGCATCGACGTGTCCAATGGACGATTCGATGACATGCTTCAGGAGGCAACGCCATTGTTGTTATATTTGACATCAAATGCCAGAAACGAACAACTGCCAATCACGACAAACGTTGAAGTCGCATGTATACATGTCAGCTAGCCAGCTCCACCTCCATACTAGAATTTACGTACGACACGGCGGTTGAAATTTAAAATATAGTGCCCTTAGGAGGATGGTCTAAGGCCCAAGGGGAAGTGTCAAACCTAGTTCCGGATTCCGAGGTCAGAAAGTAACAGTGGAATAATAATTTAGGGTTGAATTCACCTGAACAAACTGTTACCGCTGCGATGATGGATCTGGAAGGAAGATCACCCAGGAGGACGAGCGGTCGTGATCAAGAGCAAGAGCAATGTGTGGCACTGAAGAAAGAAGACAGAGGAATCCAAGAATCGAAGCCACACGTTTTTGTCCTTGGGACGATTTCGTAACCTTTGCACGCTTTTTGCTTCCTCCACTCACTGAACATTTCTGCATTCAATTATGATGGCTGTTTCGCGCTCAGATCTGCTAGCTTGGTTGAACGAGCTTCTGCAACTGAACTATACCAAGATTGAACAATGCGGTACCGGCGGAGCCTACTGTCAAATCCTTGACTCCATCTATGGTTCGTGCAAGCCTCATCATCAACCTCAACCAGATCACCTTGGAGGTCGGCTTGTCATGATCTCTAAAGCTCTTTTGCAGGCGATCTTCCAATGGCGCGAGTTAAGATGAACGCAAAGCACGAGTACGAATTCGTCGCCAATTTCAAAGTCATGCAGAACGTCTTCAAAGCAAAAAAAATCGATAAGGCGTGTTTTTCATCCCGTCCACGCGTCAATTAAACTTATTTTTCGCTCTTCTAATGTAGCCTATACCCATCGAGAAGCTTGTCAAATGCAAGATGCAGTGCGTTGATTTATGGAGCCTGCAATGTCGTTACCCTGATACTGATCATGTACGCATCATCAGGGACAATCTAGAGTTCTTGCAATGGATGAAGCGATTCTGGGATTCCAATTACGGCGGACAGGGATATGACGCAGTTGGACGTAGACGTGGTGCACCAGCTGAACCGCCAGCGACCATTGCTCCGCTTTCGACGGGGGCGCGCAGCGCCAGTACCGTTCTGGGGGTTGGTCGATCCGGTGGAAAGACACCTATCAGCGGACATCGGGCAGGCTCTACGCAACCCAATGAAGCCATGCAGGCATTGCAGACCCAGCTCCGCGAAATGTCGACGCATATGGAAGGCTTGGAGAAGGAAAGGGACTTCTATTTTGCAAAGGTATGTCGGCACCATCCCTATCAGACGCACAATTTGACGTTTGTACAGCTTCGGGATATCGAGATCCTCGTTCAGCAACAATCAGAGACACTGGAGAGCCAAGGCAAGGAAGATGATAACCTTAAAGAGATTCAAAAGATCCTCTACTCAACAGAGGTAGGCACCACCTTTATAATCATCTTCATCTTTCTTTAGCTTATCCGAAACTCACCGGCCTGAGCAGGATGGTTTCGAAGTTCCTGAGAATGCTCCCGTCGATGAAGAGGAAACTTTTTGATTGCGCATGCCGCTGGAGTATAGGAAGAAGTCTTTGTGTCATATCCTATGATATCACCTCTACCCTCAAAACCAAGTGTTCATTAGCATTAACTTCTCATTCGCACATTTCGTTGTTTCATCCTCTGTCGTTCTTTATAATCGGAGTCTACCTAACTGCGCTTCTGCACTTAGCTCTAATATTCGTATCTCTACGCATTTGTGGAATCTCTCTTCTGGACAAAGAACAGTTACCAGCGGCAGTTTCAAGGGATTAGAACTGCAGGCCCGATGCAATATGCAATTTTCAAGGTGTGCTTCGATCTCCCTGCACAAATGAAGATAACCGCTCCTCCTGGCTCGAGCTCCGCATCTTATGATCCGATCCATTGATGACAAAGCAGCTACAAGTACAACAACTTTAGAGTTACAATTACAACAATATTGCGTTTCGACAGGCTGATCTACGCAGGAAGTTTAGAATTCTTTTATGCTGCTCTCAGGGATTTATACGGATCGTTGATTTGCCAGAGTCCTCGAAAGATTGTATGCCGCGGAAATGAGGGTCACATGGCTAAACAAAAATGTTAACACAAGTCAAAATGAATAAACGAGAACGTACGTGAAACCCTGGACGGCATTTCCAAGCCTTGGTAGCGGGATTTTAGGCTCCACAGCTCAAAGAAAAATAGAATTTCACATACGCCTCGCCTGACTCCGAGATTTCCTCACTACACAAGCCCACGTGATTCAAATACAACAGGAAGTCCTTCATCCATTCAGTATCATTGAACCTGATAGGTTCGAGAAAAATAGGACATACCTCAAACATCGCCACTGCACGCTGCAAAAGGGGCCTCTCGTACTCACCGGCACGAGTTAAAGCCTCAACGCACCACAGGGTACAGAGACAGAACGTGCCTTCCTCACCTCCTACGCCATCATCAGATTTGTTCACATCATACCGGTAGACGAGGTTCTGGTCCACAGTCAGCATGTTAATTGTGAAATTGAGGTGGAACTCGCATTAGAGGTCAATCCTCCCCTTTCAGGCGTCCTAAGAATCTGCTTGAGTGTGCTCACAAACCGTGCATCAGACTTTGCGGACATATTAGCGATCCCTGAACAGACAGGTATAAGGGTAGAAACATACCGGCGTCATGAAGAACACGAGGGGCATAATGAGCACCGACGAATCAAGCACGTCTGTCTCTTCATAACTCTGCCCGAAGACCCGTATGTCCTTGTTCCACGCCTTGTGCATGATCTCTTCATAAAGGTCGTCGCGTGCGGCAAGCCACTGTAGGCGGTGGGGACAAGGGAGAGAACGCTTGTCCGCCAGCCGAAGGCCTATGCGAGTGCGTGTTCATCAACGTGTGTGAGTGCATTAGTGTGGTCCGTGACTTGTACCTCTATCAATTGCAACCCTGCATATCCAATCAACATTGATGTGTCAATTCCAAGGCAGGGCAACATACCAGAGCATGATCTTCCACATGCCATCTCAATTATTGTCCAGTCCAATAGTTAGAACTCACCTTCGAGTACTGACAACAAAAGTATGAATCAGCACCAACTTTTCCAGGTAGCATTAAGAATACACACAGTGAAATGGCGCTCCTGCCCCGGACTTCCCTGCGATATGGACATTGACACTTAGCCTCAAAACACTCCTGCTTGACGCGTACTGACCATATGGATCTGCAATACGGTTTGAGTCATCGGATAATCAGAGAAATAATATGAGACGCACAAGTCAGGTTTCTTGTAGTTTGCAACAACGACTACAAAGTATTGGTTGTGCGTCGGAAAATAGAGATCATAGAAGACGCACAGTCTACACTGAGTGAGAGCGAAATCAGCAGCCGTGTGCAACCATCAACCTGAACAACTCACAGTTCCCGAACCAATACCCTTCGATTGAGTGTAACCTAGTCAGTATGGCCGCTCATGGCCTGGTCGTGATACTCACCATGTGTCATATGACTTCCAGGGTAATTGAGATGTTGATACCACAAAGGGTATTAGACAAGACTCACCAATGGTCTGCCGAACTGAGAGTAAACGATATTAGATGGACTTGTTTTGAATTGGCCTAGGAGCACACCTTCTGTCCCAGGTAAATACAATCCATCCTTCGCCATAATCAGTACTAACAAACCAAGGAGCATAGGTGGGACTTACAATTCACCGTAAATGTCCTGTCAGCCAGATCAGCTTCCGAGTACTGCAACTACAAGCAATACGCACCAGTTGGACATGGTCGGCTGCACCATTGCCAATACTTTTGGTATTAGTCAGATCACGAGTGTTGCGTAGATTGTAGGCGAGACGGACCGAACAGGCTTAGAACCTTTGTGTCCATCAAGATGGAGAAGCTCTATCTCCTCCAGATCTTTGCCACCTACAGAAGGACGATCAGAGTTACCTTGTGAATCGCATCATATTAGATATACCATGGATCGTGTACCTTCATGTACAATCAGCCTGCGAAGCAATCTGAGAGAGCTCAGAAACGCACATAATCTGTAAGGAACCATCTGGGTTCTTGTTCTTCAGCCGCTCAAAGATGAAGTCCATATATGCTGTTGGTTAACAGGGTTAGCGCGTGCTGAGGGCGGCATGCAGGGAAGAGACATCCCATTCGCCTCCTGCGTGAACCCGAGTCTAATCAGAGCGTATAGCGTGAACGAAGAGTCACGAATCCAGGAGGCCCTGCATGAGTAGTACGACATAAATCACCGGATTATGAGGAATACTGGATGAACGCATACCGGTAGTCCCTATATATTGTATGTTAGTGAGGAAATCGAAGTAAGTGAAGGACAAGCGCACCAATTTCTAGTCCCACCGATGTATTCGGGTAAGCTGAATGTCGGACTTGCGACAATGGCGCCTACACACAGAAGTAAGCAGAAGTGATGTTAGCACTCAAATACAGAGACTAGACCTCCCAACAAGACGGAACACGTACCAGTGGGTTCATAGATGAGCAACTTTAGCGCCAATGCACTTCGGTGCACGGCCTCCTTCCACGAACCCTGGTAGGTGGATTTCCTGATCCAAGAGTTCCAGTAATTATTGGTAGACTGCAAGCACAAATGAGCAGTGAAAACAGAAACTAAACGGCATCCAAGCAAGGGAACGTACGAGGAACAGGTGGTCCAGGAGTTCCTAGAAGGGGAGCGTCAGCAAGCTGAAAGATTAACAGTCACCAAAACGTACGCTGGTCATAACCGGATCATCCTTTGACCTCATCTTCTGTGCGCCCACCATCAGCTCTACTTACCATGACTGTCAATCTAATATGCGATAGTTAGAAGTGCTCACTCTGATAATCAACTCCTAGTAGCTCTGCTTTCTCTTCATCTACACTATGACTAGACCCACCATCACCTTTATGCTCAGGCGCAATCCGCAACACAAACGTCACCCGCTGACCCTCTACGAGCGTCAACTCCGTCTGTGCGGCCAAGCCCAGGTGACCCTTTGCACTGAGATCTAGGGTCTCTAAAGACACCTCAGGCACAGGTACATTGTCAAGCAAAGACTCGGGAAGGAATCGCAAATCGAGCGTGAGCGGGCTATGCGACGTGCTCTGCGGGCTTGCGCCACTCGCAAGATATGGAGATGCGGCGGGCCTTGAAGTGAAGACAACTTTGTTTTGTTTGGAAAATTGGAGCGGGATGGTATCGTCGGGGACGATTTGGGTGGCGTGGGGGTCTCGGGCATAATTGAAGGCGGGAGCGCATTCAACGCGCAGCGGGACGGTGCCGCGGACCACCTAACGAGTAAATATTGTGATAGAAAGCCTGAGTGGGATGTTGTAGAGGAGAGCAGCTCACCTCGACACGTCTGATGAGCCAAAACAGTAACGGATGCGTAGATTTGCCATTTTCTTGGCGAGGAAGGAAGTCTGGATGTATGCGATAAAATCCTGTAATTGTTGGTGCAATTGACATGGGAGACATACCGGTGACACTAACTACGCCCTTCTCGTTGAGAAACCTGCCCATGTTCAGCTATGATTCGCATATGGATAAGGAGATAAACATACTTAGTCTGTAGCACGTTTGAGCTCGGCAAGTAGTTCTGCCTGGTGCTGAAAGGAACCGTTGGTGTAATGGAGAAATGGCCGCCCTACCGTAAGCCCCATTAACAATCAGGGAAACCCCCTGAGTATCATGATAAAGCCCAAACCTTGTTTTTGTCCAAGATGCGTGCAAAGATGGATGGGGAGTCGAAATTTGGGACACAATAACTCTCAACTGTGCAAGATATGCATTAGATGAAACTCGTTTGGGAAAACTACAGAAGCTCCGGTGTCCAAGCCATCCGACGTTCCAAGAGAACATCTTTCTTGTCCCAAACGATCTGAAGCTAGAACCACTCACTCGATCCATCAAGACTGACCTACATGAATATCAGGAATCGACAAGGAGGCTATGCACGATCTGGCGCCCTAACTCACCAGCGCAGCAGTCCTCAGATTCCCGATTCTAGGATCTTATCAGAATATGGGTATGATTGTTCATTAGGAAGCTACGCACAAGCCATGGTCGGCAATAGGGGCGTAATCGCGTTCAGTGCTTGGGCGTTGGATGTTCATGGTTGTGGACTATGATAGGACGTAGTAGGTGTGGCCGTGTCCACTAGCAAGTCTGGGGAAATTTACAATTAGCTAATTAAAGTACGGTTGAAATCAGACACGCTTGTCCATGACTCGGTCTACTCGGTCGCCCTGTGACAACATGTTCACACCCTAATGCAAGACAAAGACGTAATATCCCTCAACAAATTCATTGGAAAGGAAGTGCGGCATGCCAGATACTACCCGACCCTGCCATGATAACGCCTAAGGTGTGCATTCCGCTATGATAAAAATACAATAATAATTACACCATACATAGCACAAGAATTAAAGCCGTCGTCAACGCAAATTCCCAGTCGTAAAACTTAGAAAAATAAGGATACGAGGGTTGCATGAGATGCATGCGACTCGCTATGCTCTTACACATATATTTCGGTTTATCTTGAGCCTGCACGCTAGAATAAATAATGACCCGAAGATGATGCTTGATCCTGATAACCCAATCATTCCGGTGTATGAACCGCCCTGATATTGGATAAGAGCTCCTGCAATGGGTCCACCAACAAGAGAGCTGAAAGAACTACAGTGAGCAGAGGTCAAACGAATCCGACCACAATCTTACGGGACAGATATAAGTGTATACAATGCTCCTATTCGAGTTCCAATCTCGTCGATATCTGATATCTGTGCGACGCATGGAGTAATGACGGATATGAATGCACCGGATAGAAAACCATAAACCGCCGCAAAACCCATTACAGCGGTCATCGTCTTCGCAAGCATCCAAAAGATGAGGCACGATAGGCCTGCTAAGAAGGAGGCGGGTATAAGGAGGTTGAATCGCCCCATCTTGTCAGAGAGGATCGCGGGAACGATGCGGCCGAATACGCCTCCAGCATTCATTACTGACAGAACGTAAACCGCAGTATGCTGAGAAACGAGTGCTCGATCCTCGGCATAGCACACGATGTAGAAGAATGGAGTAAATATACCTTGGTTGCTCTTGTTAGTTGTAACATCTTGAAAGGTTTTGTTTCCTTACCGAGGCAGACAAAGAAGGATCCAGTAGCGAGCAACATGAAGCACATATCTTTGAACATCTTGACATCTATCCATCCGGAGCATTTCTTACGACCTTCTTTCTTTACGGTAGCAAGGGCAACAACACAGCATGCCACAGAAAGTAACGTCGATGCTCTAACCGACCATGCATAGCCAGTGCGCGAGAAGAGTTGGCGGAGCATAATGGGATAAACGACACCACCTAGACGAGCTCAGTCGGATTGGACAGACAATAGTGGACTGCTCACCAACACCAGAGCCAGCAGCTGCAATACCAAGAGCCGATGCACGGTACTTATCAAAGTGAGTCGAGACCGCTGCTAAAGAGGGATAGAAGCTGTACGATAAAATTAGAAGTAGACGCACAGCGCTCAGGAAGTAACCTACAGCGATGCAACGCTAAGACCAAAGAAGAAGCCTTGGAACAATAAGAATTCATAATACTTCGTGGAGATGCTTGTCATCAACGTGCTGAAAGCTAATAGCAATGTTCCAAAAAACATCACAGGCGACGGCCCGTAGGCGTCAAAAAGGCGTCCTATAGGTCCTCCCTAGTCTCAGGTGATATTGAGCAAAAGCGACCTTGGCTAACCAATATAACTTACCATGAAGAAAAAAGTCCATAGCTGAAGGGATCCAATCCAAGAGATACTGAATTGCGAATAATTAGAAAGCTGATGATCCGAATACCACGACTGGTATGTCCAAAAGCATTCATGTGACCGAACGAACAGAAGAGGGCCAGGAATGCTCCGAAGACAGCCAACCAGGCAGCCCATACTCCATCTGGCCTTTTCATGTTTGTGGGCAGTAGAAGTGCGTTAGGAGGTTGCAAAGCACTGTGTCGATTAAGGTTTTCATATGCGCCTGTCTCAATGCTCGGCCCTCGAAACGACGAGCAGTCCGCTTGCTTCTCCACGTCCTCCATGGAGGATACAGTTCACCACCACAACGGGAGTCGAGGTAGGATGGGCAGGGAAGGGTGTCAGTAGACAACTCCGGACAATTGATCGTGTGTCCATTATAAAGGACTTCCAGTGCGGAAAATCAGATCACCGTTTTCACAGGATCGCGCCGAATATAGCGGATGAAGGAGGCAAATCTCTTTTTGAGCATGGTGGAAGGAAGCTCGTAATTTCGGTCTTCAGCGCGGAACGTGATCGCACGTAGGCATCGCGGCAAGTCGGTTGAGTCACGGTGGAGGCCGTTTTCATGGGCACGAGTCTCCGCAGTACCGACTTGAGTTTCATCACTACCCAGTGCCCATGCGCATAAGGGATTAGACGGGACAATAGAGTTATCTGGAAGAACTAATCTAATTGCAAACTCGGCACACTCTATCGGCATCTTGACAACAGCATAGCGCCCACCACACAATCGGGCGCCTGCCCTGGGGTTCATCATGACGATGCAAGCCAAAGGGGGAATGGTGAAGGATAAAGATTTCTCAGGGCAAGAACTAACCGCCGCATAACCTGAAGGGGTACATGGAGGAGCACCCGGGACCGTGTATAGCGGAAAGGGAGTTAAATAGAGTCATCCGAGGGCTTCGGAGAATTGGTCCTCCGCCGCCTAGGTGGAGACAAAGGACTTCCTTTGGAGGGCTGAGGCGGAACTTGAATTGCGAAGGATTATTATCTCACTGCTCAAGCGAGTGACATGGAACGGATAAGCTGCGTCGTACTGGCAGTAAAACCAAACGTGAATTATCTCCTTATGTTAGAGAACGCGAACGAGATCGAGCATTCCTCGGAGGAGTACGCTGTAGCTCAGTAAGCGTCAACATAGGATCAAACCCACGGCAGGGGACACTCAACGGGACAGTAACAACAGGCAAAATTGTTGCATCAGATCGGAAACGGAGTCGATGAGGACTGCAATCGACTTAGCTCACCCGCCCCTTGCGCCGCTACAATCACTACGCAACTTCTTGGCTTTAAGTTCCCGGTAACGTTTAATGACATTTTCTCTTTCTTCTTCCATCATTGCCTTTTGTGCCATACTCAGTATCCCCGCGACTTTCTCTTTCGAAGAGTCTTTGTCTGATCGGGCACCCCGAGGCAGTTTACCAAATCGTGGCGGTTCTTGTGCAATATCGTTAAGGCGGCGCGGTGCTGAGGTTGAAGATACACGAAACTCCTTGGGTTTATCATGAGGCTGCCGCTGAGGTGTGCTGGTCAACATGAGCGGTGATAGATTCGAAGCGTCCGCGCGGCTAGGGGGCGTGTTGGTCAAAGTGGGTGGCGATGGATTTGAAACGTCTGCGCGGCTTGCGTTATTAATCATCATCGTGACCTGTGCAGCAGGCTTGGAGACTCCCTGCTCAATTTCACGCTTCTGGACTTTCCGGACCTGGGCCGATGACTGCTGCATCGCTGTTCTAATGAGCGGCATCATGCTACTCTCGACTCGCCTGCACGCGAGGTTAATGATGACACGCCGCAACCAAATTCGTTCGAAACCCACTTGTTAAAACGAGCTATAGTTTCTCCTGGCTGAATCTTTAGCATCTCCTCCTTCCGGTTGTTTACATCATTGGCCAGCCGTCTTCGTTTCAACTGAGGGCATTCATCGCCGTTGGGCTTATCGATCTTCCGCTTCTTCTCTCTAAATTCGAGGCGGATTTTTTCGGCATTAAGAATGCGAGCTACAGACTTTGGCACCGTCTCCTCATTACCAAGGTGTTTTGGTGGCAAATTGTCACCTCTTTAAATTTGAAACTCATCAGTGGGCTAGAGGGGCATATGTAATACGAACACTTACTTCAGGGATCTCTCTCGTTCACGAACAGCTCGTTTGGCACGTTTGTGCGGCATGTGAACGGCGTAAGATATTGGTAAGGAAAAGTTGGAAATATTGTTTGATAAATTTGCTGACAGCTACCGGCGGCATTTCCCATAACGGTGTGTATGCGCCTACAGACGCCTATAACTTTCGATCTTGAACGAGATCACGTAATTAAGGGGTTGCTCCCAAAGTCTGAAGTCAAGGTGGTGTGCAGTCTGTAAACATGTACATGATACAACAACCCGATTTCTTCCGCGAGACTAGAGATCGCAACTTGAGTGTGGTAATCACAGGAGTTTTGGGACATTGTTTTTTCAGATCAGTCCCGTGTGCATATATCAAGGTAGCGAATAGCGAGGAAATCTATTCGATCTATTGTTCGATGTTGAGAAGGCAATCGCAAATCCAGGCCGCGAAGCAACTACGAAGTGTCTGTTTCACGTTACTTACATTCACACGGTATGCCAATTCACTTACTGGTAGTAGTTTAATATGTAGCACGCGCCCTCCGTGTCGGACCTTTTAGTATTTGTAGCTGCAATGCAACCCGGGAAAGGGACCTATGGGAGACAGGAGTCCAGGTAGTAACATGTAGCATGTCAGTAATACAACAACTTCAAGTCCTTGCGCGGCCCGACTTTCGTCGATGGGGTTTTGATGGATCATGACGGCGCTTAATTTCGCTCACATTGGAAGAGCGTCATGGTATACGGAATAAACAGCTGGTGGTGATTATTAATATAGATACAGAAAAATCCAACCAAGAGCCGCAGAACATATGTTCAATCCAGTGGGGTGCAGGTAGGTTAAGGTTCGCGCAGGTGAAGAAAGGCGCGCAATCACTGTTGAACACAATGCACATGGGTCGGAGGCTCGAAGAAACTAGCTCCGCTGCCAGTATAAGCTGCTATCCGTATATGACCATGGCTTGAGCATGCCCACGAAGCCGATGATACCGAAAAGATACGCGGCTGAAATGGCTAAAAGTAGAAAAAGGAATGCAATTAAGCTTGGATTAGACAGTATAACGGCAGTTGCTTACATAGCTTTCGATTAGGCATCAAACCTATTTCATAGCTTGGTTGAGGTACACCCATAATGTTGCAGAACATATGAGCTGCAATGGGTGGGAGCAATGATCCGGAACGAAGAAACAAATAGCAGCAGTAAAATCCGAATATGCTGGTGTACGCGAATTGGATAACTATATGTAAAGTGTTAGTGCCGCTTGGTGGAAATAGGTCGGTCGTGCGTACTGGTAGATATAATTGCACGTTTTGCCGCAATGGCCGTACGGCCATATCTGTGGTATGTTTCAAAAGCGTGATGGATGTGCGCTAAATATTTCGAGAACATAATGATGAATTTTCATGGCCCAACAAATCACTCCGACGCATACCTGCGCCAAAGACCAAAGGACTGAGAAAAATCATTTTCATCCTGGAGGCGTCTGCCAAGTGATAGACAGTGAGAACACAACCGCGAAACACGATTTCTTCAGTGATCGGAGCCTGTTACAATGCAAGGTAGATTGCAAGCAAGACTTTGCAAAGGACTCGCACTCACAACAAAATAGTTTCGAAGACCGACAATTGAGAGAAATCGAAATACGACATCTTGTTCAAAATCCCAGTCCTTTTGGAATGGTAGAGCCTTCTCGAGGAATCGGACATAGAGTGGCCCAGAAAATAACAACGGAGTTATCAGGAGCGGAAGTGCGTTCGACCATGTGAACCCAAGGTAAAGCCACGCATTTGCGGTAAGGTTATGCTGTTTTGCACAATACGGTAGTGAGGCAGACGTTCCTCATTGAGGTAACTTAATGACCTACAATTTCATCATCGCGGTTGAAACCCTTCATCACGACGAATATGATGAAACAGCAAATCAAAGTGGCGCTGGTAACGGCAAGTAGTCGCGCCTTGATAACATCCGGATCATCTCTCCATCGCTCATTTTGCAATTTAAGCCTAGCTTGTCCTTCAGGAAGGTTTACCTTCCTCTTGGAGAAGCGAAGACGAGTATTCTTGGATGTATAAATGGATCCAACGTAGATAAAGGCGAAAAGTCCAGACAGCAGGTGCGCGGATGTGATAGATAGCAATGGTTTAGTTTCACTGTGCATGACGAGGAGTTTGCAGAGTCAAGGGTGAGTATGTCAGAGGATATGACGAATTTGGCTGGTCCGCGGTCTATTATACCAAGAGGCTGTGGATGGTCCAGGCGAAACTAAATGTTCGCATCCAAAGCGGACTCGTCTAAACCAACTGTCTTGTGTCCACACCCACGTGTAGATGTTTAACACGAGTTCTGTATCAAGGACACCACGAGGAGTCTTGCGAGTGGCGTCTATTCGGTTTCAGGTTCTGATGGGTATATGTCAAGGACTTGATCAAGAGAGTGCAAGCGATTGAACAATTGGACAGACAATTTGAACGTGAATGGGGACTTGAATCACACACGTGATTAAGTCATGTGACCGTTGACAGCCAAATACACTCCAACACGAAAACCAAGTTTGTCCGGGCTATCCCGACGTACGTCGACAACTCATTTGTTCTTGCCATGTACGCATCACTCGTTCGTCGTCAGTTGGGGGGCATTGTACCTCCCAAGATTGCCACTCCATCACTTTTGGTGCGTTCTTTAATTCTCACAGCGCTCCGCCTCGCGTGACCTCCTCTCCTTTTCTCCGCCATCAAGACGTCGGGCTCTGGTTCAAGCCTCACACCTCTGGTCAACTTCTACTCAAAACTGCCCAAGGGTTCAGCATCCACGGTTTCTGGTGGTGGAATTAAAGCTAGATACTTCAGCGGCAAGAATGCGTCCGCTGCCCCAGTCGTTTGGACGATCTTGGGTCTCTTCACTTTCGGATACGCCATCGACTACCAGAGTGAGTAATTTACGCTTGCACACATGTTCCATTTTTGATGCATGGTATTTCAGTGCACTTGAGTAAGTCATTGTTGATCACCTCAGTATATTCCTCGTTAAGCGTGTATCAGAACATCACAAGAACCACGCGCACTAGCCGCCTTTATGAAGTAAGGGGATATTGCCACAGAACTTGCTGTATGCACAAGAAATAGACTATCATTTTTTTCAATGTGCATAGACAAAACAGTACATCCTGTGTGGACTTGACCACTTGACCATATTTTAGCGCCCTGGTGTTGTGACAGTTTACCACCGGTGAGTAGAACAAGTGCCCGACTGCATTAATATCTCCTTGATTTTCTAGTACTCAGCGTCAAGGGGATAAGCACGATACCCCTGTTATTTGTGTGTCTGCGGAAAGTGAATCTTTATCAAATACAAAACTCCTTGGGCGCCGCGAATTCATCGGAAGTTTAAAAGGTACAGATTTCCGATCTAAAAATGAAAGCACGTTGTGTGCCCTCAACATGAGTTTCAGTCGTGTTTCTATTGACAGTCTTCCTGCGGTCGACGTGAACTTCTTTCGACTCCATAACATGCGCTAGCCTTGCTTCAGCAACTTCCTAAGTATCTCATCTCAAGGTGGTTCTCGATGAGCCAGCACTTGTCGATGGGTCTGAACAATTTGAGGTCCGCAAGGAAAATGTGGTGATTGGTCACTCGTCGAGGAACAAGCATATACCTGTCATACCTTATTGCTGGTTCCACAGATTATTCTTGAGCCATGCCAAGAAGCTGGAATGTTGTTGCTGTTAATGCTTGTTGGAGCACGTCAGATCGATCCTGAGCAAGATAACTACCTGGAAATCGAGGCACAATTACCGATTGAAGCCTGCATTGTTCGCATGGGTTTGCGGGACGACCGCGACCGTCCTTTTTTATCACGATAACGGCATACTCACAGTGACGCAGAGCTAGGCCTTCTTTCAGTCATGAGACCTTGGTTTATGGCTTCTTTTGGTGGATTGTTCTGGCTCTCACCTGCTTCTTCCAGATACGGACTAAAGTAGTATCAAAACCGAATGCCTTCGGGTGCGGAAAGTTTGATTCCGAGCGGAGAGTATGAAATGGATATGTTACAAGTATGGTGCAATATAATGCTAACACGAATGATGTGAGAGTATCAATATGGGGAAAGATGTTTTGCCCGCTCTCTAAGGAGGGATGCTCGAGCCTTGTCAACCACGCCTACGAGCCATTGCTGTACGACACTGTAGACAAATCTCATCGACATCGTCGATCGAGCGCTGGATTTCGGGTCCGAAGTTCTTGGAAGGTATCAACTATGGCCACAGCACGTTACTGCGTATCACCTACTTTAGTACAGTTTGGTTGCCGACAGTTTGGTGGGTGTCTGTAACTGCGCTCGCAGCGAGTTGAATTGCAATCTACGATGGCAATGACGAGATGTCTTTGAAAGTGCTGTGGCTTTTATCAAAGGCTGTCCAAACAAAAAGCATTGTCTTCGTACCCCGCATCTTAGCCAGCGTGTTCCTTCACTGCGCAAGGCGTTGTGAGCGAGCATTTCTGCAGGATGATCTAGTTGCTCACGCTATTTGTTTGCACATCGTAGTTAGACAGGCTGATGTAGATGATTGAGATGCAACAAGACGAGAGTGTAATGATGTCGATGGGCAGATGTAGTTCGCCTACTGCTGAACCCGCCTGGTTTTATACGTTCTCGAGGTCGGAATACCAAGAAAGAGAGGAGCTGAATAAATAGCCCATAACGGTTCTAGTAGGATTTGTACATGTATGATGATTGTCAGCAAGATCTCCACATGCCAGCATCCCATGCTGTATATTGTGATTTCTGGTGTGACGGGTCGGAGGGATGATGTGCGATGTTCTTTCTAGGATTCCTTGGTTCTCGGTTCACAGCTTGATTGGGACGAGGTTGTCATGTGGCTGTGCGTGATAATTCTTTATCAGAAGTATTCGAACACTTACGGGCCTCACATAGCCTCGTATTTGTATAAACTAATGAGTACTGAGTTACAACGGTACATGTCTTTAGTTGGCTTCGATGAAAATCTGTTTATTTACCATGGGTACAGAAGCAATTTGGGATTGGGTGCCTCACCAGGAATGCACGTCCGATTTGGCAGGTGTGGTTGCTGCTCACCGGGACGCTCAGCAAATTGACATCCGAAGCGCAACAGATGAATATAAGATTCACTCCATCCAAGTGCGGCTTGGCATATATTGGTGATAGTGTAGGCCTTTGCTGACAGGCCATCACTACTTGGGAACATGCCGGCGAAGTAAGGCATGGATCGCACTCTGAAGTCCCACGGCGAGGCAGTTCCTGAGCGGCAGATTGAAGAATGTGACCGTTGGCAATACGGTACTGCCTTGCACCACAATCTGCTGGACTGTGAGCACTGAGCACGTTGTTTTGTGTGACAAGATGCAAGGAGGCATAGGGGACCTACTTGAAAGTCCACCTATCGAAATTTCATCATTGGAGTGACTGCAAGGTGCCTGCACGAGCAGAATCAATTCTCTTGCGTGATCGATCATTTTATTGTCATATTATTAGGTGCTCGGCTTATCCATAGCGTCATCAACGGCCCATTACTTCCTTGTTTCGTAACTTACATATATAGAATCGTAGAGCTTCCTGAGGGCTAAGCACCGGGCGACGAAGACGTTCATGAATGCGGTACTTCCTTCTCCACAGACGACCGTAGTTTGGACGGGCACGATGTGATGTCGACTGGCGCTATCAGTCAATAGGATTCCGAAGAATTGAAAGCAATTAGTCTACCAGTGTTTCGAAGGAGCTTAGGGGAACACTTGAAAGAGTATGCTACATGATGCTACCTAATCCCGGATATCGTCAGGTCGATCATGGTTGAGGCTATTGCGATCTGCGATGTGAGATACGATGCTATGATATTATGACCCACGGCTTGTGCGATAAGTGTCGACCCCAAGTCTTATGTCAGTGATGCCAGTTGTACCTTTGGATCTAATGCATATCATGTCCATAATACGTCGGATCTGGCAAACTCCAAGAATTACTGAAAGGGACGGAAGCTTGATTTTAAGTTATCAACCGTCAAGGTCTCATTAGACAATATACTCACACGCAGGTGCGGATACTGATTTGAATGCCAGTAAAAACAACGGGATTCGTCTTCTGAGGCCGCCGAGAACAAATGCGATTCCAGCTATTTGCTGAATGGGGCATTTGAAAGAATAAGGACACGTTGAATGCGCAGTTGAGACAGTACCCAGTTCGATTTCAGTCAGCAGGAATATGTTTTGCTGCCATGCGGTTGAAAATATGGTGCAGGAGTCGCAGGTCACGCCACGACACATGTAATGCATTACTGTTATTTTGTTTTCCCGTATTCTCTTGCTCGTGCCTCACGGTGGTGCACATATACAAGGCCTGCTTCCTGAGGATCTTGTATCTCGCTGACGGTGCTGTGCTGTTGCCGTAAACCATTGATCTTTGCTTATCTTCCAAGGGATGCGTTACGAGAGGTTTACGAGTCGAAGAGCGGGAAAATACCGTGTGGCAACCATCGAGTGCGTCGGAGCGACGAGTGATCAAAGAAAGACTACACGGATTCGAGCATCGTATCTCGGTATGATTCTGCCGTTCGATACCATCTCGGGTAGCTCCACAAAAATGACAACACCTCGTTGTTCTTGAGAAGTGTTGTCACAACTTCTCGATTCTGTACTTGTGGGCCAGGACAGACTGGCACTGCCCAATCGAGGCACGGTGGTTGAGAACACAGATTCCTGAATGGTATAGAAAACCCGACTGCTAGGCACATCACGGCGAGGACTCAAGTTGAACTTATTGAATTACATTAATTGTACACACCACTACTAATAGGTTGAAGTTCAAAAGATCGGTCACTGATCAGTTATCTGAGACAATCTGGTACTGATTTTCTCAAGTGTGCAGTGTTATGGAAAAGGATCGGGGTTTCTAAGCGGATATTAACCTATATTAACTGATATTAAAACCACGTCGACGACCTACATGTACATCAGGTCCCAAGAGTTGGAGATTATTATTGTGATCCATGTGCTTGTGAAAATAACATATTCCAAGAAGATCTTTGCAGAGGGGGTACGTATAACTGCGACATTTGTGAATGATGGATGATTTGATTAATACTATTTACTTCTTGTTTTGACTTATTTTGACCTGATATACATTTAGATCAGCGAAGAGCTTGTTCACAAACCCTGATCTATTAGTTCGCCTGGACAAACTGTATTCACGCTGGTGAGCTGTCTCGGAACGAATCGTGACTAAGTTCAAAGCTCCATAGCGTCGTGACTCCGGGTTCATGCGCAAAAATATGTCTGCATCCATGCCGATGCCTAAGTTGACAGCTCGGCGCAGTGCGCCTGCTGTCATTGGAACGGGCGTACGCGCGATCCGGCGCGTTGTGGTGCACGCAAGTATTTTGAAAGCCTCGAAGTTGTGCTCTGGCGATGTAGTCGCCTTATCAGAGGCAGATGACGGAAATACCAAGAAGGTGAGAGTCATCGTGCATGCCAGCGTCTCCATCACAGCTCATTCGAACATTCTATCGCACTGTGAATTACTTCAAACCATCTCTAATAACAGAATTTTGCAATCGGAACATTGTGGCCTTCTCTGGATATTCCGCAAGATGGTATGTACGATATCAGATGACACAAAGATCCTTGGCTAAGTTCGACTTTGCGGTTACATAACCTTACTTCCAGCCATTTTGATTTCGTCCTCACTTTTTCTTACGGCATGCCTCAAGGAAGGCGCAAAGGTACAAGTATTTGACGTGTCCGATCAAGGCGCCGGCAGACCCCCTCCCGGTTTACCGACTATGCGAGATGTTCGGGAGGCTGGCGCCATCTGTCTGAGAGAAATTTCCATAAGAACACGGGCAATGCAAAGCATGGCCAATTCACAGGGCAAAGGAAAGCATAGAGATTGGCTCACTCTACTACTGCGAGAACACCTTAGTACGTCAAATTCAGGTGGCGTAGAATGTCACTGACAGCGCTGTTCTATCGGAATTTCTTTATAGTCAATCTCAAATATATTCTTTCTACTCAGATTATCGAAGTCTCATATCAGGGCGAAATCCGAACATTCTCCATTGATTCTGTGTCAGCCCACCACTCGGCGCCAAGTGGTTCCGTGAATACCATAACACGCGACCTCAACTCGCTTGCAATTCAGGTCAGCCCATCACTTTGGACAGCAGGGTGGGACACAATCGTCTCCATACTGGAAGATGTGGCTGAAAATGACGTCGGTCTCATGCAAAAGGTGCACTTTCTGACATTTCCTGAGAAATATTTGTGATAATAATCACGGATGTGACTTCCTAGTCTGACATCGAAACACTACCCCACACATCAATTTCTGATGCATACGCGGCTGTCGGAGGACTTGACAAGACAATCACCCAGATACGGGATCTTCTTGAGATACCGCTCACAAGGCCAGAGCTCTTTGGATATTTTGGTAGGCATGGCAGACACCCCCTATACAAGTTTTGATTACAATATCCGCTTTTTAACCAGGTCTCAAACCGCCTCGGGGCATATTATTGCATGGTCCGCCTGGTACAGGAAAGACACACCTTGCACGTGCTATCGCATCATCCACTAACTCATCGGTGCTCGTCATCAATGGTCCTGAGCTTTCTTCAGCCTATCACGGAGAAACAGAATCAAAACTCCGGGATGTATTTAAGGAAGCCCGAGCCAAGAGCCCATCTATCGTCATTTTGGACGAGGTTGATGCGCTTGTCCCAAGACGAGAAGAGGGCGCAGGTGGCGAGGTTGAAAAACGGGTGGTAGCGACACTTTTGACGATTCTGGATGGTATTGACAATGCGAGCACGACTTTTGATGATAGGGTCGTTGTTATCGGGACAACCAATCGGCCGAATGCCATCGACCCGGCGCTACGAAGACCTGGGAGATTCGATCGAGAATTTGAGATAGGTGGGCGGTAATCTTACAAGTGCTATCAAGCTTTAACTGACGGCTATTACTTTCAGGTATACCGGACGCGGACGCACGTCACTCCATTCTGAACGTCCTCCTCTCCAAAACTCCCCATTGTATTACAGACGCAGAACTCCATTCCATCGCACGCCGCGCTCATGGATATGTTGGTGCGGACCTCAGTGCTGTAGTTCGAGAGGCTGGGACCCTTGCCATCAAACGATGGATAACACACATTCCGCCAGGCTCCCATACTGACCCATCAGCTACATCAATGACCTTGAAATTGACGCCATCGGACCTTTCAGATGCGCTCCCTACTGTGCGGCCGTCCGCAATGCGCTCCCTATTTATTGAGACACCACCTGTTCGGTTTGAAGATATAGGTGGGCAAGCCCACATCATACAAAAACTCCGGGAAGCAGTCGAGTGGCCATTATTGCACCCAGAGGCTTTCCAGCGATTGGGTGTCCGACCACCAAAGGGTCTACTATTGTACGGACCTCCAGGGTGTAGTAAAACCATTCTGGCTCGAGCTTGCGCAACGGAAAGCGGTGTTAACTTTGTTGCTGTGAAAGGTCCTGAGGTGCCAAATTTGGTTCTACGTTCAGGCAACATACTCATGATATGTTGTCGTTAATCAGCTTCTAAACAAATATGTGGGAGAGTCGGAAAGAGCCGTGCGAGATATATTCAGCAAAGCCAGAGCTGCGTCACCGTCAATAATCTTTTTCGTAAGCGCCGTCATACTGTGAAGGAGTTGGTGCTGACAAACACAGGATGAAATTGATGCCCTTGGAACATCTCGCTCCTCAGATTCAGATACTGGAACTGCACATGAAGGGGTTCTAACCAGCCTCCTGAACGAAATGGACGGCGTTCAGGAACTTGTGGGGGTGACCATTATAGCAGCCACAAATCGCCCCGACGTCATTGCAAGTCCATGTGCTCTGATTATCATCGTTATATTTCTGACAATGCATCGTCAGGACTCAGCTCTAATGCGTCCCGGAAGACTGGATCGTATTCTGTACGTTGGACCTCCCGATCACGACGGACGTAAAGAGATCTTGAAGATCAGGACAAGGAGGATGAGTGTTGAATCTGACCTGGATCTTCATACAATAGCAGCCATGGTGAGTACGGTCCTGTTGCATCTGGGCAAAGTGTAACGTTGCATTTAGACCGATGGCTGCAGCGGCGCAGAAATTAGCTCACTGTGCCAGGAGGCTGCTCTACTGACCATGCAGAAAGATATCAACGCCCCATTCGTAAGCTCTTCGAAGTCCCTGGTTTAGTGAACTTTCCTCAGAGCTCTCTGCAGATCCCCCAAAGCGCCTTTGTTGCAGCCGCAGGTGCCATTCAAAAGCAAATCACACCAGATGTGATCAAAAAATATCAGCAATGGAGAGATCGAACAGGACTAAGGAGTGTTTGAATCAATTGCAGTAGGTTCCTGCCAGCGCTTAGTCATTCGTTGTGTACTTACGCCACACGTTTGTGTTTGTGTAGGGTAATACACTACTTCTCGTGATTAACTATAGCCTGAACGCTGTGGTAAATTTTAGATCGAAACAACCCAGGGTCCCGATTGCGCACATAAGAGCAGGGCTCATCAAGTGTGTCTATGGTTTTATTGCCCTTACCAACGCCTTGGGCCGGGGGCCGGTTTCCCGGTTTCCGCGTCTACCTCCGAGCTGTATCCGCCCTGATAAGCTAACTTTCTCTTCTGATGCTAACCCAAATCACGTCAAATATCACCACCAGAACTCATGTTGCTAACATTCTGGTTGCGCCAAAGCACGCTCTCTTCAACAACATCGATGGATCTTTCCAAGCCTATCTTTCATCTCCGAACTAAAGACATCCCTGATGTTCCGATCGACCGTTACGTTCTCCATATCTTCCGCATGATATCGATAAGCAGCTTGGCGGTAATTGGGTCCTGTGAATCAATCAAACTACTGCGCCCAGCAGAATCTCAGCTAATCTCAGACATCATGTCGATAATCATCGTGTAAGTCAAGCTTGCGAATGGATCAGCCACGCACCCAGATCTCTTCTACGAAAATGAAGAAAAGTCTTACCCATTTGAGGGTGCAAGCCGACGCATATCACCCACGGCCAGCTTCTTGGACTGCACACACCTGCATGATATCTCCGAGGCTCGAGCATCCAATGCGAGGTGCAGAAGCACCCAATCTTGATCATGCAGTCAAGCGATGCAGACATGAACGAGCTACTTGATTGATATTGTACACTAAACACATTCTCCCAGGTAAGAACAATTTCAACCGACTGGAAGCCGATCAGCAGCGCGCCTTTAAATATGTGGCTTTGAGCTCGCCTCTAATACTTCCTTCAGCGCGTCTGGTTGGGAGAGCGTTGCTTCAACCTGAACATGATAAAGTGATGCAATAGCGCCAGATAAATCGAAAATGCCCATCAAGTTGACAAACTCGGAGAAGAGTATGCCGGCACGACAGTACCGGAGCACACCCATGTGGGAAATCTGTCTCGTTACAGACAGAAGACTCGTACTGTCGTCGGTCTGCCCAGGGGATCATCATCTTACTCACCTTGCTGGATCAGATTTGATATTATTCGAGGCATGAAAAGTTTTCACCACAAACGCAAGGTGACGAACGATGGCGTTGGGTTCTATAAAAACCCAACTCACTTTCCAATTACTATAAACTTACACTGGTGATCGGCTACTCTGATAGCCCAGTGCCTGCGAACCCACTACCGTCCTGTATGCCCAGAAGTCCTGTGCACTGTCACGATAGTTATAGATTGCTTGCACGTGTGGGGATGGAATCGATATTCATTCCATCGTTGACCAATGAGATGCAAGTCATGAAACTCGCTGTTTAATTCAACGTACTGGTCCCCACAGGCGTTCATCCTTCAGTCTATCACATGATAGGACAACTGTACTATGATTCCCGACTTCCAAGTTCGTAGACGACATCGATGAGCCATCGAGGTATTTAGGTACCTGAGCTTATGTGGCCAAATAAAACATTCATGTTCATGTCGTCAAGCAAGCCGTCGCGGTGGTGCTAGTATCCAGGGAACGAGAAACAGACTAGCAGACATTATTGATGCAATTTGGATGGCGTTGCAGAGATGATCAAAATATACACGAATAAGTACTAGTATAATTAAGCAAATGCAAGTTGGGTCTTATCAGCGGACGGCGGTGGGCCGATAGCCGTCCCCGTTCTAACTCGGTAACCAGGCACACACAGCCAAGACTCGCGGTCAACAGGACCAGAACTTCTTCAACGAGTCAACCTACACAGCGGCGGAAAGGATGTCCGACCAGAGGGCCAGGAGCTTGTTATCAGCTTGCTCCAGTGCTTAAAGTAGCGTCATATGACACATCGATCAGAAATACTTCCCCACCGAGTCGAGAACATTTGCTTCGAGGGGGCGGCTTAGTTTCTTCATCCTTCCTATCGGCTTGAGAGTCTCCATCGACTTCAGGAGTACATCTATGCTCTCCTTCAGCACATCCGAATCCGGATTTTTGAGATCGATGGATTTGGTCTCCCTCGCACGGAGCTCGCAAAACCCTAGGTGTCGAAGCCTGCCATGTCTTAGACATTGTGCACACATCCAGAGGGATGGTATCAGGAGAGCTTTGTTGGTCGTAGTCGACTAGGCATCAGCGTCCGCTTTGCCTCTTCTTAGACAGTAAAAAAAAGACAGGTAGCCGCAAATCCGCTGTCGCGGGGTCCTCAACTTGAGTTTGAGTGCACCTTTGACTGCAGTTTCAATCTGCGCAAACGAAGGGTTGGGTCGAGCTCCACTTGTTCGGCGCATTACACAGTCGTGGAGGTGATGGTCTGGAATATACAGCTGTTTCTTCTAGTGGAGTGGAAGACGATGACGTCTCAAGAAGTTATGGCCTATTACAATGCTTCTAACCCTCGCGGGATTCGATGAGCCCTTTAAAATACATGCCATTTGCTATCCATGTCGTGAGCATCAGGTGCCATTGCATTAGAGTGCAACGTACTGGTTCGCCGAATATCGAGCTATATCATTGTCAGCTTGCTCCAATGGTTTCGGGTGTTGGAATTCGGCCGAGCCTAATGAGTACCTGGGAAAATCATGTCAAATAACAAAGTGTGCACACTGCAGACGTTCAAGCTCGAGCGCCGAAGGCCTGGTCCCAATTGGGCGACAGGGTTATCCGGTGAGCTGGAATACTCAAGTTGATAGCCTTCTCTGCATTGAAACAAAAATCATTGACCTGGGAGTAGAACGCAGCACTGGATGCGCCTGGGCCCTGGACCAGGCGGGATTCTCTGAATTTTTGGAATTGAATTCGTCTTGACTGTTGACAAAATGTTGAGGGTTGCATATCTTCCACCATCATGCATGAATCGTGCTCAGTGCCCAAGGTAGTATACATCGTTGGGGTGATCAAACGGGAACAACTCGCTTAGGTGCACAGCCACTCGACACGTAACCAGCATTATTAGCTAAGCCGCATCCTGCCTATAAATTTTTGCATGTCGAACTCTGGAGGGCGATTTGCGCTTTACAGAAATGCTCTCACCGCGATTTCTGGGAGGACGGGAACACCACTCCCTTCTCTCATAGTCTCCTTCGCCATCGTTCATGAATTAACTGCCATCATTCCCATGGTGGGGATTTTTTACACGGCACGTAGTCTAGGAGCAGGCGAGCGCATTGTCGGTGCTGTTGCTCTCAATCGAGATGGCTCCATGGATGATCAGTCTTGGGTGAACACCCAGCTGAGCTCGTGGCTCGATGAAGGCGAGCAGTGGGCTAGTCGTATCGGACGTCGATATGGCATTTTCGGCTTTGAGAAAGGCAAGCTTGTTGACCAGACCCAGATGAGCGAGTTGTCTGGGAAGCTAGCGGGGGACGTCGCAAATGCCGTTTTGGCTTATGGTGCAGTCAAGGTATTTTTTATTTACTGTAGTTGGGATAGTAACTGATGTTTACCTAGGCGCTTGTACCCATCCGCATTGGTCTTTCATTATATCTTTCTCCGATGTTCTCTCGAGCAGTTGTAGAGCCGATTCGATTAGGTGGCCTTCGTCTATTAGGACGTAGGCCGAATTCTTCATAAAAGGTGGGTGACGTCCCTAGTTTTTTTTTCATGATGATTTCGCTTGCCGCCCCAGTCGTAGCTATGTGCGTTGACGAACGGTAGAGCATACAGCCAAATATTTGCACCACTGATTCTATCCTATCCTTGCTTCTATCTCTCCATAAATTCGAAGCTTACTATCTGTCTCACAGGTTATCTTTGATACTGATACATGGGCGGTACATTCTTGCTAGTAATGAGCATACCCTTGGTCACTTGTGAAAGTCGTGTTTTAATGCGGATATCCTCTGCATTCGATCCTTTTTTCCCCCTCCCTTCCAGTCAAATTGGCTCTTCAAAGAATTGTTCCACCTTTGACGATGCCTCATTCCCTGGGAAGAGCCTTTCTGTCTCGTCTTCGTCTTGTGCTACATGTGATTTCAGTGGAGCACACCTGGACGATTTAGGCACATCCCACTTATAACCCAGAGTCTTGTTACTGCTATTATATCCCATCAAAATTATGGGCTCGCTGTTTGTACTGTCATCGGTCATCTCTGTTCGGGATCTGCGCGACCTACGCTGTGCAATTGCCAATGATGAGCGCTGCCCGTGACCCACAAGTTTGCACCTGCAAGTGAATCATGGATGAGCAGTAAAGTCCACATAATCATGCATCACGATCAGCACGTTATGAGGGTACCATTTCATAACTGCTACAGCTCTTTTGAAGTCGTACACTGCCGCAAGGGTATACTTCGACGCCATTAACTTGCAGCTTATATATGAAACGTTCCATCGCGGATATTACACTGCGGTGGGGCATCAAGTACGGAGTAACAACCGTCGCCACGCTATGTACCAATCTGTTTAACTGGTGCTCACTAGGAGAATCAGGGCTCCGTGAAAAACTCCCGAGTTTTTTCAGTGATGAATGTACAGGTCTTGCGATACGAGAGCACTTGCTGGTAACGAGGATGCTCATCTTGATGCTCCTCGATTGTTGGACTTGCTGTCAGAGAGGCCGGTGGAAGGGGTAGACAGGGCGCCTCAACAACAGGATACCGTAGTTCCAATGCCTTTGCATTATAGTATACTAGCGAAAAAATGTCAAAATGACTGAGAAAAACGCATTTTTGGGGTGTATTAAAAACACGTCAAAAACTCCCTGGGTAGTTTTTCACGGAGCCTTACCGCACTTCGGACACAAGGTGGGAAGCAGGGTGGGTTTTATGTTGAACTTTGTTCAGACAAACATCATACCAGATCTGATGCCGGTATGTTCCATCAACTTCCATGTCGTTGGAAAGCTATACGGTTATCACATAATAGATCAGATATCTAGACCGTAACTTAAAGCGACTCACTGAGTATTGGCGAGTCTGCTATGTTAGGTATGCACCGTTCAAGTTGCCCTGGCATTGTAGTTACTTTGGGTCATCTAAGAGATCACGATGTGTTGCCCAGTAAAAATATTTCGTCGACTGAACAGGAACTTGTGGACGCCCATCACCCCTGACAATCCCGCCGACTCGGAGTTCATTATGTACTGAGCCTATCAGGCCAGGAACATCGGACACAGGTACGCTAAGTTGCATCGATGGGACTTACTCAGGCTCATGTCGAACACTACTTACAAGCAGCGGCTGATCAATGGGTTTGACAGCCGGAATTGCCTGTAATTGTTTTCCTCACTCATGTTAGTCAGGTCGATTCAGCTCGATTGCACATCGGCCACAGTAGAACTTTTCGAAAGCTTCAGATGGACTCGGAAGAGCGCGGCGGCCTATCCCGGAAGGCAGGCATGAATCCCGGTCCTGCCAAGTGACAACCTCCGTCAGGAGGTTCAGAGGATCCATGCGAGGACAATATCAATGTATTCCATAGACGAGAAATACGATTACAGGTGAGGCCGTCGACGTGAGCGAATAACTCGGCTGATTTATGTTGCGGCTACGTACGTTCAACAACTGTACATCATGTCAACAGGCCAGTATGGCCGAGGACTTTCTCGTTATTATAAAAAACTACTTATAGTCTTTCGGGGCGTACCCTATGCCGACTAGTTACAGGACTATCCCATTAGCTGGCAAGTTGTGAGTGATCCGTGGAAGCAACCACCGGGATTCCTGTCCTTTTCATTTCCGATGGAACTGAGCGTCTGTATATCCCACCGGTCTGGTAATTGAGGAACTTAACTTCTTTTACATACTATATCTTGCTTGTAGATCTCTAAAGTCTGGGCCTTCTGTCAAAGTTTTTGAGATGCGCCCTGGGCTCGTCGCGGTGACCGTGCATTCTGAAACGCGGCATTGTATACGAAGTGGTGATGTGACCAAGAATCTGAGCGTCACAAACTTGAGCGTTGAATCGTATTCTGTTGAGGCGAAGTGCTGGCGCTCCCTTCTGTGACACCGATCTGGTTCTTGAGAGTCCTGAATGTCGCGTCCGCAATGCGCACAATCAAACGGCACCACCATTACGTGAGTGCCAATCGGAGCGTGCGGCTCAATGATGATCTGTTTATGGACGATAATTTGGTTGCTCATGATCAAGGCCAGGTCTGTACGACACGGGTAATTCGCAAGTATGTACCTTGCTCGACAAGTCCCTGGGTGCAGGCGCATAGCACTGATCTAATAGGAGATGAAAGGAAGCCCCGCAACTATCAAAACTCCGACCAGCCTGAGGAGCCCATCAGCAAATGTGCAGGCACCTAGCCACACACCTCGGCAACGCCTGAATTCTGCCCTGTTCGTGCCCTGGATATCCTATTCCGTACACCGGCTGCCGATGCCGATGACTCGATGGCCATTCGCGATGCTATTCCATTGTCGAATGACGAGGATGTCAGTTGGTGGTTAGTGAGTCTCAATTGCACATAACAACCATTTAGGCTGATGTCTGTCACCTCACAGATGGACTGAATAGTATTGCATGAATCTGATAGATACCTTGCTGTTATGCGCCACCAAAAATTCGTCTCTCCGCTACATCTGGTGGCAGTCTGCTAGGTGCCTGGGAGTGATCTGGTGTCTTTGTGTAAGGTCCCTGAGCGTAATCTGGTAGCAGTTATGACATTTTGGTCACGGTAGATTCATCTGAACATAGCCGCGGACCTGGGGACCTGAAAGGCTGGATCCAGAACGTCCAGACTCTGCAGGACATTCTGCGCATTTGCTGATGGCCCGAAGTTCACATGTCACCGGGCGGGTGACTGTTTGTAGCGGTGTTCGGAAGAGCATGTGCCTACGTATCTGAAATGTGTCAGGCAAGGTAATTGTAGCAATAAGAGCGTGTATAGCGTCAAATGAAACAATATAAAATGTGCAGCACACACACCTCTTCAGCTACATACAGAATCACTTTACCAAGTTCATTCAACAGTACTCGACACCACCAACCTCTAGTAAAATGGCGCAGCCCGTTCCTATCACCACTCCTACTCGAGTGTTCGAAGATCGCACACATACGGTCTACGCAGTCGCAGATGTTCCCTATAGTCAACGGATAGTAACCGCCTCTGAAGACAGGCAGATTCGTCTGTGGGACATGAAGACAGGTGAAGTATTGAAGAAGATGGAGGGGCACACCGGTGAAGTCATGGGATTGGCGGTATCACGAGATGGACAAATGATAGTGACCGGTGACGAGAACGGAGAGCTCATCGCCTGGCAGGCAAAAACTGGGGAATCTCTCACTAAACCTATCAAAGTCCACGGCAGCGCACTCCGCTCGCTGGACTTTTCACCGGACGATGCGTTCGTCGTCACCGCGTCGTCGGCACCAAATGACCAAAGGGTCAAGTTTTGGAACACCAAAACATGGGTGCAATATCCCGGGAATTACGACTGCGGTAGTACTGTCCGCTGCGTTCGGTATGCGCGGTCTGGCGTATACATACTTGCGGTTGCAACAGACCAAGATATCCAAATTTACGTCGGCGAGAAACTCCAAAAGAGGTTCAAGGGTCACAGTCACGGTACATTGTCACTCGCCTGGTCTCCCGATAGAACACGCCTTCTTTCAGGAGGAGATGACCTTGACCCCAGCATAAGGGAGTGGGACACATCGAGCTGGACGCAGGTCGGTCTTCCCTGGACGGGCCACACATACAAAGTCAATTCCCTCGCCTTCAATTCTTCTGGCACGCATGCAGTTTCTGCCTCTAGCGACAACTCTGTTCGTCTCTGGCAGCTCTCCGATAAACATACTATCGCCATCTTCCAGCACACTTCTTCTGTCGTTTGTGCAGCCTTCTCCGCAGATGGCACGCGGATCCTTAGCGGAGGTTATGATAAGAGAGTCTCAGAGTGGACAGCACCCATGGGTACTTTGCTAGCGGATGTTTCCAAGGAAAAGGTACTTTCCCGTCAGTTTACCTTCCTCTCGTTATCTCATCTTGCGTCTAGATAATTTATTCAAAGGTTGTAGAACCTGCCTCCAACGGGCAGCCAACGTCAATGGTAATGTCTTGTTAATGTAAACCTTCGCTATCTCACCTTGTGTCCTTTCATGAAAAGGTTCTAGGCTTTGATTCCAGGGTTCAAGAGCCTACTCTAACTGCAAGTTACGCAACTAGTGCTGAAGGTAAGTTCCAATTGATTACATGTTCGCCGTCTCATCTAATACCCTCATTTCTATTCAAAGACTATAGATTCTGATTCAGAAACTGAAAGCTCCGATTCCGAGTCTCTGCAAGCGGTTTTGACGTCCACAAGCTCAGTTTCGACGATTGGAGGCTCCGATTCCAAGTCTCTGCAAGTTGTTTCGACGACTGCAAGCTTAGATTCCATGTCTCTGCAGGCAGTTTCGACGTCCGCGAGCTCAGATTCCAAATCTCTGCAGGAAGTTTCAACAACCGGAGGCTTTGATTCCAAGTCTCTGCAGGCAGTTTCGACAACTGGCGGCTTCGATTCCAGGTCTCTGCAGGAAGTTTCGACAACTAGAAGCTCCAATTCTAACTCCCTGCAGGCAGTTTCGATAGCTGGAGGCTTCGACTCCAATTCTCTGCAGGAAGTTTCGACAACTGGAAACTCCAATTCCAACTCCCTGCAGGCAGTTTCGACAACTGGAGACTTCGACTCCAGGTCTCTGCAGGAAGTTTCGACAACTGGAAACTCCAATTCCAACTCCCTGCAGGCAGTTTCGACAACCGGAGACTTCAGTTCCAGGTCTCTGCAGGAAGTTTCGACAACTGGAAAGCTCCACTTCTAACTCCCTGCAGGCAGTTTCGACAACTGGAGACTTCGACTCCAGGTCTCTGCAGGAAGTTTCGACAACTGGAAACTCCAATTCCAACTCCCTGCAGGCAGTTTCGACAACCGGAGACTTCAGTTCCAGGTCTCTGCAGGAAGTTTCGACAACTGGAAGCTCCAATTCCAACTCCCTGCAGGCAGTTTCGACAACTGGAGGCTTCGATTCCAGGTCTCTGCAGGCAGCTTTGACGACCGCAAGTTCCGCTTCCAAGTCTCAGCAATCGTCTTCGACTGTCCAGTCTGTGTGGGATGAGCAATCCGTTTCCCGGACTGAACAATGTATTGCTACATCGGAACAATCTGTTAACAAGTTGGAGCAGTCTTTTATCAAGTCTAAGCGAGCTTTTTCAAAGGTATGATTTCATCCTTCGCTTGTATGGCGCTATTTGAGTTTTGTTCATGCAGAAACTTGTCATTACCACGCATGAGCTCCTCGCTATCACCAAGACCATCCGTACTGCATCCATCAGAGGGGACTTGTTCACCGCTGAAAAGGTCCTTACTCAGGAGATCGCTGCCGACGCCAAGAACTTTGCCTCGTATGCCAACCGCTCTTTCATTATGGCACGCAAATTCAACTGGGAAAATGCGCTTCAGGATGCAAACAAGGTGACAACGATCAATCACGCCCTGGTTAAAATTTCGCTGACTTCGATGGTCACATAGTCCCTTGCCATACGGTCGTCGTTGGCTGGTTATATCGCCAAAGGTATCGCCCTCTGTGGAAAACAGCTTGTCGAGGACGCCAGGACAGCCTTTGACCTGGCGTTTACGTTCACGCACGGAAATATGGACGCCACTGTGTTCCTTTACTTAATCAAGGCAGGTTGATCTGTTCATCTTGCGTACTCCGCGCTTCACAATGTGTTTCAGGCTGTTGCGCTCTTCAATGCTAACAGGCACAAAGAGTCAATGCTGCGTGTGGAGCAGCTGTCTGCAGATCCTTCTGCAGATCCCCTCGCTTGTGGTGTCGTGGTGGTGAGTCTCGTATTTGCAATCACACTTATGTTCGTCTGCTGAGTGATGGGTCTGTGCTTCGTGCATCAGGCGAGTCTGCGAGTTCAATTAGGAACCATTGCCTTCAATGGCGCGCATCATAGTGAGGCTATCGAGCACTTCACTGCCGCTGTCAAGGCTAGCACTTTCTTGGCTAAATCCACCGCTCCTGCTGCCTGTGAGGCTTTCACTGTGGTACGTTTAATATGATATCATCGGAAAACTCACCCGCGCTCAACTGCGCCTGTTTTACAGCTCTTCGGATGGGACATTGTGTCGTTGTGGGAAACCTCCAACAAGAAACTGATCCTTGCGCTCCTTGGGGCTGGCAAGCTTGGAGAAGCCTTCGAATCGTACCGTTTCGCGATGAACGCAAGTGACGAAGCTACGAAGACCAGCTTACATTCTTGGGTCTTGAGTGAGTCTTGCCAGTAATGCACACCTATGCTACGGTGCTAAACCTTTTGTCACGCAGCTCTCTCGTTGTGATGAATGGTTCTCAGTACTCCAGACTAAGGCGCGAGCCACTCCGAATGCGTCATTGATGTGTGATACTCTTCACATCCGACATTATCGATTACATTTCCTTATGCTTTAGAACTTTCTTTCTATCCCTATGTCACACTATCCTTTGTACTTGATGCTTTGATGTCGCTTCCCTTATAGCGTTTCACCTAACCACGTTCGTTACGCTCGTTGTTCACTGCCTTCAATCCTTTGTCTCTATCTACCTCCTTCCTTCCTTCATCTATGCTCATTTCGGTCGTTGAGCCAGCCCAGTACTGTCTTATTTCTTTGCATAATCGTATTCAGTGTTTTTCCCGCTCCAAGTACGTCTGAAAACCTCAAGAAACATCTGTCTTTATCGCTTGTCTGAGTCGTCACTCGTTTTCGTTTTTACAATGCTTCCCTCCACCCCACTGGCCGTCCCACTATTCATCATAAGTCCTACGACAACCTGTTTGTTCAACGTGCACCTTTCTTCAATTTCTTCACGTTCAATGTCTAGACACTTCGATCTATCTGCATCAATCCAAACTGATCGTCGACCGAACAATTCCTTCACAAACTCGCTGGTTATCCAAAGGTCTACCACACGAGAAAGTTTCAATCTGAGAATAAGTACATATATGTCCAATTGTCTCGTCCTCTTTACCTGATGTTACCCTTGGAACCAGGAATACACGATACACCATCATCTTCTGGACTCCTTGCCGGGTAGTTATTTACGGCAGTGAATTGCAGACGGGTACTCTCTACCACCTCCCTCGTCTTGCATTCGCCCTTCATAAACCCACCAATTCCTGGATAACGATATCAATGATAAGTGATAGTGCCGAATGGGATAACACTACCAGATGAAGACTTGGGTTGTGATATGCTAGAAATAGACACCGACTAATCTGACCTGATCACCCACCCGAACCAGAATAGCACGAGTCGAAGCCATTTCGACAACATGTGCCCACGATCCCTCCGCTCGTCGTGGTGGCTGTGTAGTTTCAAACGCAGAGTTGTTTTGTACATAGTAATGTTGTCAAGAATCTGAACATCCGAGTCGGGCGATGAATCGTAATTTTGTTGAGGTGAAGTACTCGCGCTTGTTTCCGATGATGCAATGACTCATGCTAAAGAGTAACCTACACTAATAAATGCAATAAATCCGTGTATGAATACCGTCTGTGTAGCTGAGCCTACATAGTCACCACAAACTACATCATGGCCAGGTATACTATTGCGAACACCCTGCAATGGTACAAGGATTGCCGGGGGATTGGTATGCAGCCCACTGTAAGCTCAGTCAGACATGATACGAGTCGTACGTCCTTACTTGTATATAGACAAAGGCGGCCAGGAATCCGATCTTCCAAACTCTTCTAAAATAGTCCACATAAGGCCACACACGTTGTGCTTACACGAGTAGTCTTGAATGTCGCGCCCATAGCGTGCCTTAGCACAACTACGTAGGTACCACTCGGAGCATCGGTTCAACCATGAACGTGTGGCCTATTTATTGATGATATTTTGGCTGCTTACGGGGAGGTCATGTACGATACAGGTAATTTTCGCAAGTATGAACTTTGTTTGACATGCCCTGCCCTTGGCTGCAGGGTTGCTGCATCGGCAGCACAATGGATGAGGACCTCGCTATAAAAATCACATAGCTTTGATGCGAAAGGGGCTAAAGACGCACCAGAAGCAAATAAAGAAGGTACATCTTGCGTAATGAAGGATCAAGAATCTTCAATGAATGTATTACGATCGTCTTCCAGAATGTCGCGAACATTTTGCGGTAATGAAAAGGTGACGATATACTGGGAACATAACAAGAAATGCATACCGTACGATTCGCATCAGTGGACAGAACGGGGTAAAATGTCACATTGAGGTGGCATTGTGTCTCGCCGAATGGGCTCATTGTCAGATCGAAGTAAATATCTGACGCAACATTAAGCAAGAAATGCGTACCATGAGACTGGCACCAGTGGACAGAACGGGGTAAAATGTCACATTGAGGTGGCATTGTGTCTCGCAGGATGGGCTCAACGTCAGATTCGAAAGTATAAAAAAACTAAATGATCTGTGACGCAACATTGAAGGATGTCTCAAGGGCGCAATACCGCAAGGCTGTGCGCTAATGACAATCGATGCACACAAACACCGACATATGACATGAGCGGACAGCAGGTAAGAAAATCGAACAACGGACCTGGATGCAAGAGACAGTCGCTAACTAACACGCCGGATCCTGCCTTGGACTTTGCATTTTACCCATCTTTAACTCCGAAAAGGCCCATCAATGATAGCAGAGTTAGAACAGTTGATCGTATACAAATCCGCACATCATAGCGAAAGGTGTACACACCTGTAGCACCGATCCCATAGGAGATGAAAAGGAGCCCCGCAACTATGAAATCTCCTGAAAGAACATTGCAGGGAGCTGAAGTTCACATGTCACCGGGCGGGTGACTGTCTATAGCCTGAGTGTTGTTCGAATAAGCATGTGGTGTTGTGTTCCCACGTACCTGAAATGTGTCAAGCATAGTCCCAAAGCCGCTGATCGGTCAGAATTAAATTCCTGTAAGCAAGCTGTATTGACGACATAAAGTAGGCATTTGCCGTCGGTGACGTCGATCCCCCGGGCGTCGACCATGTCTTGCCCCACCATTGAGATGGAAGACATTGCAACAATCATACCAGACGATGTGACTCATGCGAGGTCATACTGGCAAGGTGAACGGTGTTGTGCAACTGCCCAACGAACAATGGCGTGTCATCGCATATTCAATCGAAAGACGGCTCACTGCGGTCGTGGGACCTGGAGGTGATGACTGACGAGGTCCAAACGGCAGCACTGTCGCAAGCGGAAGCAATAGTGGGGCAGTGAAGTTGTGGGATGTGGAGACAGGAAAGGGAAAGGCCATCATCAAATGGGCACATTGAGCGGCCTGAGAGTGTGTTGGCAGTGTGCTGGAGTCCGAATGCTGAACGAGTCGCGAGCGGATCCAACGACGGGACAGAAAGAGTATGGGATATCTATATCAAGAGCGGTGAAACAGTCCTGGAAATCAAGACCAGCCTGGGCACGAGTGGTCGACAACAGTGATATACTCACCCGACTCAACAAAATTTGCGACGAGCGGAGAAAGCGAGAATACCTGGCATGCAAAGACAGACGAACTGCTCACAACACCCAGCTTGGCTTGGACGCGTCAACTAGTGTACGGTCAAATAAAGGGGTGCTAATTTACACCTGTTAATTTACACCTGTGAATTAGGGCTGATCAGCATGTGAATCTCGGACGGGCATTTTGGGGTGTGAATTAGGGTGAATTAGTTAGAATCAGGCGTCTCCATGATGGTGAATCTGTGAATCTGTGAATCTCGCAAAATATCTACACTGGCTAGGCCATTAAATGAACCACATTCTCAACCATGAACTGTGAAACGAGAAATAAACTACAGCTACTATCTCTTTATTTCCAAAATCTCCCCGAAACCATTCCTTATGCGGACCCTTCGATCACGCAGTATGGCTTCGACTTCTTTGCCTTGGATGACGAGAAGATCGAGGATTACGGTCCCATCGGCGCACTGAACCGCGAACTCGAAGTGCGCATGGGTCAGCGTGACAAAGGTCCTATTTCATTTAAAGAACGTGGACCTAGCCTCAATGCTGTGACCAATGTGCTTGGTGGCTACTTGGATCAGTACCACGAGTCTCCAGAGACAGTACTTCTTGTCAAATGGGTGGACGACCTTACCATAGCAGCAGCAGCAGCTGCATTCGAATCTGCCGGCATTCCATCCTGCCGAAGATTTGCCTCCCGCTGGTCGAATGCCTCCTCTACCTGAAGCGAGAACAGTGGACTCGGACTTGGACTCGGAAGATGAGTTTGACGATGGCGCAGATTGGTTGGATGGTCCAGCTGCTCCTTCACAGTTTAAGACAGCGGAAAAAGACTCGTTTGTGCTTGCAGCATCCAGCGGTATCGATTTACGCGCACCCCACCTGCGTGAACTGCTCGGTTCAATCGGAAAACAACCTGCGCACCCGGGTTCCGGACCAACAAAGAAGGCTGCCGCTAAAAACCTGTCCTCGTCCGTCCCCGACCCTTCTGCTTGGGACGAGTGGAAATAATTCACCCTAATTTACCCTAATTCACAGTACATTTGACCTAATTCACCTGTAAATTAGCGTTGATTTACAGACCTGTTAATTTACTGTAATTCACGCTGGTGAATCTGAAGCCTCTGGGCGCATTGTTAATTTACCCTGTGAATCTCGGACAGTTCCTAATTGACCGTACACTAGCGTCAACAAAGAAACTACGTTATATTGCCTAATTAAGTTATTCGACACAGCCACTTCAGAGATCGCTATCCAATTGTCTCAGAACAACCGTCTCCCCTCCTCAGTGTGAGTGCCAATCGGTTGATAAAACAGCGCGTTTCTGGAATCTCGACACAAACCTCCCAGTCGGACTTCCTCCGGTACAACGAGAGAGTTGAATGCGCAGCCCTTCCTGTTGATGGAACAGTGCTAGTCACTGGCAATGACAAAGGATATTCGGGCTATTCTCGAAAAAGTTGCCCTTGAAGACCTATTGCCTATTCAAAATGTGAGTTTAACTCTTCAGTAGAGGCCACTTTAGCTGAATCTCCTATTCGCAGCTCACAGCTGAAAAGTCGTTAACAAACGTACGTCCCGCGAGCTTATTTTTTCGATGAATATAACTAATACGGGTGCTCAAAATTCTAGGCAGATCATATGTAATGTTCAGCTCAGCTTGAGGATACCCGTCCGCCCATGCAGGGGTACATAATAGACGATACCCCAGATAGTGTTCACGTGGGTCCGTCTCGTCATCATCCCAACAACGATGAGATACGCAACTCCAACAACCTTCAAGGCAAAATTTTATTTTTCATCATACCGTAGTCTCGCAGTTGCTGCAGTACAGGACAAAGGGGTATGTCTTTCTTGCGTATCTTTCTACTCACTGCGGTCCGACATTTTCTCTGCAGGCATATGTTGCTCCGCCACCGCCGCCACTGAGGGTTCATTCAGAACGTATCCAGAAACTTAAATGGTGAGTTTATACTGTGTTGTTGTTTTTCTGTCACGCCTCTCCTGCTACTGATCACAGTCATTGCACTACATAGAGAGCCATTATCTCATCACTGTATGGGCAGGTAATATAGGGGATGCATGACCTGAGGCGAAACACGGTCACCCAGGCACCTCGACATTCACACCAGGTGCAGCAGGCTCGCATTCACGTCCTATCATCACCCACACGGTGGTCCCGTTTCTACTTATTTGTGTACTGCATACCCGTTTGATACGCAGATTCGTAGAGACACGGCACACGGACAAATCTCAAGACGAAGCTACTTAATCGGATATGTAATCGACATTCCAAGGTCGTCGGTAGAGGACATCTTGCTCTCAGACTCTGAAACATTGCTTTAAAGACAGGTCGCTTGGATTTCATAGTACAGTGCAACGAATGTCTACACGAGCGAAGGAGAGAATGCTCCTTCACTTTCATTCTTTTTGAAATGTTCCTCTGGTTAGCAAATCTTATCTAGTACGATGCATTGTCTCACTCACACCGCAGGCAGCTTCAAGGTTTGCAGGTACCTTCGGTGCCTATAACTCATGATTGCAGCAGCATGATCGAGCAGTCCTCCTGGCGACACAATTGACCTTTTGTAACATTTGAAATGCGCATTTGAAAGGAACGAAAATGCTCATTGCGCACGCAGGGCATGACCTCGTCAGTGCTCAGGGGCTCAACTATGGCAGATCGTTGATAATGTGCGTCATACTATAACCTTTCCAGTCCGGTAAACTTTGACTTTGGTAATTCTTGATGTTATTTCTCTCGTGATTAATTCACCATTCAGTGTGACCAAACCATCCGACGACTATGCCCCACATCAGCGACGATAGTAGTAACAACGAACAGGTACAACAGCCGTTTGCGAAACACTAGGCCAGTCCTAAACAAAGAAAACATAAGTCGGCAAGAAGTTAAATCAAATTCCAATCGCAATCAATCGCATTCATACCACTGTAGAACGTTACATGCACAGAAATTCGTGGTTCCTGATCGAACATTGCAATTCAAATAAACGCCATCCCGTTTTATTTTTGACGACCGGTGCAAACGGCTATACCAACGAAGGAAAGATAGAGTGCTAACAAAAGAATGACAGGAGACGTGATGGCGCACGCGAAGAGATAATGAGACATGAGAAAAAGGAAAGATCCTTTCGATGTGAATGCAACGAAAACTTTGAGCGAGTAAGGTATGCACCGGGTACGGGAACTCGGAAATGTTATGGGCCGAGATACATGTTTAAGTTTGACATATCCTCCAGGCAAGTACTTGGCATAAGTACAAGTGTTCAACTTGAAGCTAACAGCATTCTTAGCACGCACTACAATGATTCGCATCGAGAACCAACACACATACAGCTTGAAAAACTCTTATGGAAGCACTGCTGTTGACCTCTCGGGTGGTGATAATTACTCCAGTAAGCATATCATTCTCGCTTTTAGGAAAATCCCAAGCCAGTGCTAATATTGCCTTAACTTAGTCATCGGTTATCACCCCCACGATGGTTCCAACCAGGCGGTAATGCGCTTACTTGTCATCCCACTGCGGACAGGTCGTACTGACTAGCTTTTCGGTTCTTAGTGGATCTTCCAGCAGGATGGCGACCAGAACGGATGGTTCATAAAGTCATTGCGCTCTGGAAAATATCTTGGGGTTGAAGGCTGCCCCAATGATGGCAGTGCGGTTGTTGTTGTTTCGAACCCCTTTAAGTGGGATGTCAAAGACTCCGACCTTGAAAACGCTAAAGGCATTAGGTGTGCATGTCTTTCATACCGTGCATGTCTGGTCGTGATTTTTTATTTGGCAGGATATTGGCCCATGGCACCAATTTTAGCTTAGACCTCAAGGACGGAAGTTCGGCAAATCACACGGAAGTTCGGCTTCGGTGCAGCTGGCATGGCTCCAATCAGATTTGGGTACTTACCGAGCGGGTCTCCATTGAGGATCAGCACACTTACAGCCTCAGAAATCGTCAGGGAGGCACTGCTATCGACCTCTCGGGTGGTGATAACCACACCAGTAAACATTAACCTCACTCCAGGCCACAGGGGTATCGCTAATATTGCATACACATAGTCATTGGTTATTATCCCCATGATGGTTCCAACCAGGCGGTAATTTATAATCCCGTCAGGGACAGGCCATGTGTTAACTAGCTTCTTGGTTTGCAGTGGATCTTCCAGCGTGATGGTGACCAGAACGGCTGGTTTATCAAGTCTTCCCGCTCTGGACAATACCTTGGAATTGAAGGCAACGCCTATAACGGCACCAGGGTCGTCGCTGTTCCGTCCCCTTTCAAGTGGGATGTCAAAGTCTCTGACGTCGAAGGTGTCCATGGCATTAGGTACGCATAACTTTCATATGGTGGTGCATGTCTGGTCGTGAATTTATGTCGTTGTTTTTGTTCGGCAGGATATTGGTCCACGGCACTAATTTTAGCTTAGACCTTGACTACGGAAATTCGGCAAACCACACGAAAGTTCAGATTTGGGGCAGCTGGCCTGGCGCCAATCAAATTTGGGGACTTGTCGAGCGTCAATGACCACGGAAGGAATGCAAGATAGAACAGCTTCATCTGGTGTGTAGTTGTTTGACAAGTAGTGATATGTTTTTTGGAGTAGTGTGTCTATGTCTAATATGTTGCACGTGTATAAGTTGTACTAAGCTCGGATAAGGTTGTGAGCGTCATGTCTGTGGTGGGTATACGAATGAGAGAGTGCAATGCTGTGGTAAATGAATTGGCACTGCAACTCGTGTAAACTTTATCTCCACTATACACATACTTATAAAAGCACCTAGTAAGTAATGGATATTAGAGAGACGGTTTAATTTGATTGTCTGTGGTAACACACTGCAATTAAAAGGAAGCATTGATCGCGGTCTACAGGTCCTGATCTCTGGGTCGTCTGTATGACCATCACATGGGTCTATCACACGAGAAAGTTTTAATCTGAGAATAGGTATATGTCCACCTGAACGTTACTCTCGGAACCGGGAATACACGATACACCATCGTATTTTGGACTCCTTGCCAGGTAGTTATTTGCGCCAGCGAATGGCAGACGGGTACTCTTGCAATTCCACCACCTCCCTCATCTTGCGTTAGCCCTTCACAGACCCACCAATTCTGGATAACGATACCAGTAGTAAGTGATAGTGGCCGAACGGGATAACACTCCTAGATGAAGACTGGGGTTTGTGATATGCTGGAAATAGACACACGGCGACTGATCGCCCGCCCGAACCGGAATAGAACGACTAGAAGCCCTTTGGCCAAACTTCCTTCAAATTAAACATCCACCATCCCAACTTACGGTTTGTCTCTCTCATCGGTGCAGCGGTGTGAACGCGCATTAACATTGGTGGCTCTCGTGAGTAATACTTTGGACTGTTCTACCAGACGATGTCGAGCATTCGTTCACTAGCGGATCCTAGCAAAGATCTCCTACAGATCTCCGAGGACGTCGGTATACATAGTCCCAAAGCCGACCTTGGTCAGAATTAAAATCCTGTAAGCAAGTTGTCTCGTAAACAATGCCTGGCACGCCTGTATTGAGGACATGAAGTAGCCCCGGAGACTCACCAGCCATCACCAGATAACACGTCCTAACCAAAAGACCGCACCACATTTCTCGTGCATACATAGTTCACGACCTGCCGTCGTTGACGACGTTGATACGCTGGGCGCCGACCACATCTTCCCCCACCATCGAGATAGAAGACATTGCAGAAATAATACCATACAAGACGATGCGAGGCCATATCGAATATGTAAGAGATGTTATGCACCTGCCTGACGAACGACGACGTATCATCACATGTTCATATGACGGCTCACTCCGACTATGGGACCTGGAGAGCGGGAAACAGATCGGCGATGACTGGCGAGATGGTGTGGTTAAAGTAAGGGTGGTCATAATAGCATTGTCTCCAGATGGCAGCACTGTGGCAAGCGGGTGTGATGGTGGGACGGTGAGGTTGTGGGATGTCAAGACAGGAAATGTCATTGACAGACGGACTGACTCGGAGCATACCGAAAGTGTGTTGTCGGTGTGCTAGAGTGCAGATGGTGATCGAGTTGTGAGTGGATCCTTGGACGGGACAGCAAGAGTATGTGATGTCAAGAGCGGCGAAACAGTCTTGGATCCAATGTTGACCGAGAACCTGTGGGTGTCAGCGGCGATATACTCACCCGACTCAACCAAATTTGCGATGGTGGGATCCAGCAGAGTACAAATCTGGGATGGCGAAACGAGAGAATTGCTCAAGACAGGCGAATTGCTCACAACACTCTAATACGATTATTGCGTTAAGAGCTTGGCCTGGACATCAGATAGAAAGAAGTTTATCTCCGTTTTAAATGGCCTAATTAGGATATTCGACACTGCCACTTGGGACTAGATCGCCATCCTCCAGGGTCACACAGACTTTGTCAACGCCATCACCTTGTTTCAGAACGACCGCTTCCTTGCAAATGATACAGCGCGTCTGTGGAACCTCGACACAAACCTCCCAGTCGGATCTCCCCCTCCAGCACAAAGGGAGAGTGACGCGCTTAGCCCTTTCCACCTATGGAAAAGTGCCAGCCACTGGTAGTGGCGATGTTGTTTGCGCATGGGACATTCACGCTATTCTCAAAAAAGCTGGCCTTGAAGACCTATCAATCACTGGTACTAATATTGTGGGTGTTAGCATATCACCAACTCTCTCACTGACCATGTTTGCTGCTCAAACAGAACCTCAAGCGAGCCAGGAATAGAGCGCACCCCCCGCTCCCCGCTCAGTGACAACTCATTTTTGGAGGTACGTGATGTGTTTCCAAGTCTTCTCATCCATTAAATAACAGTAGCATTCCAGGCTGATACCACGCGATGTCACCATGAATTTTGGGGTGTCGATGAACTTTCACCACGGTTTTTTGACGGCATGGAAGCCGATGATGATGTGCGTCATCGGTATTTCTGTTAATGAGTTCGTATTCAGACCTCTGTGTTCTCAGTCCTCCCCAACGGGTGGTGCCCACCCTCACTCTTCTGCAAGTGCATTCCTCGCTCGCCTTGCCTCGCTTCTCTGCCGCTTTCGACCCAACAATGCTGAAGCGACCGGACTCCCCCAACCCCAAACGCCTTCGGTGTTACATCCGCGGGTGCTCCTGGGCCATCTGTCCTCATTCTTCCATCGCTCTCCGCCCCGAAATGATGGAGCAAACGAACTTCAGCAACCCTCCACACCTTCAGGGTTAGATCTACACGCTCTCTTCGCTCGTCTGTCCCCACTTTTGCCCCGCTCACCACACGACGAAGGAACCGAACCTCATTCCACAACGTCTTTGAGTTCACGTCCAGATGCACTCATTGATCTCTTGTCCTCACTCTTCCGCTCTCGACCTCGCGCCGGCGAAGAAATCGAACTCTCGCAACGCACAATGCGTCTTCGTGTTGTCGAAGTACCTGCAATGCGGGACAGGGAGGTATGTCCTTCTCCGGTATGCGACAGAAGTCCTCGTGATCGGTATTCAACGATAAGCACATGGATGGCTGGCCAGGTGTACTGCAACACACCGGAGGAACCATGGTAAAATTATACCGAACGAAGACACGACATGATAAGCAGGTAGTAGGAAGTCAGCACGCAGGCTAGCTTGGGCGAACAGAGTGATCTTACCCACGATACACATTACATATATCACTCAGTCGTTGAAAAAATTTTCTTGGAGTGGTCAAACGACATTGCTGTACTTACTGAATCTGATGTACAACATCAGCACTGGAGAACTGATTCATCTATGAGTTCGAAAATCTTAAGAGACAAGACGACTGACCCAGTTCATAGAGTAACAAAGCGGGGTACTCGAAGATGTTATTCCTCCCGCATAGGAAAAAACAGTTGCCCGGATTTGCTGTTCACCCACCACGAGCATGACTGTCACGAAAATCAAAGACCACTTCACAAACGTATACTATCGGGGTCGTGTTTTTGGAATCAAAGATCAGAGTGTTCGATATGAGACAAGAAACCACGAAACAAGCTCGGTAGTGCTTTGGGTTCAAGCTTTCTATGGTGAAAGGTGAACGAGAAACATGACTTCTCCATATTCTCATACCACAATATTGTCCCCTAGGTAAAGAATGGTCCTGCGCAGCACCAAGGAGAAGACTTCCTTATAATAATCATTCGAATGATTGAATGCTGCGATTCCTCTATGAAATTCTACGAAAAAGTGAGACTCCATGAGAGATTGTGTTCACCTGGGTTAATCGTTTGATGTTTGATGCGCGTACCACATATCACAAGTCCTGCGTTATATTACTCCTGGGATTATAAATCCGAGATTCTTGTTTTGAACACTTAACGTGCAAGTCACCTCGCAACACCCAACCCCTCCTCCAAAAACTCTGCAAACGCACGTCCCACACCTTCCTCTCCCCACTCCACTCTCCCCTTTTCCGTACTCCCCAATGTCACAGCTTTCCGGCGCGCAGCCACAAATTGGCGTTTGAGCCGCTGCAGCTCTGACAACGTCAGTGCACGATACGGAAGTGTTAAGCGGACGCGGAGAACAGGGCTCTCATTGGCACTTGTATTCGAACCAGGTTCGAGCGCATCGACGGTGAGGATGATAGGTCCTCCAAGCGGGGCAGCAGCCTGAGCAGCCATGAGCGAAGAAACCAGTGCATTTGTCGTATGCTCCAGAGTGCGGAGGGCGTCTGTGGGTGCTTTGGGTGTTATTTGAGTGCCGACGTTTGGAGGTTTGACGATGCCAGTTGTGACTGCGTCTGATATGCGTTCGAGTGGGGGAGTTGGGTCATCCCAGGGGATGGTGAAGAGTGGGGCGTCCCAGCGAACCATAGACGAGGGCTCTTCGAAGCGCTGGATGAGGGCGTCTAGGCTGTTGGGTGTATTTCGAAGTTAGAATGGGGTGGGGGAAAATGGAGAGGGGAAAGACGGACGTTTGGGGTTTATATCTCTTCCCATCTCCTCGTTCATCGTTCCACTTTCGACATTGATCAGGCGTAGCGAGGACATAGACCTACTTTTCTCAATTGTGTCAGTTGTGCAAGTGAGAATATCGTGATCTATTACACACCGTAGCAACCCTTACGCCAGCCTCTCGGGCCTTGCAATATAACTGGTATCTAAACCCCTTGATATAGTTCATCCCGTCTACGATGAGGATCGTGTCTCTGGCAATGTGTCTTGTGATGGCGGTGAAGAGAGTCGCGCGAGCAGTCTTTTCTTGAAGGGAGTCTGATTGACAGTTGGGGAGTCAGTCTACAGGACAGAAGAAGCTGGGGACAATACCGTCATATGATGCACGGTCAACGGCCAAATCATCGTCTGAGATGACTTTTACTTTGAGCTGAGGGCTCGAAGCTGATGAGAGGAAGTCGTGGACTTGGGCTGCACGGGTTGATTTTCCAGAGGAGGGGTAACCTGAGATGGTGATGAGTGCCATTAATGAGCCAAAGATCACGTTTTCGGGATCTCCGGTACCAGGATGTTACGTAAGTCGTCTTGATCACATCATCGACATCTTGTTAGCAACATGCAGACAGATAATTCAAAAGTCAATATTCCCCCGTTCCCAGATGTCGCCGATTCGATGCAAAACATCGCAGGTGCCCAGTTTTATAACTGATCATGTCTGATAATAATTGCTCGCTTCAGCTCGCATGTTCACAAGTGATTGTATGTCTACTATTCTAATGTCACGAACGTTATGTTAACGAAGATAACCAGATTCCGAACCTTGAAACTCCATACCAAAAATTCCCCAACACCGACCACTCTACCATCGACCTTGAGGGCCAGAACGTTCTCGATATCATCGCCCAGCGCCAGCAGCAGTTGGACGCAGTTTTGCACGAGATCTCAGACCTGGGAACCATAACAGATGGAATGAAAAATATTCATCAGCAACTCGTTGAAAAGAAGGACAAGATCACCCAGTCGATGAATTTCCACAAAGGGCTCCTATCACCTTTGTGGCGCTTTCCAAATGAACTCCTCTGAAATTTTCCACCACTGTCTCCCGGACACTGATCCAAAAGCCAGTTACTTTTCACCTCCATCGAGGCTCAAAGCTCGAATGCTGTTGATCGGAGTATACCGACGATGGAGGAAGGTTGCAACAAGCACACCCGTTCTGTGGTGCAGGTTGCACGTGGTGGTCGATGATACAGATTGGCAATGGGCGGCTTCCTGCTATGACTCATGGCTCAAGTGGTCACGGGGACTTCCGCTATCGTTAGTAGTCAAGTGCTACAAGTACAATCATTCAACCGCACTACGGCGCTTCCTTCATCCTTACATGAATCAAATATCATCTTTCTCTATTTTTCTACTCCGCCGCTGACAAACCTGAACTTTTCTTAACAGACCTCTCAGCACTTGAGAAGCTGACCGTATTCTTTAATGTTCATGTTGCACCAGCTTCTGTACTGCAACTTCCGTCAACAATGCGCAGGTTCACGGCTATACTGCCAACGTTCAGCAAGTACCAGCGCAATTATTTAGGTTCCATGTGGGACCGACTAACACATGTCGGGGTTGGCGCAATATCTGAAATGTATTCAGTCATCGAACTGCTCCAGCTATGTCCCAACCTCTCCACGTTGACAATACGCGGCGTATTCCTCGATCAAAGGACAGTCCCAGAGGCACTCACACACTCCATCCTTACGAATCTGTCATATAAATCTTGGGCGCGAACTGTACAGCGGGCCTTTAAGTCGACTGCTCAAGGTTCTATCACTGCCAAATTTGCACTTCCTTGAAGTTCGCAGTGATTTCGCTTGCAGTGACGTAATGCAGATTCATTATGAGTTGAAGGCATTATTGGAACGGTCAAAGTGTCCCCTGGAGAGCCTGATGTTCGGCAGTGAGGTGGAGATGGCAGATGAGCTGCGAGCAGAATACATTACCCTGATTCCTTTCCTCAAAATGGGAATAGGTGAAGAAAGAACATTTTACGACTTCCGGAGACGATGTTGCTTTTTCATAAAGCCTAGTATCACTTCATTTTATTGTACTCAATAATTTTATTTTACTCTTCAGTCCAAGACTCGAGGGTCGTCATCAGGACGGGCACTGTTGACTGTCTTGTGCCAGGAGGGTTCAGGAAGACACAAGCCAAAACGGTGGCCCAGTCAAATTGAAGGTTGGTAAAATTCTGGACTAGGACTAAGAATGCTCTTGCCAGCCTATTCGTTGAGTATTGTAACGGACTAGACACATTGTCAGGCTCCGTCCAGCGATCCCGCTACTTGGTGTAGTCGTAGGATAGTCAATAATGAGAAAACACGAGTGAAAGACATGGAGAACGAGAGAAGAATACATACGAACCAGAAGCAAAGATGAAAAATAGGTGTTCACATGCTGAAGTATTAATGACCATCGGCATGTGGGGGAGATGCACAACAGAGAAAAAGTACGAGACGGGCCCACAACGGGATGGGTCGTGACCGTGCGCTTGCTGCCCCTGGTGTTGTAGGACTAGTAGTAAGAGGTGTTGTGGGCGTTGATGAATCGGTGGGCTGAGTCTGGGATGACGGCGCCTGTGCCTGGCCTTGCGATTGGCTTCGCAGTTGCAGCATGTATTTCGCCTTTTCATGTTCTGGTCGCGGAGAAACATACAGTGCCTGCAAAAGAATGATCAAATCCCAGCGGTTAAAAATTTGCCCAAAGATACCTGTTTGTCCCGTACTGCAGCAACTTTGACGGCATTAGGACTGCGACTAGAGAATATAGCTATTCTTGAATGTTGCTGGACTCCGATTACTTCGCCAGTGGGAGAGTGAGAGCGACGAAAGAGTGATGGAAGGTGGCTGAGGAGCGCGCGTGAAATCCCCATAGATGATGGTGCGATAGCGGGATGGGGGCGACGAGCAGAGGAAGGTTGATGGGCACTACGCGATACAGAGGACTGGGAACAAGAGATCAGAACACGAAGTGATTCAAAAAATGTCGATGACGCACATGAATGTTGCCTTGCATGCCATCGAAAAACCCTAGTGGTACTTGACCAGCATTCCTGGACTGAGCTGGACGTATGGCATCATCCTGGCATAACGAACTTGTGTAAAATGAATGAAACGAATAAGAAACACGTCACGTACGTTTATTAACGACTTTCCGGGTATGACCTGCGAGTCAGTTAGAGTGGTCTTGACTCTTTACTGACGAATTAAACTTACATCAGGAATGGACAACAGATCTTCGAGGCCAACTTCTTTGAGAATGGCATAGATATCCCATAGGTACACTTTTTTGTCCTCGCAAGCAGTGACTAGTATCTTTCCATCAGCGGAAAAGGCCAGACAGCTCACGTCCTTGTCGTGCTGGAAGGGTGGACACACTGGGAGGTTTGTGTTGAGGTTCCACAAACATACTGCTTCGTCCCATATTGATGTACTTGCAAGAAAGTGGTTGTTCCGAGCCAAGGACAGGTTGAAAATGTGACCCTTGAGAACGGCAATTTGCTCCCAAGTGACCGTGTCAAATATCCAAATGGGGCCCAATGACCCGGAGAAAAGCTTCTTTCCATCTGATGTCCAAGCTAAGCTTCGAACTGATTGATCCTGATGGAGTGTGCTGAGTAGCTCGCCCGTCTTGGCATCCCAGATTTTTACAGCGTTCTCATTTTCTCCGCCTGTCGCAAATTTTGTGTTGTCGGGTGAGTATGTTACTGCCCACACGTACTGATGACTGTTCTTGATTTCCAGGATGGTTCTGCCAGTTTTGACATCCCATACCCTTGCTGTTCCGTCCCATGATCCACTCACGACTCGCCCGCCATCTCCGCTCCAGCACACTGACCCCACATTCTCAGTGTGACCTATCCATCTCGCAATTACCTTGCCCGTCTTCACGTCCCACAACCTCACCACCCCGCCATTGCTTCCGCTTGCAATGGTCTTACCGTTGGGAGACAACGCTATATTTTTCACGTCTGCCTTGTGCCCCTCATCTCGCCAGGCGTCGCCAATTTGTGCGTCGCTCTCCAGGTCCCATAGTTGGAGTGAGCCATCTGCTGAACATATGACAACGCGTCGTCCGCCAGGCAAGTGCATGATATCGAGTATTTGGCTGGCATGGCCTAGCATCGTCTGGCGTGGTGTGATTGCTGGCGCTTTACTGGTTGAGGATGACATGGTCGAGCCTTAACTACAGCAGATGGTGGACAAATTGTACGAGCAACAGTTGTCTGATAATGGCAGAGATGGCTGGTGAGTTGATGGACCTATCATTCAATCAAATCTGACGAAAATGCTTACAGGATTAATTCAGTCCTGATGCGCGGGATGCCTTCGGGGTTATGTATGCAGTCCAAGTACCTAATTTGAGAATTCGCAAAATGATATCCAAATCGCTGGTAAGCAGATGGTCAACTGTACAGCACAGAGTATCACTCACGAGAAGCACTTGTTTAGACCAACTCAGAAACAGATATGTAACACTACACTCGCCTGTAAACTGAAAAAGTGGACGTTTGGTTTGGAGTCTGGAATATGGCATCCATTCTTTTAAGTCATGTATTGCGGTGCATATTCCATCGGACATCCTCGTTCGCTTCACAGCTTAAGTGCTGTGCATTTCTTCCAGCAGATTTCGAACTCGGATGTTGCCGACTCTTCTGTATGTTTGTAGGCAGTGCAGCATGGCGCTGTATCTCGAAGCTTGCTGTGCTCGTTGTCATTCTTTATTCTGATGTGATCTTGCCCTTCTAGCCTCTCCTTCGATGCCGATACTCCACATTCGTGCCGGGTGTTGCCAGGGTGAACTCCGTTGGATAGTAATCCTATCTAGCAGCACTTTTGTGCTTCTCAACCTCCAACCCGCTATCATTACACTCTGTCTGGGTTTTCCATGAACTTGGTGTGCAGGTAAATCACGTCCGTTGCGACTTCAACATGAAGCTGACACCTCTTTCGGTCTACGAGATGCAGTTAATTTTGACTGTCATGGTATGAACAAGAGTGCAAGTATGATGTTTTTACAGACAAGCAATGCAGGCCAAGAAAGCCCTAGCCTTACGACCTCATGGGTAACGTGTCCCGATCTCCGCCTATTTTGCTCAAGGAAGAGGCGCAGGCGCCAAGCCTAATCTGAAAAATGAGAACAACTTCCGCATCAGCGGTGTCCAGAACACTTCCACTAGTGTCCCAGTTTGGCTGCAGTTACTGAGTTGTGATATGATAGCTTCGGATCTGGTACCTAATGACTCAGTATACACTCTTCCGTGGGACGAAGATATTGGAACCCTGATAATCCCCCAGGTCGCCCTGTGAGTCCTTTTCATAATCGGTTATCCCTATATGTATGCCCTTGATTGACAACAGACTGACCCTTTATTCCACCTCCATGGGGTACGTCTTGACATGTCATCTATGTATGTACATCCCGTTGACTGACAGATGGTTTATAGCACAGCTCCGCTGTCATCAGAAGTGCAGGAATTAGCAGTTATAATCATGTCAATCCCGTCATGCGTAATACCGTGACTACTAGTGTTACTGGTAACTACGGACTGTCCGCTTCATGATGATCACGGCCATTCTCACATGTTGGTCCTGGGCTAATTTTACTTTCCTTAGATGTACCATCCCCGATGACCGAACATGGACTCAATATGCCGTTAGTATACTTAATTTCACTAGCACCTACACCGCGGGTTATGCCGGCGATACCTGGTGATATTCGCAGTCCCTTGCATCCTTCCATCGTTGATCCTCAAAGGTATGCATTGATCGTCCTTGCATCTCGTTCCACAGTCCCTAGCTCTGTAGAAATAGGAATACTTGTGACCTATTATAGTCTATATCTTGACTACCTTCTCTTCGCAGATTACCCGGAATGACAACAGCGCCTCCACAAACTTGCAGACGCGTCTCACTTGACCTCAGTAGCCATCATGATTCATGCCTTCGATCGCAACGAGGTCACACAGCTTTCATGCCGCAGATATTTGATCACAACGAGAGGCCGCTGGAATGCTGTGCCACCCAACGAATCAAATCCTACTCGTATACGACGGTATGGTTCCCTGAACTACTGAATTATAATAAAACTTAGCATATCAATTTCATCTCTTAGGTGTGTGCAATGTACATTGGATGTGCATCAATATCCTCTTATGATAAGCGACGTGGCGCATGTGACGGTTACAACCTATGGTGGATGTTTGGTTACACTTCGACTTCCCGAGATGCCGCACGGATTCCCAATGTCCGATCGGTGTTTGGTTTCAGTATTATCCTTTCTTCAAATTTATTTAATGTATACCTAGTTATATTCTACTGCTAGTAGAGTGACTTTGTGATAGGTTGAGGCCACATGATCATGTTCTTCACTGTCCTTGGCTGTTGTCTAATTCTAGTTCATTTCCTTTTTCTCTTGATCCAGTTTAATCCCTTCTGGAGGCTCCTGCCTGCAGATGATGGCCCTGAACTCTGGTTGGACTTTAAACTTCTTATTTCTTTGATTTCTGACTGCTCCACTGGATATGAAGGTGTTTCCTTTCGGTCAGTGTCCTTTTTGGTTTGCTTAAACTCCCCTCCCTATGAAGTCTGGTATGGCCCATCCTACTTCCCAAGATGCCACATGGATTCCCAATGTCTGATTGGTGTTTGGTTTTGGTATTATTGTTTCTTCAATTTTATTTAATGTATACCCTAGTTATATTCTACTAGAGCGACTTTGTAAGGAAAGGCAATGTAGATTCCTCAGTGGTCCAGAGGGGGTTGTAAGTCATGAGTCTGTGGTTCATTGTATGAACAATACAACTTCTTATTGTGCCACTGATGCAGACTGGCACTTCAAAGCTTGCTCTAATGCCCAACCCACAGGGCAAAAATGGGAGAGGTGTTGTTAGTTGTAAGTGTGGGTTCAGTCAACTCAATTACACTGGTGCTGATTACTTTTGCAGCTCTAGATGCAATCATAAGACTGCTTGTAGAGCAGTATGTTGCCAGCAGTTACAGCAATCCGGAGATCATCTCTTGTCTTCAAGCACACCAGGAGACTAGCAAGTTCAATATATTGTGAGTCATAGCTACTTAAATGCACCTTTAAACAGAGCTTCTGACATTTGAGTGATCAGACTGAGCCTCTTGAAGAAGCATCATTCACAATGGGGACTTAAGTCTGCCTGTGGTCAAGCACACACAATTGAAAGTATTGGACCTGCCATTGAGCGTGTTCATCAACAGTTCCCCAAACAGGGCTCACATGACATGAAGCAGACACTTATGCAAGAGGAGCATATTATGGTTCCAAGGTTGTATATGATGCTCTGTTGCAACAAGTTTACACTGATCAAATGGTTTTCAGAGACTTAATATTGCATTACATGAACCTTCATCATACAGTAAGCAACAAAACTGTTGCAATGTTTGTATGAGATTGATTACTCTGGCTATATCATTACAGGGATGGCAGCTATGCAAATGTGGATAAGAGCAATATTGTAGCCCTACATCCAGGCTACAATAGTTGTACTACACTGGAGATGTGAAAACATTTCCTTAAAAGGATATAAGCAATTTACTACATGGTATGCATTGCAATGGTTTTGTTGCTGATATTTTTAAACATCAAAATCCTATCAATAGACATCAGTTATGTTATTTAGTATGTCTTATAATGTTATGTGACATGTAAAAGGGTCAATATGATATAAACAAAGCCAAATGGTGAACTTTCTCAACATTCATCATCATGAAAGCCCTCTCTGCTGACAAAACCAACCAAATCCTTTTTTACCTTGATTTTAACCAATCTACAAGGGAGATCTCACATGCTACTAGTGTACACCATAGTACCATTATCAGAATTCACTCAGAACTTCATTATGACCTTCAAAAGTCCTCTGGTGGTTGTCCTTCTGTCCTTTCCTCTCCCAATATTCAGCATGCTATTTGGGTAATCAGTACAGATAAGGCTAAAAATGTCACTCAAGTCACAAGAGCACTTCAGGATATCAAGAATCAGCCTATGTCCTCTCAAACAACCTATCATTACTTGATGAAATCTGGTATGAAGCTTGTAGTGAAGCAAATACACCCTCTCTGTTATGCTTGGCGTTCATAAGAATGACTTAGACAAAAACAAATGATCTCAGCGTACACCTATGTATGAGTCATGCAAGTTAAGCAGTATATTGCAGGCCCTGGTCTGTGTAGGTCAAGTTAAAGAATACAAGCATAAGAGATAGAGTATATATAAGGGGATTAAAGTGGAGCTTTAATAAATGAATTGGAGATTTGAAAGTAAATAACGAATCAGAAAAGAGAAAAGAGAATTGTATGATAGAATGTGAATAAGTGAAGAGGTGAAAAGAGTAGAACCGTAACATTACCCCCATTGTAAGGGTAGTAGGCACTGACTACTATCAAAGAAGACAATACGATCATTTATAATTAGTAAGAAGTTCGGAAGCATTACCTAGTTCTGCTTCCTTCATCCATTCGTTCTTGGAACTTGGGAATCCCTTCCATTTTACATAATATTGTCTTCAAGATGAAGATCTGCGGTGTCTGACGACCGCTTCAACTTCGTGTTCTTCTTTGCTGTCGACCAAGTCAGGGGGAGGCGGAATATAATTAGGGCCATGGGTATCATTCTCTTTATAAGGAGAAAGGAGTGCAGCATGGAATACTGGATGAATGCGCCATTGCGCAGGTAATGCGAGTCAATAAGTTATTGGGGATAATATGTCAATGATAGTGAATGGTCCTTCGCGTTTTGGAGCGAGTTTCCGGTTAGGATATCCTAGATGAAGATTTTTGGCTTCAAGCCAAACTTTGTCTCCTTTAGAGAATGGTACGAATTTAGACATAATTCATTGATGCATAGTGTTACATGTGAGTTCATGAGCGGCTAGCGCCTCATCACGTGCTTTATTGAGTAATGAGAGTTGTTGTTCAATATTGGGAATGTCGGATTTCAGGTGGGAGTCAGGAAGATGTCGTGGATGGTAACCCATCATGAGGTAAAAGGGGGAGGTACCACGTGCGGAATGGTGGCATGAATTATGAACAAATTTGGCTAATGGCAACATGGGCGCCCAACCGGTTTGATTGTTAGCGCAGAAGATCCAGAGGTAAACTTCGAGTTCTTGATTAACTCGTTCAGTTTCTCCATCACTCTGAGGGTGAAAGGCGGTGGAAAGGGAGTTCTTATATCCGAGGAGTTTTCTGAGTTCGATCTGGAATCTGGAAGCGAACTGAGGTCCGCGGTCAGAGATAATTTTATTGTATAGTCCATATCTAGAGAAAACTTAAGAGAAGAAAATGTTCACGACACCTTCAGCATCTATTGTTTTGAGACAAGGAGTGAAAACTACCCCCTTCGAAAGTCTGTGGTCAACCACGACCATGATGCTGTCAAAGCCATTGGAAAGAGGTAAGTCTGTGATGAGATCCACTGAGCAATGAGCAAAGGGTTGGTTGGAAATAGGAGTGGGAATTGGGTGGAGTGGCAGGGTAGAAGGGTGCGTGTTTACTTTATTCTGTTGGCAGATGCAACAGCCTTCTACAAAGTTTTTGATGAAGGTGGCTAGACCGGGCCACCAGTAGTCACAAGAAAGGAGTTCCTGGGTTTTGAATCATCCAGGGTGTCCAGCAGTGGGGGAGTCGTGGTGTAGGGAAGTGAGTTCTCGCCGGAGATCTCCAGGTGGTATGTAAGTGAGTCCTTTAAAAGAAAGAATTCTGTCGCTCAATTTCCAGTCGGAAAGAGCAGAACAGAGAGGAGGAGGGATCGAGGAGTCTGTGAGTGCTTGAAGCACAGTGTGTACTACAGGGTCAATGGAAGATGATATATGTAATCTGTCCGTAAAGGAATTGTCAATGACATTAATAAACATTGAATTGGGAAGGAGTTGAATACTAGTATTGTCCTTTTCGTCACTATCGACTGGAAGGTGATCCGTTCTACGGGAGAGTAAGTCTGGAATAATGAGTTCTTTTCCTGGTACATGTTGGATCTGAAGTTCGAACTGGGAAAGGAAGGTTTGCCATCTTGCTTGGCGTCTGTTCAAGTCTTGTACGTCTCTGAAATAAGTAAGGTTCTTGTGGTCAGTCTGAATGGTAACTGGATATGGAGATCCAAGGAGATAATGCCTCCACGCTTTCAAAGCGCGGATGATAGCAAGTAATTCTCGATCGTAGATCTGATAATTACATTCAGCAGGGTTAAAGGACTGTGAGAGGAAGGAGCATGGGAGCCAATCTCCGTTATCGTTTTTCTGAAGGAGTACTGCACCAGTAGCATAGAGGGAGGCATCAGTGGCTATAGCGAATGGTGAGTTTTTATCGGGAATTTGGAGTATGGGGGAGGAGGTGAAGATATGCTTCAGCTTGTTAAAAGCTTCCTTGCGTTCGAAGGTCCAAGAGAATTCTTCATCTTTCTTGGTTAAGTCGATCAAAGGTCTGGCGATTGAAGAGTAGTCAGCAATAAACCGTCAATAAAAGTTAGTGAATCCGAGGAATGACTGGACTTCCTTCACTTTTGTGGGAGTCTTCCATTCGGATATACCCTTTAATTTGGCGGGGTCCATGGCGATAGAACTGGGTTTGATGATCATGCCGAGGTATTTGATGTCAGTTACATTGAAAGTACATTTTTCGGGTTTTAGATTGAGGAGGTTGTTGCAGAGTCGTTGGAGTACCTTGTGAGTACAGATGCAATGGGTTTCTTCGTCTCTAGAAAAGATTAGTATATCGTCCATGTATATAATGATCCACCCTTCTTGGATCATGTCTCCAAACAAGTCGTTCATCATAGACTGAAAGGTGGCGGGCAAGTTACACATTCTGAAGAACATGACCATGGGTTCAAAAAGTCCTCTGGAAGTGGCGAAGGCCACCTTCCATTGATCAGATTTTCTCATGCGTACGTTATTATAGCCTTAACCATGTGTTTGTTCAGGTAGCGATAATCTTGGCAAGGTCGGAGGGAACCATCTTTCTTCCCGACGAAGAAGAATGGAGAGGATTGGGGGGATTCAGAAGGAACGATTGTTCCTTTAGCTAGATGTTCGTCAATGAAATTGTTCATAGCCTTATCTTCTTTGGCGTTAAGCGGATAGATCTTGCATTTCTGCGGTTCGAAAGATTCCTTGAGGTCGATCTTGTGGTCGTATTTGCGTTCTGGAGGAAGAGTACCATTAGCTACATCACCAAATACATCTTTATATTGTTGAAATTCCTTGGGTATGAGTTCTTCGAAAGTTTTCTTTGGTTTAGCGGCGTCCTGGGTGAGGGTTTGTGAGATGTTGTCGGTTTTCCGGATATAGGTATAGAAGTCGTCATCATCATTGATGGGATCTAGAAGGTGTGGGAGAGTTTCATTAGCAGGATCCCACTTGTCTGCTAATTCTTCTAGTGCGTCATAAAAGACGTCTTCTTCTTTGATTTCTTCGATAAATGCTTTTTTCAGGGTACACTCCCTTAGGCAGACTTCTTGGTTAGTCCAATCAATATCTGGGTTTTCTTTCTTTAGCCAAGTCATTCCCAGGATAGCATCTTCTCCTCCTAGAGAGGTTACAAAGAAGCGCTTCCGCATAGGGATATCTTTGATTAAAAAGGAAAGTTCACAGTACT